AGAAAGAAGTCAGGAGACAACCGTCAGAAGTAATATTGTGATTTATTATTGTAATATTTGTTCACAGACCTTAGTGGAAACATTTTTATATGTTGGTGTTACAATAAAGAATTCTCGAGTGGCAAATCAGTGTCTTGGTTTTTGCGTCCGTTATTACCAAGCGTTTCTGAAAAACTGCAAGGAACAGCGTGGGCCCGAGCGTAGCAAGAGCTGGGCATTAACGGTTTACGAGACGTGACTGACAGCATGTTCAGCTTATATTTGATGACTACACATTCTCAAATTTGAGAATGTAATTTCTGTAGGACTGAGAAAACTATGCTCGCTAGACATTACTGAGATTGGGGATCAATTTCAAGGCTACACATTTGCACTACTTCATTTATCGTAGAAGTATTCAGTATGAAATTAATGAGAGAATGACGTCTCAATAGTATGGATGTTTCAGAGTTTATCTTGAAATTTGCGTGTAATCCTCTAATGCTGGACAACTTATAAGGTCTATTTATGCATACGGCGTCAATATAAAGACCAGCTGTGGACTACAAATACTTTTAATTGTATGAGAACTTTACTTAGTATTAATATAATCGGTGTATAATAATATATAAAATTATCTTTCATAAATCCGTGTTTTGCTTCATATTTTAGGTATATGGAGGTTGTGGAATGTGAAATCAGTGAAAATGTCAATCTGTCAAACTAACGCTAATACCCTTCATCAAAATTTTCTTCTGTAAATTAAGAAAATGTTTAATATACTCATCATGTCTATTTCTTTTGAACTTCTTCAGCGCGTTGCTATACTATGAGCTTTTGTAATACGTGAATTCGGTTTATAGCATGCTAAGCCTAGTTAGTCAAATGGAGATTCACCATAGTATGAGACTTACTTTAATCATTCATAGGATTTCGCGTCTGTTTCTACACAATAGCACATTGTAAAAACTAAGCAGTATTTAGCAAGTTGAATAATAATTCCGCAATGTTCGTTACGCTAAAGTCGCCTTATTTAGCCAATTGCAAGTCCGTATACTGCTAAACGCCAATTATGTAGCACAAGTAAATGTAGGAAATTAGGGTTGATATCTACTTCATTAATCAGTTAATATGCAGTGGCATCCTCAAATAGACTGTCTACTTGGCGACGAGCTAAGAAACAATTTTTGTTTATTTCTGATATGCTGTTAAATCATGTGATGTTATCTAATATCCATCATTTCTATGATCAACAACTGCAGTGTTTGAATATCTGATTTGTTAAGTATGCCGATGATCTAACTATTTCAGTGTCTGTCAACTCCCAGCTAAACAGTGCTAAAATGAACAGCTTTCTATCAGGAATTAGCGAATGGTCTTCGTCTAACGGCCTCAAACTAAATCCTCCCAAATCTCAGGCAGTTAATCTCAGTTTTAGATGTAAAAGAAACTTAAATGGAGCTGTTAATTCCCATTACCGTTGTATAATTTATGAGTGATATAGAAATCAAGTCCGACGTTAAGTATCTTGGATTAATTCTTTCTTCTGGCCAATCCTGGCCTTCCCATGTCTAAGCGATTTCTAAAGTAATATTTTGTCTGAAGTTAAGGCATTCAGGCATAACTCATCCCCTCCTCTTACAGCTTGTCCGTCCGTGCATCTTACCTATACTTGACCTGTTTTTCTTGCTTTAATCATGATACAACCGTGTTTCGCAGAACTCATCACACAGCTTATCAGCCTTAAATGTATACCACATGCAGGTATAATGCTTATGAGCTAGGTATGCAAATCAAAGTAAACGTTTGTACGGTGCATTCATTATTTATAAGACTAACTAGTATGTGAGAGCTACGATTTGACCAGTTATACAACGTTTAATGTATTTGGACACAATTAACCTACGCTGCTTACTTCTATGACCAAATACCTAAAGCTACGTAGTTATCTTAAAGTGCTTTCCGCTGAAGGTAATCACCCTTAGCTACTACCTTACCGAGCAACTTAACGTTATCTTTGAATTTCAAAGTAAAAGCGGACCTACTGGGGACCTACTTGGTAAAAAAATCGTCTCCTAGTAGAAAAAATGAATATACCCTAATCTTCACGAAAGCGTTTAGAGGTATTCATCCTGTCACCTCAAATGACTCACTATTTGCAGTCACTTAAAAAGTAAGAATAAATTTATCGAAGACCGTATGTCAATGTAGTTGAAGATTGAACGATCAATTCATGGTTGTTTGCTCAAAACCAACTTCCCCAATTTTCGCGGAGGCATCAATACGACAGTCATCGTCTCATCGGTCGCTGTTCAGAAAGAAGTCAGAAAACCGTCAGAAGTAATATTGTGATTTATTATTGTAATATTTGTTCACAGACCTTAGTGAAACATTTTTATATGTTGGTGTTACAATAAAGAATTCTCGAGTGGCAAATCAGTGTTTTGGTTTTTGCGTCCGTTATTACTAAGCGTTTCTGAGAAACTTCAAGCGACAGCGTTATTCCCAGCGTAGCAAGAGCTGGGCATTGATGGTTTACGAGACGTGACTGACACGGAATGGTTATGACTTCTAGATATCATAATGTACCATTAGGGAAAACCTCTCTCCATAGGGTTATAACAGTTACAAGAGCGATATTAATCTGTAACACGACGAATACGATTCTTAATCACAGGAAATTCTACTTTGATACCTAATCTTCTAATAGCATTAACAGATATTTCACCAAGAAAAAGAAAACCAATGGTTTCAGGAAAATTTATTTAGTTTTCTTAAAGACCATGGGCATCCGTATTTATAGCCACGGAGAAATCACAAACATCCACAAAATGGGAGTTTCATTATATGAAATGAAACAAGCAATCTGTATTCAGCCAATATTTTCACCTTGAATAATAATCAGCTCCTCAGCTTGTTGTAGACCACAACCCGAATGTTATTCTCGCTAATTAAAGTCTTACCTTTAACTGGGATAGTTCGAACACTCACCAGACCATCATGTTATCCGCTTTTGAAGTGGTTTTGCAACACATTGAATGGCCGTTAACAATGGCTTTGCTACAGGCGGTCTTAGTTCATGTATTTGGATCTAGTAGATTGGGCATTAATAAGGATAGGTAACACTTACCATTCAGGGGTTTCTCATTGCTTTTAAGTTTCCTTCAGTTCCAAAACTACATACAGGCACAACAGATTCTTACTTCTCATGTGACTTAACTTTGTTTGATATGTTCTCCGACAATATATCTGATCCTTTAACTGATAATACATACTGATGGTATACTCAGCTTCTCGAAAAGCTTCAAAGCTTTTTCAACTTCAAACCGCGTTCTGGAATCTGCAGGCTTAATATGCTTTTCGTAAACCTTGCCAATATCAAACCTGATCGTATTCTCCGCACCAGATTGACTCGCAGATTGCTGCAAGCTGTAAACATGCATGTGAAAGACATTGCTTTTTCCAGAATTCTACATACCAATTAATCAGCTGAGCAAGAAACAATAACGGCAAACTGCAAATGGACCGAAAACAACAGCTTTTGTCAGCTTAACACGTTCACGTGCATATTTTCCTTAACTTTCACACAGAACTACTTCATTAGTAGCTAAAAACAACTAAAACATTGCAACCAGGCATGAAAACAACGTGTGAAACAATCGTAATAGAATGAATGCACTGCCCTGGTGGTAAAAACTACCGAAACATACGAAATTAGTCATTTTAACAGCAACGGAAACAAAAGTGAGGTGAAACACAACATTTGTGAACAATGCGCATGTAGGGGACTTATACTAGAGTTCACTAACATTATAAATATAAGAGTAATAATCCAAGTCAATGGAGTGTTAAATAATATATTACCAAAAAATGCAGTGACGAGTTGTATCAACAAAAAAGATTACTTGGATATAAAGTCTAAGTCCTCTGCTACAAATTATTTATATAATCCGCGGGTACGTTAATTGATTGGGTTGCGTCTGCTGTAGCTGCTGTGTTCCGGTTGTAGAAATGTCTTCGGTTGAGAGTAGTAGACTCCTACAATAAATCCGAAGTATACAACACGATGTGAGTTGAGCAAGTAAGCAGAAGTGACCAGGGAGAAGACGAAGTCTCCAACAGCAGAGTGTATTTTTCAATTGTACACGGAAGTTATGTATATTTCAACAAGAAGCGTTTTAAACAAAAATTATGTACAATATCTCTAATTTCTACAAATAACCAAAAAGTGTACAACCACATTGTTACGTACTCCACACGCATCAAGATAAGTTGTGAATAAATGCAGGATAAACGGGAAAACCGATGTGTAAACGAACGGCTACGGAAATGCAATCCAATATGGACAAGAATGACCTTTGAGCGTCTCACTCCGTCAATGAACTAGAGCATGCTGGATAATTTCAGTCCAGACCAGGTCATTGTGACACCCCCTTTACGTGTGAGAACCTCAAAATTTCGGATCTAGGTCAAGCCAAGTCAGCTAGTTTCAGTTTTCTGACTACAGAAACTCAATACCAACAGCTGTTTCCGCCTAAATATCGAGAAATATCTCAGAAGGCATCCAGATGACTACTCTACAAAGCATAGACTGAATCGGGCCTTAATTCTGACCTAATGAATTGCTAAAGATCGTGTACAGCAGCTAAAACGCAAACAGTCATGCAAAGGAATTATTCCGATCACTTAGCCATGCATTAACATAGGCCAAAATCTTGTGACTCGTAGTTATACAAATTGTCACGGTTCCTGTTATCTAAAGAAGTTAAAATGGATAATTATTACAATTACTACGAAAAAGTGAAAAAGATCTAAAATATACTTTGTTCATCACAACAAAGACCATTATCCCCATCATCCTTATAAACATCGAAACTGATGAAAGAATATAAGTTCCAATTTACGATGACTGAGAGTGGTAAATTGAACATTGAATAGTTGTGTTTTAACAATCGAATTCGAAAATCGTTATAGAGATTATGCCGGTGGATTTACAAAATATTAGACTTGCTTAAATAATCATGGTTACAAGAGATGTCAATGTTAGGCTGAATGTCGAGGAAAGAGTTAAAGAGAGACTATGTTTCAAAAAGCCTACAGTAGCCCAAATGAAGAGATTATCCATTCCTGCACAGCCTTTTATTGAGCCCTTAGTAATTTTATTGATAGTTTCCATTCGGATTAATTTTAACTTTATAGTCACAGTTGCAAGAATTCCAAGAATACAACAAAATTGAGTCGGTTCATAAACGAGCTCGAAAAGCTCTTGCTAAAAGAGACTCTTGTTCTTCGTCAAGGGGAGAGAAGTTTCGGAGACTGATGCCTTTCGAGAGAGATGAACCGATGAAGCGCGTAGTGCCTCAGCGTGTTGAGAGCCCATTCTTCCCGGAAGTAAGCCTTCCGTTACTGTTTATTCTGTAGGATGAACCACCTCTCATTGTTCCTGATGCAGGAAACGAATTACTTACGCAAAGTAGCGTGCAGAGATCACATCCGTATGGTCCACATCCCGGTAGGTCAGATTTTTTTGCTTGCGAACAATTGATTTTGTCGTTTACTAACCGCTTGTTTTCCTTACGTAGGTGTTTGTGCCACATCCCAACTGTTGGATGGTGAGTCTCTGGTTTCTTACCAGTTCATTTCTATAATGTCATGTGAAGTGTGTATTTTCGTCATGTCTAAATCACTTTGTATTAAACCTTGTCATGGCTTTACCGTCTGATAAGCTACCAAGGTTTCTGTTCATCATAGTACGTGCGTAGTGATTCATTAAATTTGAAATTTCCTACATCAAGATTGTTTTATTTCAAATATTACTTTTCCAATCTAGCAGACATTAAATTTGGCAAATTACAGTATCTTTTAGATAAGTAGCTTGCATCATTTTAACTGGTACGTGATTTACATATGAAGCTTATAGAACGATTAAAAGGTGACTATAGCAACTGATCTTTTGGAGCTAAATAATTCAAAAACAACTTTGTATTTAACAGATTTACGATAGGGAATGTCCAGATTAAATTTACAAACAACTGTTAATGCATTGGGAATTCTAAAGGCATTAGCACATAGTGACAAGATTCTCTGAAATAGTAGGTAAATTTTCTTATGCTTTCACACGATATTTGATCTAAAAACGCCGTTTTTGGTTGTTCACTGAAAGCTGTCTAATTATTCCGTTGAAGTACTTGTGTATTATTGTTTGTGACAGCTTAGAATTTCTTTTGCTATGGGTTTGAATAGCTGGATCGTTGATTCACACGTGATTTACCTTGTTTGATTTGTCTATTAATTTTTCCCTTCAGAAGTTGCAAGTTATGAGGAGAGACTGACATACTGAAGATAATTAATGTTCTCAGGGAAAATAAACAAATAAGCTTCTTCTATTTGACTCATGCACTGCCAAAGCGCTCCACCAAATATCATTTTTATAATCTTAAGTAAGTAATACTTTTGTTAGTCACTATTTGCTGTGTTACATTTATTTTATCACACTATAGTTCACACTCGCTACACTGCTAAGCGCTTTGTTTCTAGAGGCTCTCAGAAACTGTTTTATTGATGCCACCTACTACTCAAAACCTTTTTTAGGAAAAAGCGTTGTTTTAATGTTTATAAGATCACTTGTCATTGATTATCTGTGATATTTTAACAGATTTTATTTGCAAAACATATACCTGAAAATTACCAGTTTTATGAATCATAATTGTTACTGCTATCATCTTAAGTGTAGTCATTGTGAGTGTTTAAATTTCACCGATGCAAACTAAATAACAAGCAGACATTGATAAGGTTTTTTTTCAACTACAAATTCTGGCGTATAAACCTCTCCTAGACGAATTGCTTTTACACATTAGGATCAACATATTGTGGAAAACACATGATGTATGTTTGTCGATTTCCAATTTCACACATGGAAGTTCTCAAAACTAGCTGTTGCGTAATACTGAGCACAAAATTTTCACAATAATGTGATTTCCACCATTTCAGATTCTCTACTCACGTAATTCGTGTTTGGCATAATGAAATAGTTGAATACTGGCCAACCACGCATATTCTGTGGGGCCTAGTCGTTGGCCGACACATACCTACACCTTGCTTAGCTGGTAGTAAGTCTGGCAACGAGGGAAGGTTAAATATGAGACTAGCAACCGTACCTAGTAAAAGTAAAACCACTGCTACCAAGCTTGAAGCCCTATATTACACTCGGAAGGCAAAGGAGTAATGAAAAAAATGAATTTTAAATATGTTTAGAAGAGGTTTATGGGACTGAGTAGTTAAATAGAGAAAAACAAAAAAATTAAAAACCTGTTTCTTAAGTTACAATTGGTTACAATGACTACATGTTTTGCCACTAATAAGGCATTTGTTTAGAAACTCAGATGTCTATCTCTTCAGAATATATACGTTATTTTTCTTCACCATTTCACCTGTAAGGTAAAGGGACGTCTTTGAACTGTTAGATGTACTCTCATTTATTGTGAATCCTTCTAATTCGTTATACATATTAGTTTTATAAATATTTCACTCCGGCTGTTTTGCCGCTTACCAGTTTTCAAGTGTTTACTACCAATAATAAAACACCTACCTCATGATGTTTTTTCCCACTGCTTGTTTCCATAGCGCACCTTACCATAACCTTCTTTCACCTTCTCTAATTCTTATCTTTCGGTAGATGAATCGATCTCTGTTTCCCCATATACTTAATATTACTTTCATTGTTTTCGGAATTCATGAAGTTCTTAACATGAGTTTTAGTAAAATATGTTATGCGGTTCACCTGACACTAAAAATCAGTGGTCAACTGTTCACAATGGGGATGAATATCCTAATTGTAACAGCTCGTGGGTGCGATAGAGAAATATCCCTAGAAGCCAAAAGCTATTACTGTTAAATTTTTAAAAGAATGAAATTGATAGAACATTGAAACTGAATATCATTAAAAACATAAAGACCATTTCGAAACTGTACATAAAGTAAGGACTTGAGTTAATATTAATTTCGAGGTGATAGGCTGTTATTAGTTCTGTCATATAAATTTCTTGGTCACAATTTGTTAATTATTTGAAACATTATACTCCTGATGAAGTTGACTGCTCAGAATGTATGAGAAGATGGGTTTTTAGGAATTAGTTTTTAATCTTTTGTGACACTATCGAAGTAGCCTACAATCCTCTACATTGTTCAGTTGAAATTTCAGGCTTATGAAATTATTGCTGTGTCTTAATTAGACCAACTTTATTTTTATCTAAGCTAATTTTACTAATACAATGCATAAAGTAAGGCGGCGAGTTGGAGGGGGTGGTTTAGTGCATTTCTGACCAATTTTTGTACCGGTAGTGTACTGTAACCAGCTTTAAATTTTCTATAATGATAGTAAATGTGAGATTTACTTGTTAATTCATCAGTTAATATTATTCATTTGATTCGGATGTTGTTTGAACCAATATGTAGACGGAGGCATTATCTAACGCATTTTTACACAATGTTTAAAGTATATATTAAGTTCGTTAATAAACATGAAGAATCAGAAATCAACTGGTGACGTGCTTTATTATTTTAATTTGGAGTACACACAACCTAAGATGCAAAAATAAGGAATAGTGCATCTTAAGTTATCGGGGAGAACTGAGTTTGTTGCCTTGGGTTCCTAGTGGAACATAGGACTTCAACTGCACGTCTTCATTTGCTTCTGTCTTCTGCTGTACTTTTCACCTGCATCCATGTTAGTGCTCTTCATACGATCTCCTCCATGTCACCCTTGGGCGTCACACTCGCCGCTTCCCTTTCGGGTTCCACTTGAGCATTGGCCCGATGCGCAATGTCACCCAGTGGCCTCCTCAGAGAGTCTCCAATCCATCTCCACTTTCTCCTGCATATTTGTTGGTTGGCGATTGGTTCTTGTTTTGTTTGTTCCAAGCCATAGTTTCTTGTTGGTGATTCTTTCCGGCCCGGCCATCTGATCATCAGTATAGTTCCAGCGAAGACAGTTGTTGATAAAGGTCTGGTCTGCAACAGGCTGTTGAAAATATTCTTTGTGACCCGCCCGCCAAGTTTCTCATCCGTTCCGTATAGAAGAATTGACTGACTTGACACTGTTTGCATTGAAAATCCGACCGAATTTTGTTGTTGATGCTGGCTGAGTGACGAAGATTTCCAGATTGGTTTCAGGTTGATGAATGTGTTTCTCGCTGCCTTCCCGATTCTCGCTCCTTTTAACATCCTCGTCCGTTCCGACTGCCTGTAGTTGAGACAATGCTACCTAGATCAGTGAGTGAATGAAATAATCTCTTTCAAATTCCTCCCATTAATGGTGATTGACGCTGTATGTTGCTGCTATTGCTGTTCTTGTTGTTGTTTGTTGGTTATTTTCATAACCTCCGTCTTGTCTATGTTCACATGGAGTCCTGTCTTCGCCGCCTGCTTCCTCGACCAGTTTGTCGGTTTTCGCGTGTAAGTTTTCCATTTTGTGTGACATCAAGCATAAATCATCCACGCGCGAAATCCAGGTCTTCTAGGTTCTTCACGTCGGTCCAGGATATCTATGTCTGCTCGTTTCCCACTATCTGACGCATAATCCAGTCAGTCCACCACAATTAGGAATATCATTGGTGATAATAAGCACCCTTGTCTGACTCCTGTGTTTACTCCAAACGCCTCGTTGAGTTTTCCGTTGTGGATCACTTGACATGTGCCGTTGTTGTACAGCTAGCTGTTGAATAAGGTTGATGAATATTTGGGGTACGCCATAGTACTCGAGTAATTTCCAAATTACTTCACGATCAACGCTGTCGAAGGCCTTCTCAAAGTCTATAAAGTTGAGGTAGAGGTTTGATTGACATTCCATGCTTTGTTCTGTGATGATGATGCGTAGAGTTGCAATTTGGTCGGTACATGATTTGCCTTTCCTGAATCCAGCTTGTTCTGGTCGGAGTTCTGTCTCCAGTGCGTCCTTTATTCTCTCCAGGATGATGCGACTCAGGATTTTATTTGGCGTCGACAGTTCTTGCAAAGTCCTAAGTCACCCTTCTTTGGTAGTTTCACGAGGTAACCTTTCTTCCAGTCAGTAAGCACCTTTCCCTCCTTCCAGACCTTCTGCAATAATGGAGTCAGCATATCTGCTGCCGTCTCTGGGTCCCCTTTCAGTGCTTCAGGGGGTATTCCATCTGGTCCAGCTGCTTTTCCAGCTTTCAGAAGCTTGATTGCGTTCAAGACTTCAGCTCTCGTTGGGGGATTGGTGTCAACTTGCAGTTGTGTACGTTGTGTTGTTGGTATTTCTGGACGGGTTGCAGGTGGTGGTCGGTTCAAGAGTCCTTTGAAGTGATCCGCCCATTGTTTAATCTGTTTTTCTTCCTTGGTAATTGGGTTCCCTTGGCTGTCTTTTATAGGTTTCACTTGTGTTGATCTCTTCCCGGATAGAGATTTGGTTATCTGATATAGTGTCCTCAGGTCCCTTTTGCCTGCTGCCTTTTCAGCTTCAGTGGCCAGATTGTCGTAGAATTGTCTTTTGTCCTTCCTAGCACTCTTCTTCACTTCTTTGTCCAGTGTTGTGTAAGTTGAGCTCAGCGTCTGCTTCTCTTGTCCGTCTTTGCATTGAATCATTTTCTCTTTCACCATTCTAATCTCCTCTATTAGCTTCCAAGTGTCCGTTGAGAGCCATTCCTTGTCTTGTCTCTTCTTTCTTCATAAAACCGTTGAACACGTTTCGTTGAAAATCACCTTCAGAGAGTTCCAGTGGTCTTCCACACATGATTCCTCAGTGCTGTCGCGTAGTGTTTCCTGCATTGCTCTGACAGTTGCAGTGAAAGTGTCCTTTGTGTTTGTGTCCTTCAGTTTTTGAGTGTTGAACTTGCATTGTGGCCTATCCCCAGCTATCCTCGAGGCTTTTAGCTTCACATTGAAAGTCCCTTGTACTAGATAGTGGTCTGAACCCACATCTACCCCTCTCCTGGATCCTGTGTCCAGTAGGCTCCGTCTCCACTTCCTTGAGATTGAGATGAAGTACATCTGGTTTTCGGTGTGTCCATCTGGTGAAATCCATGTCGCCTTGTGTATATCCTTGTGTTTGAAAACACTGCTACCAATCACCAAGTCATTGAAGGCGCAGAAGTCTGAGAAGAGTTCACCATTGTCGTTCATTTCACCGAGGGCCTCTCGACCCATGGTGAGTTCTCTTCCTGTATTGTCTCTTCTCAGTTTCGCATTCATATCATCCATCAGGATTTTGATACCGCCATTTGAGACTTTGTCTATTACTGTTTGTGGTTCTCTGTAGAAATCCTCCTTCTTCTCTTGTTCTGAGACGTTTGTAGGCGCATAGCATTGAATTGAATGACTGTAACCTTCCTTCCTTTTGAGTTGAACCTAGCTGTCATTATCCTGGAGGAGATTGGTTCCCACTGCATGAGAGCTTTGGTTGGTGTTGGTGACATCATGATGGCCACTCCTTCGGTGTGCTCATGGTTGTCCTCTAGGTGGCCGGAATAGATTACTGTCTCTCCAGTTGGCACTTGTCATCTACCACACCCGTTCCATCTGCTCTCGCAGATTCCCAACACTTCTGTTCTATTTCTCCTCATTTCTGCTGCTACTTGAGCAGCCTTTCCAGTTTCGTACATTGTACGAAAATTCCAGGTACCCATCCTTATTTTTGCTTTCATCGAAAGAAGGCACATCGGCTGACTGGCTTCCCGAAGGCTTTCACCAGCCTGCGTCATTTCACTTCATCGATTCCAGCGAAAAATAAGGTTATAGTTTATACTTTTAGAATTTTCAATATATATTTGTGCGTTGAAGTTTCTGTAGCGATTTGATTAAGTTTTGGGGGTGGAGTTGTTAGCACCATGCCCCAACCCCCCCTCTTTATCCGGGCTTGGGAACGACTATAAAACTAGCCAACTGGTAAACTAGGCGAGGTTTCTATGCTGTGATCAGTACAAATTCAGCTGCTTCAATTTTTTTTAAATCTTACCATGAATTTATGAAAAGATCTGTTTTTAATGCACCTTACTGACTGTTTCCAAATAAGATATACATATTCTTTAGCTACGGTGATAAAATACTATTCTGCCTAAACTTTCCATTGCTTTCGGATAAAATACTACTAGATATTTTTATTTGAAATATTAGCGACAGGTTCTAATCTTCAATATTCCGCTAAGAAAAGTCACGTAGTCAACATAATCAACAACTAAAGCTCGTGAAATTTCCTATACATCTTTCTGCCTAGCTGGTAAAATGAGTAATCAAAAGCAAACCAATAAGTGGCGCCTTAACAGTAATTATGTCAACTTTCATTGAATATTTTATTGGTCTTTAACTTCTAAAATCCCTACCTTTTGTCGTATTTCAGTATTCCGTTCTCTTTTTTTCCACACGGGTTTCATAAAGAGTCGTCAGCTTTCAAAATATTAATCGTGATGACTATTATACACTGAGTCTCAATGGATGTACACACCTAGTTACAAATGACGACATAGAACACATATCCTTGCAACGTTTTGAAACGGAATATAGAACCTTCAAAGAAATATGTCAAGTAAGATTAGTGTATCTTTTTCATCTCTACTTCTTTCTTTTTTTCAAAGCTGTTTTCAATACAGATTATTCTGAGTGCAGAATTATTGAAAATCAGAAATTTTTCTATTAATTAGGTAGTATTGAGGCGTTCAGTTCCACATCATCATGATTAATTTATCCTGGGATAAAATAGCCATGTAAAACAAAATGAATAGAAATCTGTAGTTCGGATATCAGTGTTTGCTTTAAAACAGTTTATTCTCGACAGAAAGGTTTGCACACTATATCATCACAAGTAAAATCCACTAGCATGGCGTTGATATGGTTTTCAGGTTACTGAAACAAGACTGACTGGCTTTAGGACAAACCTAAATAAATAATTCAAATAAAATAAAAAAGCAGTATTAGTCAGTAGTTTCTTTTTGGAATTTATGCAAACATTCATACTTCTGAAGATGAAGATAAGTAATAAAATAAGTGCTAACTCGAATACTATTAGCAGTTCGAAGTGTCTACAAAGTAACTGTCCTTGGTACATAAACTGAAAAACACATTCAGGGAGAAAAACACAGTAGGATAACGAATCATACAGATCAGAGTAAGTAAAACAATATCAGCATGTGGATTGGGGTTATTTAGGCTATAAGCAAATGGAAATTTAGCTAGATCTAGAATGGTTGACTCCTCTAGGTTAACTAATCTAGGAAAAAGCGCATTCACTTCTACACATTCATTTGCATGTATGACGTGTGCTACTGCCAAGGTTTATTAGTAGTATATATATTTAGACAAATAAATAAGACAGTGTCAATAATGGAGGATTGATAGATTTAATGAAGGATGCTTGAGAAACAACATGGAAAACACGAAAGGAAGTCAACGAAGAACAATACGTATATTGATATTGAAGTTATATGCAACCTGTGGTTCTACTACATTGCAGACGTATTTTGCTTAAATCTGTGTATCGAGTTGCAAATAAATAATTCTGTTACCAAATTTCCTCGTCTTCACCCGTTACACACGTAAAAGAACAATAGAGTAGGATAGAGTGGAATTATCACAGCAGTATAATTAGTTAGGGAGAGAGCGGTTAGCCACCAAGTCTTTGTTTATCAAATCGCATTCAAAGACATGCTATCAAAATGACGCAACCTCTATATCGGATATATGGAAAACTGCAGTAAAAATCTGGAAAGAGACAAACTACATATGACTCTTTAAGAAGTCGTTTGGATACATTGATGTTACTATAAGCAACAGTTTGTGTTCGAAACATCATCTAGATATTAACAGTGTGTCACTGTGTTACACCGAATAAACTTATCTATTGTGTAATTATATACTATCATAGTGCCCAAATTCTACCTTAACGTTATTTTTATTTTCGATTATAGCTTGATTACCCAACGTATTTTTGATACGAGTATGGAATTTTCAGTATGTGATATTGGTGGCCCAATTTACAGGCCGACCATTGATATCAGGTGTGTGTCGGCAGCGGATGGAACCCCGGACCATGTGCATGGTCGGCGAGAGTCCTAACCACTGTACAGTATTTTACAGCATTTTACAAACACAGAGTCAGTATAGCAGCTTATAAAATTTTCAAGTCTCTCGGCGTATAATGACGTGAACAGTAAACTATCAACGAACGTTTCCATCTGAATACGAAGATTAAGTTTAAGTATTTATTCATAGCAGTACGCCCTAATAACCGACCAGTGCACCAGTGCCTATTCGAACCATCAGAAATATGTCTTGAAAAATTTCCACAAATTTCCTTCGTTATAATAGCCTGCATTATTTCACTCTAAATTTATAAGCTATTGTCTGTAAGTGGTTCAGCGGTAGAATACCCGTCATTCATGCACGAGTTCCTGGGTTGGATTCTTGGCTGGTGCACAACCTGAACTCCCTTAGTCGGCTGTAAGCTTAACAAATAGGATGAGGGTTGGGCGCGGAGCCAACAATTTCACCAACTTGAAAATACCACTGCTTCAAAAACATGAAAGTTAAAGCTTGAAGGCCTATCTTCCACCAGGAATGCAAGGGATTTGACAGTTTCTCCTACTGGAAATGTGTTGTCAGATTTTCATGTGGGTATTATGCTGAAGTTTAGATTCCTTGCAGCTGGCGAAAGTCCTTGGGATACAAGTGAACTCACACTTCCTTGTAGCACTGATCATCCCTGAACACTTCAGAATTGTTGCAATTAGGACTTCATGAAGTAGTTTAGCAGTTGCAGTTTGAAATACCCTGGTCGGTAGAACAATCATGTATAGTCTTTCTATCCTGTAGTTTGGTAGATATCAAGTGTATGTAGTAGACTGACAATGTGTGTAAAAGTTCAATATCTCAATTTAAGTGACAGATCAATGAATCGGATATCGGATTGCATAATTCGGTTAACAGAAAGGTTTGTCTTTCGAGAAAGAATGTCCTGTTGGCATGTATTTGAATATTAGGGTGGCCTTTACCCACTGGAATATTAGCCTATTAAGCAAGTGAATACACTCATCAGCTTATGTATATGTGTATATATACATATATGAACATAATATTCAAAAGGTTAACGAATACTAAAATGTCAATATTCTGCTATTCATTCTATTTTATAAGTAATATGAATAATTATTTTCACATTTTTTCAAAGTGTTTTATCATTCTGCCTTCAAATCTAACAGATTCCAACATTTGCTAGATTTCGTTTATGGAAGGGATTCACTCGATGGCGTAAAGTGATACGTTACACGAAAATAGAACAGTGTAAACGATTCCTACGTGATAACTTATTCATTGCAAATTCATCACTTCGACCGGCATTGTTAAATATCCGTGAAATGTGCTATCGTATTGGAGATATGGGATTATGCAAGTTAGAAAAGGACAAAACGTACACATTATTGGAGTTTTTAACGAATCAAGTTAATCAGTTGAATGAAGTATGTACAAGACTGTGTGAATTTCGTGAACTCGTCAAAGAAGTTGTCCGCGGTGCATGTCGTACCGCCTTATTGGAATATGGTTTTATGCCGGACGACTATTTAACGGATAATATTACAGTACTTCCAGGAACAGGTAATACTCAAATTTCAATGCTCAAAATAAGTTTGCATATCACTAATTATAAATATATCTGACAACAATAACAAATAAGCGTGATTTGTACTGATAAACTATAATAGTTTGGCGACAAGCTAAAGAATATTTCAATGAACATGCACAGTCAAATAAAGATACATAGGGTTTGAGACAGTTGCAGTCCAGGTATTCTACTAATCTCATTTTATTATTGTTCTTTATAGCCTCATAGTTTTTGTGTCTGGAATCTCCGTCCTATTTTTCCCTGCTATTACTGAAGTAGACCTTTCTGTGCTACGTTAATTTGGGAGGATGACATTTATTTTGTAGGTGTTTCATTGTGTTTTGTTCCCATTAACTAATTCCCATCTGTATCCAAATATGCGGATAGCCAAGGCTTCTCTTTCTTCCTACATATATATATAAACCACGTCAAAGCCGTATCTATCATTTGTTTTGGATAATACATGGAATGGATGACGTGTGTTGATCCGTTAATTAAAACATTTAAATAGTAGCGATGGTAATAAACATGTTTAAGGACCTTCTTACAAGCAGTTTTCACCACATAAGGAGAAATCAGTAGAAGACATTGAAAGCTTTCGAATTAAAAATAGTTTCTAAATTCTTTTTGATGAGAAATCCGCCCTGAGAAAATAGTACAGCTCAATTATCATTTGTAATTCCTTTCTTCGTTTACGTGTGTGAATATTAAGTAGTTGAACATCAGTTCGAAAAGTTTTCTTATTTATCAATCAAATCTTTTTTTTGAAGAGCGTAATCTGTATGATGTTGAGGAGCTGATAGAAAGTTGCAAACTTACGGCTAAACGGTTACAACTTGAACCATTTCCGTATAGTCGAGATCATCCGTTAGTTGGGCAAGCTGTTAAAGCTGTTGATTTGGCTTTACTGCAGATCAAAAACAATCGTTACAAACTCGAACGACGCACAGAAAAGTTGAAAATGCGTAATGATTGATACTGTTGTTAAAGTGTTAAATGTTTGTCATTTGGTTGTTTCATTCTCTTCATTTAATCGTTACATTTTTTTGTTGTTTTGTTGCTTTTAAAAAGCCTGCAATACGTGCGAAATACGTTTTCTTTAACAAACATGTAACTTTTATTTCAGAACAATTTGGTGTGGGAACAAGTTATATTTCGTCAGGTTGTGATATGGAAATCTTTTCAGATGCACCGGAAAAAATGACGTTTACAGAAATGGCTTCCAAACGCAAACACTGTCAGCGTTTAACCTGGTATGACTTGTTTCATTTTAAATCACATCACAGTAATTCTATTCAGAATCTTCAGTCTTTTCTCGTTGTTAAAAATCAGCTAGAAATAAAGCTTGCAATTCATTTAAATTAATTCATTATACTTAATTGGCTCAGTAGTGAGATATCATTGGATTTTAGTGCTAGATAAATTTCAGTGATGAAAAGAAACTGTGATACAGCGTAGTCAACGTTAGGTATTTTTCTTTAGTCATTTAGATGACCTCAGCCTGGTGATTACACATGCGGCATACTTACATTCAGTTGCCATAGTATCTGCTCTGACTTGCATAACTAAGAGTGTTCCAGATACATACAGAACAGTTACGAGCATGCATCTAATTAAAAATGATCTTTGTGTGAGAGATTTAGACTAGGAGAAATTTCGCCAGTTAGAACACTTCAGTTTTGCGTTTTCCGAGGATTTTTATGAATATTTTGGTCACAGAACTTTCACAATACTCCTGCTTGTATAGTATCCTGTGAAAAGTATGAAAAAATCAAGGAGTCAGTGTGATGACCAAGTTTATTCACAGGATATCAGTGTTTGAATAAATCACCGATGACACCTCTGGCTGCGGCAAGGAATAGTGCAGATTTCTGAATTTAGGTTGCGGATTTGCTTGAAGGTAAGTACTAATAAACTGAGGTGTTTTGCATAAACCATGATGGGTTGCATCTCTGTAATCACAACTCAACATCGATATAAAATTTGAAGCCATAACTTAAGACACTACTATTCAGTAATATGCATGTGTTCAGTTGATAATTACAAATGCAGCCAAAGAAAATCTCTAAACTTATCCACCACTTTTTTCCTAAATTAACGCAAAAGTAGTCATACGAAAACATTGTTTTCTCCTAATTATTTTTATCATCGTTACAGTTTTATACGTCTTGCAGATTACCAAATTGTTAGTACACTACATGTGCTCACAGTGAATTCAGTTTATACAATATTAGATTGTTTGAGTGAACATCTCCGTCACACCCCCGCTATAAGTGAAATAGAAACATACAAAATTGAAGTGGAAGAATTATCGGAAGCACCGATCGCTGATATGGATATAGGAAGAAGAGATACGGTAGCTGGACAGAAGTCAACTGTTAAAAAGCCGGTGAGTTACTCAATTACAAAGTATATCTTCAACAGTATCAGTATTTTTTCAGTTGTCCCAGCATACTAATAGGAAGCTTAAGTCATCACTGTGGTGACCATCCAGCTAAGGAAACGATAACCTTCCCTTAGGTCATTTCAGGTGGCATTTAGTGGAGTTCAAGCTTTCTCAACTATGTAGTACCTTATCTCTTAGCTGAAACAATACTCCAGAAGTCTCAAGAAACCACACAACAGTTAACAAACAGGTGGAATATTCAAAATATTCTTTTGTCTTTTTTGTAGGCACCTAGTCAGTCAAAAGTGAGAATCCCTTCGCATTTAATGTAATTCGCGTGATCATGATTCAAATTCTCGTGCAGATATTGCAGACCGATAGTAACCAAATACACAGCCTGTTGTGGTTATTCGTCCATATCATCAGTATGGTTATGATTTGTTTATTTTAATTTAATGGAATAGCGTCCGACTTCAAAAAAACTTAATCTAGTAGGAATTTAAATCAGTATTGTGACATAATTTGTGACACACTGCCTAACCATTTTTAAATATACCTTCACTTACAAAAGTGATTAATTGTATATACTATTAAGGATTTGCAGATAACAATTATAAAGGTTTTTTTCATTTTTATTGAGTTCCAGACAGAACATAGTGCCTTAAGGTTCAGAGTTTCATAGGCAGCAGTGTTATTCTATGAGGTCTGATACTTTATGATAAACTAGGTGGGCTTAAGGAATGCGTCGCCTAGAAATCGAACCTGCACCTGTGACGTGACTGATGATCACTCAATTAGTGAACCATCTAGAAGTGTTTGCCGTTGGTTTCTATTCCTCGGTAGGATTTCAATTCATATCCTTTGTTCAGAAATTTTTAGTTAATTTTGAAATCACGTCTGAAAGTAAATGAAGAACTTTTTTTATCTTTTCTATAGATGTCAAAACAATCTTCAACCGATAAAATCCAAGACGAGTCGAAACTACCTCCGCTTTTTGCATTGGAGATTATACTAGAACCATCTCGGCTGTATTTAGTTCCGGACGAGTCTCTATTTCAAGATGGCATTCTTGAAATTATCAGTAAATTTCAGGTAAAACTTACATTTTGCCTCTTGTACTAATAGACTTTATTTTTGATCATATATTATACGGAGGATATCAGTGGAATTAAAAACAATAACTGCTCTAAAACTGGTAGCCATTACTGGGGTGTAGTTTTATCCTACAAGCTGCGAATTCACAAACAGAAACTGATCCATGCATAAATCAAATTAGCAGAAATGCAGACACTGCAGCGTATGTTAAACCTAGCCAAACATGATCTCTTACTAGCCATTTCTGATTATTAGTGTGAAAATCCGTATTCACTTCGTTCTTTGGCATACTTTAGACAAGCAGTTACATTAACCACGTAGAGCTTAACGGACAAGTAAAGTCGTTTTAGTTGTCGAATTTCTCATGTGTGTTTAGGAGGAGGGGAAATAAGTTAACGTACATTGATAAGCTATTTCAAACTTTGAAGAAAATTTAAAATAGGTGTACTCCTGTCCCACTGTGAAAGATTTTAGGTCGTGCCATCATAGCACACAGTGATCATAAATGCCTTAAACCATAAGCAGCCTAACCAAGTAATTTATAGTGCCATTAACAATTCATTAACTTTATGGATTACAACAGGACCTCACTATACCCAATCTTATATTATAAGCTGCAGTATACAATGATTCAGTGTTTGTTTTGTATTCTCTCTCCAAGTGCGTGGGTGGCACAGTGGTTAGGACTATCGCTGGCCATGCTCATGGTCTGGGTTTCGGTCCCTGGCCGTTGCACACCTGGTATCAATGGTCGGCCTGCAAAATTTGGGCTACTGATATCACATGCTGAAAATTCCATACTTGTACCAAAAATGCAGTGTGGAATCAAGCTATAATCAAGCAATTAAATAAACAACTCGTTACATGTACACAGTTTCACTGAACAGTTAGCATTCATTGTACAGTTTTATTGCTCGGACGGCCCCAGAATATGTCAGAAATATATAGTTTCGTTCAAGTGGAAAAACAAATTCTAGAACGCTGTAAAGGCACAGACAAATCAGTTATTTGAAGAGGTACCGACATTTACATTTTAGGCGCTCCGCGTTCGTCAGAGTACATGCAGAAATAAATAACAGAGGTTTTATAAGTCTTATTTTCACCTAAATACTCATTTGTAACTGTACTAAAGTGGCCCAACTTCACTGTTTTGAAAATGAAGTTTTGTTTATTTGATAAAGCTCACTGTTGGTAATGAATAGCTGTACATCATGTTAGAGCATACAGTTTCTAGGTGGGTCTTTTGTTATAACTTACAAGATTTGCAGTGTAACATACCTAACTTTCTCGTCTTCGAATAGTTATTAGGATAAACGCCTTAACGTCACCACGTCCCTTCTAGTAGCAGAAGTAACTAGCTCACGGGTTGCCACAACATTCTTATCTAACTGCTAAATAATGACAGTTGTTTTTAGTCTTGCCACTACTCAACAGACCTTGCTAACAAGGTGGTATCTGCATAAAACTGTCGTTACCAACCTTATAAATTTTTTTATTTTTTTTGATCACAGCTTGATTCCACACTGCATTTTTGGTACAAGTATAGAATTTTCAGCATGGATATCGGTAGCCCAAACTTTACAGGGCGACCATAGATATCAGGTGTGCGTCGGCAGGGGATCGAACCTCGGACCATGAGCATCGTCGGCGATAGTGCTAAACACTGTGCCACCGACGCGGAGTAAGCAAATCTAGTCGTTAAGTTGAGATACATAGTTGTTTGTTCTGTCCTCGCGATAAAACGATAATCGTTTGGAAAACTAGTAACAACAATATGAGTAACTATAAAAGAAGGTAATTCCATGTTAGTAAATTCATTTGATGAAAAATGATAATGAGTGACAAACTATACTAGAATTGTCATCCAGCACATAATACTGTGTTAGCTGGCGCTAGATTTATTAAAAATTAGATTAAGGTTCATATTAATTACTCCAGTGGCCAATATACTTTGATATAGTCATACTGTGTATATCCTTTCCTTTACACCAATGTATTTCATATTACTGTTATTTTAGAAAATATATCTGACTTTCACACAAGAAATTTCATGGATTCGAGAACTTTTTACCGATGACAGTTTATGCAGAATAAGTCGACTTGCATAGTGACCTGACTAAAAGTTATTAAGTTAGTCTTAAATATTCCTAAATTTAAGGCGTGCGTAATGAAGTATTGCACGTGAGGTCGTGATCTCAAGAGATGAGGTCAGATTTAAAAAAACCACACAAAATCCTATTAACATCTAAGTATTCATTTCCGGTCAAACAGATGTTTGAAACAACAGAGCTACCTTCTTACAAATAATAATAAAAAAACTGTTGTTGTTTCATTTTTCCTTTAAATTCCATTTCATACCAAAAATATGCATGATTTTAAATCTTTGTCTAGGAGCAAGTGTTCAACATTAAAAACTTAACACCAGACCCTTATTTTGATGCATTCACAAGACCATTAATAAATAATAAATTTGAGGAGAAAACATGCGGCACAGGACCGCAGCTACGAAACATGTTTGCTGAAGATACTGGACTACAAGAAATCATTTATCATGTTAAAAAATCTTTGAAAAGCGCTTTTGAAGCTGTCAATTCATATATGAATACATTTGTAGAAATCCATGAATTCTATCGAGACAACGAAGAAATAAGTAAAGAAAGTATACAAACGGACTATGGAAGTACGTTTTCACTTACTTATTGTTAGATCCAAACTTGTATTACTGCTAGTATTATCGTTTGAATAAAACATGAACAGTAGTTTGAACAAGATTAGACGATATCATTCACTTTGGTAACTTCTTTTCAACTACCTTCAGATTAAAAACACTCTTATAATCAAGACAACAAATGTCCATGTGCTGCAGTTCATTTCTGATTTTAAGAGGAAATGACACTGATATTGCATTAGTTACTATTTGGGTCGATGAAGTCAATAAAGCGATGACTGCAATTCACCACTCAGAAAAAAGTGAACAGATTTCCCGGGACAAGAACACCTGTTGCTTTTTCTCTAACAAGTTAATTTTGTTTACTTGTCATTCTGTAATAATGACAGTTCCTATATGTCTGAATGACCTCGTAGCATATACCATCTGAGTAAACTTAAAGGAATACTGTCAATAGATGTTATAAAATAAAATCAAAAAACTTTTATTAACGAACAGTGAAAAGAGCGTTTTCCATCTACCATCTGAGTACCTGAAAAGTAGTACCGTGTTTTAAGGATCATGCAGTCCAGATCAAAATTTCAGGGCGGCAGGTAATCCTTGATAATCAGTGCTGACAGCTGTAAAATCTGCGCCGAAGGTCGGATCCTGATTGGACCCTAATTATCAAGATAAAGTTATGTATCATCTTTACTAGATTCAAACTTGGCGTTTAAAGGTCTTTCAGTGAATAGTTAAAATGTTACCAAGGTAACGCTTTTTATATGACTATTTATTTCACGGGTTTTGAAGTTTACATCTATTAGTTTATTCAATGTGATAGACAACAACATGAAAACCTTCAGAATAATTTACAGGTAATCGATTTAGCTGCTGAGGCACAACAATATATAGAACAATTATTTGCATATACATTCTTTTTTCTCTTCTCCTTTCGGCGAATTCCACCTCTTCACTGAACTACTTGTTTTGGTTCTTTTCATTAGTGTTTGATTGAGGATTATCCATGAATCAAACGAGTTCTAAACTCCTATAGTAGAAAATTTCCAAACTGAATTAGACGTTTGGAAGGAACATATTTAAGGGTGAAATTTTAGCACAGTTTGCTTTAGGAAAGCGAAATATTCAGATCACATACCGTGATCTGCTTGATGCTATGAATGACAATTCGGGAAATAAGATAAATAGTAAGCTTCTATGTACTACCAATTGATGTGAGAATTTGGGAGTCACTCAGGTTAAATAGTAGCACTCACCAGGCAGATAAAAATGACCTAAACAACACTCGGTCGCTGCACTGATTCGGGACAAGATCACTAGTAGTTCAGTGAAGTCAATTGGTTTAACCAGCTCGAATTTTACCATCTATGATTAGGTTATTTTGGAGTCTAACACCTGTTCCAGTAATCCTACTTTAAAAAGGTATCATCAGTGAAACTCAGACGGAATTTCTAAGATTGTCTAACACGTTCAATACAGACAATTGAAAAGGTAAAGAAGATGCTTTGAAATTCTTTTATCCTTATGTTGAGTTTCATAAAAGCATATATTCAAAGTAAAGTATTAGAAATTATTGTTAATGATCCATTCATTTCAAATGTTAATATTTTTCAGCGCGAACGGATGAAATGAATCATGTGGGACGTCTTAGAGAGAGTAAGTTTGTGTGTTGATGTAAGTTACTAGTTTGTCATGAATTAAACAAAAATGGAATGTTCTACAGTGAATACTGCCATTGCACTGAAATCAACACAGAAATTGTGTGGATATCGGCCTTCATAGCTTAGAATTTCCATGCAAAAATCATATTCTTTTATCAAATCAACATAAAGAATGTGGTCATATGTGGACTCTTTTAAATACTCATAAGCTCACGTTATTGTTATGTACTGTATATGGTGTTTAGTCCACCGGTGGATCACTAAATCCTCTTACGGTTAATGGTGTGACAGTCGATAACTTAGACTTTACTGCAGTAATTTCACCTAGTGTGAAGGTGTTTTTATGTTATCTCAGTCTAGGAGATGATGTCACCTAAAAGTGCATGAACAGAAATATCGATTTAAGCACCACATTATTGATATATGTTCTAGACCAGTCAGTGTTTTCACTTTGGATACCCGTGTGACTTTTATTCCGTTATTTGAAAGGATAATGATGTTGCGCACACCCAATATATACGACATGATTTACTAAAAAGCGTTCTGAGTTAAAAACGTATATTCGTAACATTTAACTCCAATACAATATTCATAATCCATTTATTCAAAATCTGCAGATATCGAGATAAATGCATCATAATCAAAACTTAAAGTATTCAGAAAAACTATGCGATTTCCATCAAACAGCTAAAAGAATAGGTGTAATTATTCAAAAATTATCTATGAGAGAAGCTAATTACCTGAAAAAGCATGACTTGTTTTTGTATATATATATATATATATATATATATATATATATATATATATATATAATGAAGAAAGTTATAAGTGTAAAGAAATAACGAAGTTATCATGAAGCTAAACCAGTTTCTCTTTCTTCCTGCCTTTTGATTACAGCTGTTGAATTTTTCAAAACAAACTTACTGAAACATCATCGTCAAGTTAAAATCTCTGACCTTGTACCAGTTCAACGACCCATTGGAATGTTTTTAATTGATACAATGACTTTGCGTACCCGCCTTTTGCCATCACCAAATCGATGCTTAGAGATATTGCATAGTCTTTTGCCGGTATATACACGCAGTGAAGTTGACAGATTAGTGCATGAAACTCAAGAAGCTGAATATACCTTGTCTGTATCACCAAGTTCCACAGTCGATTATGTGAATCATTTTGAATTTCTCAATCAAATACAAAGTAGGGTAAGTGTCTTTTTCCTTTTTTTGTTGTCCATAAGTAATTACCGACTGACTGGACAGCTGACTGCTCACCTATCTAAATTACTCACTGGCTAATCGAATGAATGAATGAATGGAAACGTGAGCTCCATGCTTCACGTATGTACTGACTTTTGAAAGCACTTGATTATTCAGCCTAAGATAAGTAGAGCATCTCTCAGTGTATTGTCGCGTAAATAGTGGAGTATACCCTATCTAACTCCAAGGATGTACACACAAATCCTATTATTTCAGAATACTTCTTAACGAGCCAAATTTCGTGATTTATCAATACACATAATATGAAATAAAAAAGGTCTACAAGAATCCTTTGGAACATGAATTATCACAGCAATTAAATTCAACTATATGTAATCAACTAGTCTATAGGGCAACAAAACAAATATTGGGTTGCATAGTAAGACTTGTCTATGGTGGTGAATAATGGATCAAGCCACTACATTGGTAATCAGTTGCTCAGGAAAACCATGGTGATAAGTTTGAAAACATTTTGAATAAAAATGGAAAAATGTTTCTACAGCATACCACTAGCTTCAGACTGCAGCATAAAATAAAGTCAAATAACACGAATTCATTGCAATTAAGGTGTAAATATAAGTCGTTTTATGAATAAAGGAAAATCCAGAAGAGCATTGCAGTGGAACCAAGAGAAGTTCCGATCACACTGAAATCAAGAGGCTCTTAATAAAAGTATAATTAACTATGTTTTTTGTTCTGAAATTGTCCTAGAAGTACAACTTATCTACGTCTACAATTTCCGATAAATTGATGCTTTATTCTTATTATGTTCGGATCGAGTTAATACGCCGCATATGAACTTTATCAAAATTGAATATTACTTCAATTTTAATAGCCATCTCAGTGTTAAATAAATTTAGGATATGTTAAAGTATGACTAAAAGGATACAGATGCTTAAAAGATATGCCCAGTTATGGTATGATGATCTTGTGCTTCATGTCTTGATGTGATGTAGACGGGTAGATTAGTACCGGCATGGGACTGTGATATTATTTCAAAATCGGTTGTGAGTAAAACAAACAACACAGTCAAAAACGGAAATCAGGTTTTATAATTCTGTACTATATAACATTTGACAGATAAGAAGATAAATCACACGTTAAAATAAACAAACATATACACAAAATGAGAATATATTCCTATTACTAGAAAGATTAGGAATGCAGCCACCTCAGCTATAGTCTGTGTTAGTCAGCATATGCCATGATCGAAGATGCTGTTATTTGACCTACAGCTACAATTTTTGACTGAGTGGTGCATTAGTTCAATCAAAGAATTACAAAAGGAAACTTAGATCAGCGCGGTAAAATTCAAACTGACCAATAAAAGGCAAATAAAAATGAAGTCTTTAAAACTTTTCCGGACTTTCTGAAATTAAGACACAGATATTTATGATTACAATTACAAACTCAGTATAAAATATAATAAATGTTCTTTTATAACTTCTTCAATATTGATTTATATTTGTCTTCTTCATTTAGATTGACCCGGTTGAGAAGGAAGCTGAAGTTATTAAAGAACTTTATGAAATGATCGAAGCGTTTAATGTGCCAGTACCGCCGGAAGATTATGCAGTTTACCAGGTAATACCGTAACTAAAGTAATAAGCATAACATAAACAATGGCCAGATGTTTTCGTAAAGTGATAATGGTCTTAACATGAAGCAATTGTTGAGAAAACTCGTAGTGTGATTTTGAAACGAAGTGAATAAAATACCTGCCTTGCTGCCAAATAACTTTCATCTGGGTAATGAATAACACTGCGTGGCTGATATCCAACATCTCTTATCAGTAGGCAGTATATGTGTGGAGTTCTTGATATCATTTGACTTGATAGGACTTTCAGTATCCAGTAATCCATATATATATATATATATATATATATATATATATATATATATATATATGTTAGTTGTCAAACGTGACCATGGTGATATCTCACAAATTTATGGCACCAAAAATTTGCACTTTAACTGTGGTCTGAGATTCTTTGGCATTCATAATCTGACATGCTAGATACAAGTAGCAGTTAAACAACCCAGCTCAGAGAGTGCTGTGACAACGAAAAAATCATCCACTCCAGTTATGAAACTTCTTAATCATCTCAAGATCATGTTTTTATAGTGCTGTAAGAGGCTTGAAACAAATAAAGAAGAAACATGTATTGTTTATCCTGTTTATTTGTTAGTAATTACCATAATCACATTGTTTGCCAAGGGTAGTAGGTGATGGAGAGAAGACATCGAAAAGCCATAGACCTGGATTTCTCATATCTTTGCATACCTCAGTAAAGACCACCTCCAACTTAAACAGAATGGATGCAATAGGATGATGCAGTCAAAGATATTATAACTCTGCTCCTTACTTGACGTTCAGAAGAACCAGATTAAACAAAGTGACTGATCACTTGAGAGTAGTCTATGCTACATTGCCTAGTTTCAAGTATTGAGCAAGCTCCAATATAATTATCCTAGAAATCATTCATATACATTCATAACTGTGAGGTTGCAGGCATCAAATGTGTGCGTAAAACCAAGTAGCAACATGTTCTCTAATTTGTTTTGATGGATAATTAGTAAGTGTCTGAAATATATCTCCCTGACAATCTATACTTCCTACTTTCAATGTGTGGATCAACGTAACCTAATATGTTCGCTGAACAGGGTTCTCCGAATCATACAGCAAATCATGTAAAATTGAATCTTGCGGATGTTTTCCGGTATTAAATACATAAGTCTTACTGATTTTAGAATACTCCCAACAATTAGCAGCAGTCTGTGGATTTAGTGCAGCTACAGATTTATACTGTCCTCAAAATACTCTTAGCTAACGCTAAACAAACCAATGGGACTTTAGATGGATTCCTCGGTGAAAAAATGAAGAATTACGGAGTGAATGGTCATACCATGTGACTTATAAGCACTCTCGTCAAACGCTAAATCCCCTGACTTTGTGGTAATGCAATGAAGTTATGAATATTCCTCACATTCATCACTGATATTTTTTGAATTTTGATATGTTACTTCAGAGTCTTATACCGTCGATAGACAGAGCCAAGAATGCTATCGACAAAGCATTGGGAGATCGTGATTTATGTATTGACAAATTCTTCGGTTTTTTGGAGAAAGACGTTGCAGAACTTATGCGTGACATCAAAGAAGCTAAACAAGCTATAAATGTGAGTGATTTGTTATTTGAATAACGCTGAAAATGTTCCCGTTTGTGTATTTGTATGACTTTATTCTTCACCAAATCCCAGAGTTTTAAAAACCGCTCTTATTGGTACTACAAACACAACTGATTCACTTCATACAATTCCTGTGTATTTGGTTCTTGTAAGCTTCACACGACCTAAAATGGAAAAGTTACAAGGATATTTTAGAGTAAAGGACGGAAGCTGGACACTAAACAGTAGTGTGAATTGATAGTAGGATCATAAGTTCTAATGATTCGAAACGCCAGAACCACTGTTTGACGTGAGTAGTTTCTAGCTGCTCACCTCACTGAACCACTGGTTTATAGTGTCACGCTTTTTCACTTGTTTTCTTGATCGCCATTTATGGCATCAAGCAGATCACGTATGATTATTTGGATGTGTTTGGTTTGCGCAAGAAACTGTGGTGATTTCCTTTCTCGAACTCTATAGCTTGCTAATGACGGATTTGACTCTACGTACTAACAGCTCACCCTAGTAGCTATCTAGAGTTCGGGTAGTTTGAAGTGATTCGTCTATCAAAGGTGAGTCGAACCAGCTAAACCTCTGATGAGCTCGGCTCCAGATGAGAAGAACAACCGTCCCGTGTTTAGATCACCTTGATCTGATTAGTAAACACTACTGTTTGACATGAGCGGTTTCCAACTGCTAATATTAATCAATCGGTGCTGCATAAGGAAATGACAACAGTTTCTTTCTGAACTTTCAGATTGGGTTTCAACCGCTTAATCGCTACCGCCTCGGTTATATGTAATTGACCTTACAATATAAATGCTGGAATATAAACGGGAACTCAGGTGGCTATGATCAACCTGCTCATTGATCACACACCTAATTTGTAAATCAAGTTGCAAATACCTTTGTATTTATGTTATTGATTGTGGAAGTCTACATATGTTCTAGATACTTCACACTTGTATAAGCAAATACATTTGCCTAGTACATAACTAGACAGTTGGAAGTCAAAACGATGCAATGTTCATAGCTAAGATGAAAGCATAAGGAAAAAGCAAATCAGTTCACATGACAGCCCTGATGAAAATGCATCACAGTTTCACAGTACAAAAGTTGGTTCTTCAATACTAAAACCAACCCACCTTACCTAATTTGCAGTAGACACACTTCATTTCTAGTTAAGTTATTAGATGGCTGGAGTCAATCGGCAGGAAGTCTTTGGCCTAGGTTTCGTGCTGCTTGGCACTCATCAACAAGGCGCATCTACAACCTCGAAGAAACTCATGTCTCTTCTGAGATTTGAACCCGCGTGATCCAGTGATGCCATGTTGCAAACTTGACTGTGAGAATTCAGTCTGCAGCCAACAAAGGACTAGACACATTACACTAGTTACCGATTAGTGTCCAATCAAAAATAGTTAAGTTATACTAGAGTCTTCCTCAATCTCTTTTTTGCCGTAAAGTTATGATTCACTCCTTGAAGTACTCTCCTGTCCGATGAAAAACCAAATACTCATTTGTCAGATTAGAAGTGCTAGTGAGAGTCTGATGATAAGATTCATTCACAGAATAAACTAATTGTTCTCCAACTTTGCTCAATTGCACAGAAGACAAGGGCCAGGCAACAGATCGTTTTATTACGGAAATCAACACGTATTTATATATATTTCACATACATTATTGTAGTTTATTCAAGTAGACAAACGCAGTCTTCTGATTGGTTGTTTTCGAGATTTCTCGGAAATGGAGCCATCTATCTGAGAATCATATTTGCCCACGTTTAAGTCTGCTGTTATTAGTTGTTGAATCAGCCTTGTTCATATTTTCTCACGGCCAATATTAGTGACCTAGACACTGACGTAGATTAATGTCTACCAATTGCCTAGCAGCCTGCTCTCACCACAGTATCACTAGCGCATATAACATTGAGGGATATCTCACTGTCTTTGAGAGTTAATTCCTTAGGAAAAAATCAAAATAGTATACAGTCAAATAAATCCATCCCTTGTGGGAATTATCCATGCCAACCAATAACAGTCTATAAAAGAAAGAATATATATTTAACAGCGTTGGTGTTTCTTTTTACTTCCTAAATTTATAATAAAAATGGGTTGGATGGCGTATATAATGACTCACAATAATTATTATGTTACACTTTATCCATTTCATTTCTTCTCATATCTAACTGAGCTCTTGTCTACTTATCTTTTTTGTATTTATCTGAATGCATGTAGAATCCAATACTTTTAGATGTTACAGCAGAACGTGAAGCTGTTCGTGCTGAACTGTCTAGACTGAAGGCAACCATGGATGACTTACAAAACAGGGCTGTAACTTTCAAAACATATCATAAAAACTTTAAGGTAAATGAAATCTGTTAAAAGTGAACTTGGTTTGGACATATATAAATGAAATCTATTTAAAAACATTTTATCAGATGATTGTGGAATGCTTTAATTCAGAGTTTACTGAAAACAACTTCTTTGCTGATATTATTAGACTGAAACAGATAACATTTGTGAACAAACGGGGTATTTAGTGGACGTATAAGTTTCGACAGGATCCACCAGTTAAGATAAGGTGAATATACATTCAAACAAAATGTACATATTGACATCAGTTAATTATTTATTTGAAAAAAAAGCTGAATAAAAAGATACCATCTTGCATGACTTCTTTTTTCTGTGCAAAATTCAACTGTACGCATGACAACGGCAGAGGTGAATCAAAATAATTACTCACTGATATCTCTTGATGACCTTACAACTTCAATCAACACGAGTATTGAAGTCAAAGTCTAGCAGATGATTTATATTCGAACTATTCTGATTCGTGTCACGCAGTTGAACTCTAACCGCCTTCAACAGTGTTCAGTAACCAGCTCGATATATACGATTCCAAAAACACCTGTAAATTGATGCATACATTCGATACTGTGAGAATCACTATATTATCTTTCCCGTGGTGTTACTACCCTCTGACTGACTGAATTGTATCTGTATCTTGGATACTGTTACGTGATTGTTCCAAGCTGTTTTATTTAAAATACTTCATGCTAAACATTTCAGGACAATTATTTGTTAGTGGTGTATCATTCATATACTTTAGCTATTTCAGAAAATCCTACTTGCTCTATTATAAAACTTCGTACCTAGACCTCTTCGAGTTTCTTCATAATCTTTTTGTTATAACTGCACCTAAATGAATAAACTCATCGCCGATTTTTTATGTCTGAGCCGCTAACTGTTATAACGCTAATGAACTTGTCTGGTACGCCAATATGCGCCTATTTATCCGTTGCACCTTCCGATTCAATGAGCCACGCAATTATCAGAAGACGGGAGCTGGCCTGTAACTATAAGATAGAAATTGTATATTGTACATCTATTAGGAAACAAAACATCTCATTTATACATTTCTTTGCTACAATAAAGTCGCCTCACGGACGTGAGAATAATTGTTCTTATTGGATGGAAATTTCTAGCCTGATTGGTGGACAATCCGACAAAGGCCAAGGGGAGACAGAAGATGGTCACACACTAAATCACAATTCACGTGAGAAATGATAGATCAGCGTAGTAACTCCATCACAAGATAAATCACATAATTTGTGAGGAAGGACAACACACTATTTCGTGCTGGTTTCTATCACTTTAAGTACAGCATTTTGAATTTATTCGTCATAGGATGTCTGATCAGGGAACTGGATACTTCTCTAGTAAAATCTATTCTGGAGACAATCGCACACTATTTGCATCTAACTTTTTTTCAAAACTTTGATTACTTTGATTGTTCATTATCCAGTGGTTTCATGTAAAATGAACTAGTGTTGAACATTATTAATTAATTTCTAGTTAGTAAAAATATAATTTGTAAGTCTGGATTTTCTTTGAAGTTGATTAGTAGGTCGACTAGTAAAGATACACTGATATACCGAAAACTGACTAGATGACCTCCTCTTCTCAAAACTTTTTATTTTCTTGAATAAACGAAGCTGAGTTCGAATACAAAAGATTTAAGTTGGACAACTGATTTCAACGATTCATACTGGTAAACCGAAAGTGTCATTTTTAAGTATGATTGAGAATAAATATGCGGCTAACTATAAACATTTTTCAGTTGAATCACTGCTTTTTTTATTCCAGGATCTGTCACAAGCCTTATCAGGAACCTCGATTGAAGTGAGTGATCATTTATTTCATTATGTGTCCCACTCATATAACATATGATCTGTTTCACCAGAAAACTGAATACGCATGACAGTAAAAATATGTTTCAATCCATTTGGTGTGATGATCAGATAAACTATTTTGAGTCACTTTGTTACCTGTCACTACTATTTAACAGTTGTGTGAAACTAGAAAATTTAAACCCAGAAGAAAGTGTAAGCTTCCAGATATCGTGAATATTTCACCTGAGATTTACCTTATACCTATCGTCTTCACAAAGAACACCTAGCATGAATATAGTTAACATCCTCATGCTACTTCATGATACAGATAAATTCAATAGTCAAACAAGAGTCATGAAGTAAGGTGAACCAATAACTAAAGGATGATGTGGTTAGGAATAATTTACCTCCGTCAGTCATACTAGTTGTAGCGTGGTCATAGGAAAATTAAAAAATCATCATTTCGCCATGCCTGTCTTTTGGATGTATTACTTAAGGAAATAAATTACTGTATACCATCAAAGAAGCTTAAAAGAATGAAGTATTTTAATTTTGTTCTAATTGGCGTAAAATAAATATTCCTGTTATATGTCAGTCGTTAGTATTACTGTTAGTGAAAATGGTCTTCTTACTAAGTAAGTACAGAAAATAACGAGAATATATTGATCTTAAAGAGCAACACTTGTAACCCGAAAGCATATCGCGTTTAAAATCTCCTAACACTTATATCTTACTTTATTTTCTGACATTCTAGGATCAAATACTTGCAAGAGCTGGTGTACGAGCCACATCATTCATAGTAAGTTTATCTGCAATCGTTGCATCAGGATTATTTCTGCTTTGTTTTAGGCGTTGTAGCACATTTCCCATTATTTTCAATGCCTTTTAACTTATTTTAGGAATATTTACAAAAGCTGTTTCCACACGTCATAAAGGTTAGCTGTTAAATTACTTGCTGTTTAATTGTTTTTGTTGAAGACTGTTACTGTTCATTCTAGACTTACCAAGCTGAAGAACAGAATGCCCATTTTTAGTAGTAGTGTACTCAGTGTGTGCGAATTTTGACTTCTCAGCGTATTTCATGCAGAGAGCCTACAAATGTGCTTAATGCATATAGCTGAGAGGTAAAATGAGTAATTCTGTATCGTTTCAGTTGATAAATATTACATTTTTATCTCAAAAATGAATTTACACAAGATTAAATACTTGCTTTGGAGTTTATTCATGAGTGCGTCTTATCAATTTATTCTTTTAACTTTTCATTCCTATGCTTAATGTTACTTGAATGCTTGACGATGATCTTCTAATCTCCTTTCACAGGTGGAACAACCACGTTTCGAGGAACTGGAAACACTAGTTGGAGAGATGAAACTGAAACACTTATTGTGGAATTCTCTGGAAGAATGGGATGAAACTGTTAAGGAGTGGATGAAGGCTGATTTTTTCAAATTAAATCCGGAAGAATTAACGAATGTTACAATGAAATATGTGAAGTCCGTCACATTGCTAGAAAAGGGTTTACCGCCCAATTCTGTTGTACCGTTGTTAAAGGAAAAAGTGGAGGATATGAAAGGAAAAGTAAGTATATGCTGTGCATATGAAAGCTTCATCAAACTGACAGCTTAGAAATGTTTGATTCTTACATATTAACAGTCGCAGTGAAACTCTGTATCCATATATGTTGAACTTGATTAAGCCTGATTCAATCATTCCTCTACTTAAAAGAACGATTGATAAACTGATCGTCTGAATGAATTAGGACACAATATAAGTTTTCAGTTTGATTTAACTTGTCTATAAGAGGTAATTAAATCAAAAAGCAATCACGTTGTGAACAATGAAATACTCACTCATGAAAGGTAAAGATTAAAACGTAGCTGCTTCGTTGCTCCTTCTTCTAAAAATTTGAAATATTAAACTCATTTCACTTTTTATTCACCTTATTTTTATTTGAATATACTTATGTATGTCGAATAACGCTGGCATAGCGAAGACGTTAAAAGTAGTAATTCTTTGAGTCTCTTAAAGTTGTTACTTCATATGGAACATCATTAAATTCCGTATCTAATTTAGTAACTGTGATTTCCATCATGTCTATTGCTAAATTTTATAATCTCATATTTTCCTGCTGTCTTCTTCATAATTTACTCGTGCTCTTAGACTGTTACTTTAAATGAGGAAATAAAATATACCTGATTTATGATGCTAGTTTATAGTCCATAGCTATTTCACCAAATGTTTTAAAAGACCTAAGCAGTTCCAAAAGGTTTCTGTGAACAAAAGATTAGATGTTAGTCTCAAAACAAATTTTACTAGTTTATTACACCGAATCCTTTTTTATTTTTTATTACCTTCATCAAGACATTCATTGGGTTATTCATCTTGTCAGCTTTTTTTAAGTAATGAACAGGCTTCACAATTACAGTCATGCCAAATTAGATGAGATTAATTAACTCCAGTTTCACTTCCACTGTTACTCAATACATGTCTGTCAACATCTTGACAGCTAATTTATGCAACAGATCACAAGCAACAAGAGAAAATCTTCTAAGTAACTGAATTTATATAACTTCGTAATAACTGTTATACTACATTACACTTACAAAAACTGTAGGTGAAGCAATAGAATAATGCTTGTCGTTGACGATTTACACTTTACACAGTTCAATAACGTGAAATCTTACTACAGTTAGTTTCCCTTGGAAACCAAATTATTCAACTCACAGTATGTGTTCTGCTTGATACCATAAATGGTAATCAAGAAAGCAACCATTAATGCTTAAAACTATAAACTACTGATTAATGTTGAACCCAGAAGAAGAGTGAAACTGGAAGTGCTATGGATTAAACCTACTATTGGTGAATAGTTTAATGTCGCCATCACTGTTTTGATCCTGTAGAAATCTAGAGTCACGTTTATCGAGAAATACCACATATCACTTAAGACTTATGTATTTTCAAATGAAAAAAAAAGATTTTTTCCGCATAACTTGTGCTATTCTGTTTCGAAATATTTTTTACTTCACTAAAAGTTAACAACTATCATGGATTTGCGTAATCCAACACTGAAACCACGACATTGGAAAATGCTAGAAGATTTAATTGGTTTTCAAATGTCTGAACTTGAAGAACCGTTGAATTTAGGCTTTTTGAATGAACTGAAAGCATTTCAAAAAGTGGAACAAATTCAAGAAGTGTCAGGTCAAGCAAGTTCTGAAGCAAGTTTAGAAAGTCTACTTAAAAAGGTTAGTGACGCTTATTTTACTAAATGGGTTCAGTGTTATTATTATTCACTCTGGGCTATAAAGTGTTTTTATCCACACCTTTATCTACAGTTAGTTGTATTTTGAATATTTTCTGCTGAGATATTTTGCTTTCGCTATCACTAGGTAGGTCAATGATTCATGAAACCCTTCACTGTCAGTCTTGGCCAGTGTAAGAGATTGTCGGCTATATGTTGTTCCTTACATACAGTCAATGTTAATTCAGAATCAATCATAAATGCAAACACTTTTTATCGCATCTTTTATACAGACGCACACAAAAGATACCCTGTAAATTGTCTGTACTAAACATATTATTCCCTATCACGCAAGCAAAACAATTTCTTTCCTTATTTGGTGAAAATTCTTCAAACCATCAAAGCTCTCATTGTCAGCAGCATGAAACTTGAACAAAATCATTCCTTGTTTTCGTCTGTTACCCTATAGTAAAGAAATCACCTCATTCCATCTCCAGTCGGTCAACTAACCTGCATAATGTTAGCCGACATAGGATTAAATTGAAAAAAATCTTGGGATTGGTGAAACCAAAGCATGGAATAATTCCAAGAATACATTAAGTGTTGGTCTCAGTTACCCATGAAAGTTTAGGTCATTTATCAAAGGCTTTCATGATGTTAAGGACTGATCGTTAACGAACTTTTGTAACAGAGTTCACAACTGATGATGATGCCTTAGATTTGTTCATACTTAGCTGTCAAAGTTTTGAATGTCTACATTACTCCTCATTATTCTCTCCGTTGTGCATGTTTACCACTATTTTATTTCTATTTCTCTGCTTTATTTAGTAATATATTGAAGTGTGGCAGCTTAAACTGACTAACTACGAAAATTTCCATCTATAGATTTAGCGGCTGACTATAAGAGGTATTGTTATAATTAAACATAAAATATGGAAGCCACCTACAATGGGTTTACATTCGCCCACCTAACTGGAATAATAAGCTCTGAACTAACTATACTAGCATACATCTGGCTAATGTTTTTTCTGTATGGCATAATACGCCAGTATTACAATCTATGTAACAATTATTGGTGTACTTTAAATTTTCCCACGCTTTGATACGTTAAGACTTATTAACGTATTATTATTATCGTAAATAAGCTTCAATCATTGTTAATATCCTTTTGAAGCCCTGGCTAATCTGCTTTACCAATAAACACAAAAGTATTTTAGGTTGAACTGTAAAGCCAGTGACTACGATTGTTCCAGTTCATGAAACCATTCGTCGTGTATTTTGATCTTTAAACAGTGTATTTAAATTTGATGACTTACTTGCAAAAATAAGTGATCATTGTGATATTAATTTATTATTATTATTTTATCCTTTGATTCCTAGAGGAACATAGGGCTTCAGCTGCGCACCTCCATTGCCTTCTGTTTTCTGCCAACTTTTTCACCCCGCTCCAAGTCTGTCCACATGCTTTCATATCCTCTTCACATGACCTCCTCCAAGTCACCCACGCACTGACGACCAACTCGCCACCCGCTTCCCTTCCGGGTTCCACTCGAGCAATGGCTTGTCTAGTGATGTCACTTGATGGTTTCCTCAGCGTATGGCCAGCCAATCCACCTCCATTTCTTCCTGCCTATTTGTTTCACAATCGGTTCCTGCTGGGTTGGTTCGATCATTGCAAGAGATCCTCGTTTCTGATCTTTTCTAGCTGACCATCTGATCTTGAGTATTGAGCGAAGACAACTGTTAATGAAGGTCTGAATTTTGTTTGAGTTGCTCTTTATGATGCGCTGGCCAAGTCTATGATCCGTATAGCGAGTAGCACTGATTTCACATTGGAGTTGAAAATCCGTATCTTATTTTTGATGGTGAGTGATGTTGACCTCCACACAGATTTGAGGGTAATGAAAGCCTGTCTTGCTTTTCCGATTCTGGCTTTGATATCCTCATCAGTTCTGTCGGCCTGTAGTTGAAATGATGCTTCCCAAGTAGGTGAAGGAGGTTGTTTCTTCCAGGTTCGTCCCATTTATGCTGGCTGATTGTTGTTGCTGTTGGTGTTGGCCAGGAATCTTCATCACCTCTGTTTTATCTATGTCCACGTGAAGGAAGTCCTGTCTTGATGCTTCTTCTGCCAGCTTGTTGCTTTTCACTTGCATATCTTCCAGTTTGCGGAAAATCAGATATATATCATCGGCGAAGTCCAGATCCTGCAAGTTCTCTTTTTGTGTGAGTCCATTTTATGCCTGTTTCGCAATTGCCCGTGGTTTGTCGCATTATCCAACCTACTGCAATCAGGAAGATCATTTGTGATAGTAAACAGCCTTGTCTCACTCCCGTCCTCACTTCGAATTCAAAAGGATAGCCTTCATAAAAGTATATGATCTATACTACCTGGCCGTCGAACTGTGAAAGGTAATCCAGTTGTTTAGTCTCAGTATATAAGTCACTTAGCTAATTATATAAAACGACACTTGATGGAACTGGATTTGTTACTACATGGAGTGTTTGGTGGAGAAGTCGAAAGCACAATATATTTGTGGTAATTTTCAACCAAATGTACTTACGAGATTCCAGTGAGTCTTACTTTTTCTTCAACACATATCCGTTTAAATAATTTGTTAAATTTATTTTTTCAAGGTTGAAGACTCTTGGAAATCAACTGAGTTCATTGTTTTACCGTATAAGGAAAGCAAAGATGTGTTCATTGTTGGTGGAACTGATGAAATACAACAATTATGGGATGATTCTAATATTAATATATCAACTATTGCATCATCACGTCATGTCGGTCCAATTAAAAACCGTGTTGATGAATGGCAAAGTTTATTGGATTTGTTCGGTAAAACATTAGTGAGTTTATGTGCATATTTTTAAAAATTAGCTGTTTGTTGTTATTCACCAGTAAAGACCAAAAGCAAAATAAAAATAATGGTGAAACTATTAATGATAACACAAATAAGAAAGAATATACGTCATCCACTGTTATACCGTATAAGGAAGGGACATCTGAGGCCCTACGTGGGATTCTTAATAAAGCAGGAATTAGGGTGGCATTAAAACCTACAAACTCACTCAGAGACAAGCTCTGTAGGCTAAAAGACCCGGTGGATCCAATTAAACAAAATAATATAATTTACAAAATGCCCTGCAATGACTGTGAGGTCAACTACATAGGTCAAACTAGTAGGTCAGGGATAGTCAGATTAATAGAACATAAGAATTTAGCTAAGGTAAGAATGCTTGACCCTGAAAAGATAAGTAATTTAGAAAAAAGCTCAGCTATTGCACTTCACGCATTAACAAACAACCATACAATAGGGTGGGATAGGGTTAAAATTCTAAAAAGTAATATAGCTATGTGGAGAGGGAGGTTGATTACGGAATCCTTATTTATCGAGTCTACAACCAACAAATGCAACAGAGATGACTCAATGCAAATACCAGAGATAAGGAAGATATTATTACCGCAGGTCAAATCAGAAGAGGATAATAAATGATATTAAAATATAGCTGTTTGTTGATTGTATATTCCAATGTTACATTCTGAGTCAACTGAATATACTGTGGATAGACTTAGAGAACCTCTGAGACGTTTATATTGGATGAATTTATCCTATGAATCACAATAAATCACTGTTATTAATTCGATAACTTCGTAAGCATAGTTCATTACTCATAACTATGTCAAAGTAATCACAATTTTCACACCTGATTTTTATTATCTTTCTAATGTGGATTTTTTGATTTTGCTGACAGTGTTTATCGTATATCTACAGATTGGTGTTAAATGTTTTCTGTTACATGCACCAAATTGTTGATCGGATGAATAAAGGTCGAGTAATCAGTCTCCATCTTTTCATCCAAATATATTACATTTTGAGACTGTTAATCTGTTCCATTCTATTGAGAATTGTATAAAAATAAGATGTATATGTGAACAATATTGTTATCACTTAGATCTTCCTCGGGTTTCATTCTAAATCATGTGGTTTACATATGACCAATGACAGTGACTTGTGGATCAATGACAATTGTTAAGTATTGTGAATTATACAGGTAATGATACCGGCAATAATATCGATGACAACGAAGGTATAAATAGTTTACACAGGTGACGAAAAGAATGATGATATTGTAAACGCTTCAGTGAATCAGTTAGTATGCAAAAGATAGTTACATAGTACTGAAGATGAAGTGGGTAGATATCTCAAATTTAACTTGAATACATCGACTGCAGCTGAAAAATGTGGATATGAGGGCATATTTCTTGAGGGCTTAACAAAAGATAAAAAGGATGAAGGAACTTCTATGCTAGACAATTAATCGACTTCTCTAACTCAACCAGTTCTGACAAGAATTGATTTTTCTTATTACAGCTTGATTCCACACCGTATTTTTCGGTACAGGTATGGAATTTTTTAGCATGTGATATCGGTAGCCCAAATTTTGCAGGCCGACCATAGATATCAGGTGTGCGTCGGTAGGGGATCGAACCCCGGATCATGTGCATGGTCGGCGAGAGTCCTAACCACTGTGCCACCGACGCACATATTGTTCATCGAACTCATGCAAACCTCTAGCTCTTTTAAAAACAGTGAAGGCCTTGCATATTCGTGAACTGAGGTCAGATTTTCGTATACTGAAGAAGTATGTAGTGTCCCTCTTTCTACTTTGGCCTTAGAATGAAAAAGAAGCATAAAAACATTTAAATTAGTCTGCGTACACTTCCCATGTGACTACTATTGTTATTATTTATACTTTGAACATTTTCCCTCAATATTCCACCTGTGCTGATTCACTGATTTAAATTGAGTATCTTGTGGAGAGTAAAACAATACACCTTATCCAACTTCTCACCTTGTTACGTAATGTCTACAAATCTGGTTTATTTTACACCCCGCTTTATTTCGTACACTACACTACAAATTTTCAGTAACTTGAATATTCCCATAATCTACTCAGGGTAAACAATTGTTTTGATTAAATTCTGTGTCAGGCTCTATAATAAATAAATTTTTGCTTTATTCCAAAAACAGTACTAATGATACAGCAAGGAATTTTCAGCATTCAGTACCATATTGCATCTAATTATATCAAAAAAGACAAAAAAATAATTAAGGATACACATTACATAACAGTAATAAAACGATTGTTATAGCAGCTACATAGCAAAATACTGTATGCCATACGGAGAAAAATATGCATGAAGTACAAAATTGTAGTAATAATAGTAATACCAACTAAAAATAAAATGGCAGAGTAACAATTAAACGATAGAAAGTGTGACACCATAAAATACAGAAAGATGAACGATGAAAGGGTCGATTTACTGTGCTAATTACATAGTAACTTGTAAGTTTCACGTATAACAGAGTCTTCGTCACATAAGGTACGGGCTAAATAGGGTATTGTAGAAATTCTATACTTAGTGGTACGAGAATATAACTTTTTATATTAACTTCTCGTCCTACCTGATGAGATACAAGGGGACAGGTGTGAATCATTATAAACCCATTAAATTAAGCTTACAATAGCCAGTAAAGTCAAATTAGAATCATATAAGAATTGTATTGTGGAACAAGTATAAGATAGGAATATGCATAATAAATATGCATCGTCAATATATATATATAAATATATATATATATATATATATATATATATGAGATTTAATAGTGTGAAATATTCCCATATCATGAATTAAAAGCCAATATGAACTAAGACTATTCTTTTCAGTAATTTCTCTTCAGTTTCTTACAATTATAAAATGTAATATTAATGTCATTACAATAGTGGCCAGTTATGCGGAGGATATATTTTTACGCAGAATAATAGACTAGTCATACGGTGACAAAATAAATAGTCGTATTTGTGTGACAAACGTGCTAGGCTGAAATCAACTAGAAAATATTGTGAAATGGGAGACAATGGTGGTGATTAATCATACTAGATTTGTAAACTGTGGGTAGGAAAATTGACGAATCAGATCAAGGTTATAGACGGTGTCAGGTGAGTGGGTGGCTAGTACAAAGTGGTATATTTCAGAGAGGAGACAGTAAGACTGCAATGAGAGGTTCATACTGAAATAATGAATGTGCGAAATGAAATAGTTGGAGACATATATTGAGAAAGGGGATAATATCACTAATAATAAGTCCGGATAGAATAAATGGAAAATTCAATGATATTGAGAGAATGTTTGCATGAAGGATGTAAACTATGACGAATAACAATAATTGTAATAATATGCAAATAAAGAACCAGAAAATAGTCCGTTGAAAAATGAAACAGCAAAAATGGAAATGTATTGTCGTCATGAGGATGACACTTATGTAGTGTACAATGAAGGGCTACGTAGTGATTTGATTTTGAGCAACCTCAACAATGCTCACACAGCGGCCCACTTCACCTACGAACGAGAATGGAACGACTCTCCATACTTTCTCGACGTCATACTAACGAGAAGACAGGATGGTTCCGTCTAAAGAACTATATTTAGAAAGCTAGAGACCAAAGGTCAGCATACACACCTCCTTAGCTTCCTACCAATGAGATACAAATGTATTCTGATCAGGAACTTAGCATTTAGAGCGATGTCCATTTATTCCGAAGAATGTGTGGAGAAGGAACACCAGGTCATCCGAGACATTCAAAACGAGAACGAATATCCAGAGAAGTTCATTAAAGCCAACATACGTTACAATAGCTGTAAACATGAACTGGCATCATTGGGAAATGTAGGGAGATACTCTTGCATAAATTCTATCACAACGTTTAACCAGGGCGATAACGAAAACTTTCTACTCTGTACGTCTGCTCCTATCCTTCAGTAGCCGTTCAATGTTCACCCAGAAACTCAAAGATGTCTTAACTAACCTTAGCTCTTCTTCATGCAAATACCATTTCAACTGTTCCTGTGGTTCATTTTATATAGGGCCCACGGTTAGGCAGGTTCGCCACCGGGTTTGAGAACATTTACCAGTTTGGTTCAGAGGGGGTGGGGTGGAAATTAAGTGCATAAATAGCTCGATCCTGCCACACTTGATCGATACTGGACACATCATCGAGGTAGGGTAGGAATTATTGAAGTTGCCCAAAATCAAATCACTACGTAGCCCTTCATTGTACACTACATAAGTGTCATCCTCATGACGACAATACATTTCCATTTTTGCTGTTTCATTTTTCAACGGACTATTTTCTGGTTCTTTATTTGCATATTATTACAATTATTGTTATTCGTCATAGTTTACATCCTTCATGCAAACATTCTCTCAATATCATTGAATTTTCCATTTATACTATCCGGACTTATTATTAGTGATATTATCCCCTTTCTCAATATATGTCTCCAACTATTTCATTTCGCACATTCATTATTTCAGTATGAACCTCTCATTGCAGTCTTACTGTCTCCTCTCTGAAACATACCACTTTGTACTAGCCACCCACTCACCTGACACCGTCTATAACCTTGATCTGATTCGTCAATTTTCCTACCCCACAGTTTACAAATCTAGTATGATTAATCACCACCATTGTCTCCCATTTCACAATATTTTCTAGTTGATTTCAGCCTAGCACGTTTGTCACACAAATACGACTATTTATTTTGTCACCGTATGACTAGTCTATTATTCTGCGTAAAAATATATCCTCCGCATAACTGGCCACTATTGTAATGACATTAATATTACATTTTATATATATATATATACTCTCCAACAAATATTTATCACATCTCATCAGTGAAAAGGTATCGCTTCTCTTCTTAGACGAGTGCACTCATGGTTAATGAATGAGAAGAAAAATGAAATTTTCTGGAAAATAGCCAACTTCACTATCAAATCATTACCAACACTTAATATTTTCGGAATCGTATTCCGAAAACATGGAGCTCAACAGTTCTTTTTCCACGTATCTCTGTACAAGTTCCCATTGTATTGGAGCTTTTTGAGCAGCTATTTCTTATCAATTTTGAGTGACTTCATTTTTCTGTATACCTGGTTAGTTTGTCTACTGATAAATCTTTAAGGATAGCCCATTTCGATCAGAGAATTATGAATGTAACTTATGCACCTAATTGTCGGAATGAATCCTTTTCTACCTGTTCATAAGGCTTCTAACCAGACTGATTTCGTAGTGGATACTGACTGAGCTAAAGAAATACGTATACTTTCTTGTAGACATACTGTTTATATAAACGCCTCCGTAATGTGAACTGACCGGCTCTTTCACGCAACTAAACATCTAAAAAATACATTTTGTTTTCATGTTTGTCTTCATACATGAGTTTTTCTTCTAAATTAGTTATTTTAGTGGAGTCCACCTTACCACATTTAGTAATGTTTCTTTTCTATGTTAACATAAATGACACTGCTTAAATAGTTTGACTCATGCTCTTGGTTTTCTAATCAATGAAAAGCATTTGAAATATAGATTAGGATTTACAGGATGGTTCAGTTAACGATGTTTCTCTCCAAGTTTAAATGTTGCTTCGATTCCAGCCTTACTAAAACTCCTGCTTAGGGTTTCCTAATGTATGGCAGACACTCAGGAAAGTGTTAATTCTCTCTTAACTTTCTTTTAATAAGCAGTGTCCGTTTTTCACATGAATTCCGAAAGAACCTCTGCATAAATTTCAGCGTACATTTCGTAGTTAGTATACTTTTCCGCTTTATGCTGTTTCTTCATTGACATTTTGTAACTCACTGATTGGATTGTTGGCATTTCAACAATAATAAACGTGACAAACATACGGTTAATCACAAATAACATCTCGGTTTATAATTTCTCCATACAAAAGTCGAAATCTATGTGCTTCGATACGAGTTAAATAGATACATAATTGCTTGATAGCAATAAAAACGTCGTTATATCATCCGGCGGTAGTCAGTTCAGAAGAAATGTGTTAAATTGTTACTGGTTGAAGCATATTCTTTAAAACTTCAATTCGAGTGATCTTACAGAAATAGGAGTTGACTCCAATTGTTATACTTTCAGTCATGTGTATATTAGCATAATGTCTGTGGTAAACTGATGAAACAGGCCTGTTTACTTATTGATTCTCTACATACACATAACAAGTCAAAGTGGTAGTGCATTCAGTATTAACTGGCAGTAGAATTGTAAATAATGCACATTAATTACTAGTGTTCACCTACAACATCATGGTTATATGGTAGCACCTTAGTTTTAATTGGTTCTTCAAATGATAAAAGATCACGGAAGATAAAGTATGTCGTCTTTCAGTTTCCAACAAACCCAGGCAGAATTAGTAATTTCAGAAAGTATACGTCGGGAGTTAACGCCAACTTAGAAACCTACTATCTAGCATCAAAAAAGCATCTACGGTCAGTGCCTGTACTTTCGCAACAAATTCGCTCTTCACAAAGACATAATTCGAAATTACGTCATTTACATTTTCAAATTCAGTTTTCATTTTAACTTAAAATACACCTTTCACAGTATGCTAGCTATAAGCTTTTGACGCTTATCGGCGATCTGATTGGTAGCGTCACCATTATTACCGCAAGAAATCCAACTGAAAATAATTTATTGGTTAACATAAAAATATCTTATGATTCAATATTTATTTGCTCAGAAAATCAGTTGGTTTCAAGACCATTAAAACTCAGGTGTATCTTGATTGATGTTTCAATGTATTGTCCAGTTCTTCTACTATGTTCCCATTTGATGTTATACATGATTGGACCCAAGTTTTTTCTTTAAAGCATTGTGTACCTTTTGATGTAATGCCATTAAAATACATTCTTACTCCTATAAAATTTAGTTGATTGTTTTTTAATTAGTTTCTTCACGTGTTGGATGATTTAAGCATTATCTCGGTCTTTAAATTCACCAACTTTTTTCTTTTATGTATTTTTTTTCAACCAATAGGATGAATGGATGCAGTGTCAAAGAAGTTGGCTATATTTGGAAAGTATATTCTCTGCTCCAGATATACAACGTCAACTGCCTAGTGAAGCTAAAAGTTTTATGGCTGTTGATAAGTCTTACAAAGATGTAATGCGTAAGGTGCAAAAAGTCCCATTGGCTATGCGCGCAGCTACACAACCTGGTCTGTTGGACACCTTTCGTAACAATAATCAACTACTCGATCAAATTCAAAAATGTCTTGAAGCGTATTTAGAATCAAAACGTTCTGTATTTCCAAGATTTTATTTCTTATCAAATGATGAATTGTTGGAGATATTGGCACAAACGCGTAATCCCCTGGCTGTACAACCTCATTTAAGGAAATGTTTTGATGCTATTGTGAAATTAGAGTTTGCCTTAGCCCAGATTCTGCCGATAAAGGTATGCTTCAAAATTTTCATGGTTTTCTCTTATGTCACAAAAATATAGTCAGTATTATAAATTATTATTAGAGACCATTCAGGGAAATTTAAGTCCACTTATATATATATATTCGCTCACAGCTTAGCTTCTAATAATAATATGAAGTCCTGATACTTGAAAACAACGATAAAACTCGATACAACGTTTCTAAATACTGGGTTGTTTCACCAGATGATAACTGTCAGTGTAGTCTGTACAACAAAGTAAACATAAAACCAACTTCAAACTGAACAGTTAACCAGATTGATAAAAACAAGCAAATACCGATATGCATTTTAGAAATATCTCTAAAGAGGCTTCCACTCGACGTGAAAATTGTCAAACAAGATATTCATCTTCAGATTCGAGAGTCATAGGAATCGCAACAACTTAACTGCAACCGCAATCAGCTAGTAAACCACTGGAAATGTGTAGTGCTTCAGTAGCTTTTCTCGATGCACATTTCTGAAGAGTCCTAAATTTAAATTCAGTAGCTGAGATTTTCCAATGTGGTATACTTGTGACAAAATGTGGTATAATGTGGTTTGGATGCCTAATTCACTTTTATAATTAGCAGATTACTACACAGTCAAGGTTGGGCCTAATAACCCATATGGGAATTTAAGAAATGGTAGTATACTTAAGGTTGTTGGTTTGTGAAAGCTGCATGTAAGGTCTCTATTTGACATATTTACTAAGGTTGAAATATCGTGTCTATTACTCGTACAAACTTTGTTACCTTATTTTGGAAGATATTCGGCTCTAGTTTCGCTAAATCCACTCAGCCATAATTTTATGAGTGAACTATATTTTCTACATATCTATTTTAACATACTTGAACATGTTTAATGCCATCAGACTTCGGTTTAACTACGGGCAAATTCTAGCGTCAGATTGCTAGATGGTTGATAAAACTTCCCTCCTACTTAAATTTTTTTTGGTTGCGTCAATCAAGAGATGAAATGTGGTCACATAAAGTTGCATTTTTGTACTCATAAGACATCCTGTACGGACTATCTAAGTGACAGCCACATGTAGAACAGGGCAAGTGATTATATTAAGCAATTTAAACTAGAATCTTAGGATGTGTTAATTCTCTAAATTTCTGTTTTCTTTACCTAACAGTACCACAAATGAAAAATACCTCAATTTTTTAAATTATATTGAATTGTACTTGTTGAATTCATCTGTTCTACTCTAATTATCCTATTTTTTAGACGAACCAGTCTACACAAATGATATATTGGCCATGTTATCGCCAGAAGGTGAAAAAGTGTCTCTTGGCAAGGTAATTTTATTTCAGCAAAGTGTCGAAGTATTTCCTTAGAATCTCCAAGACATTGTTTGAATTCCCGTACTTCTTTATGTAGTCTCTTGTGCTATCTAGCTAGCAACTTAAGGAGTATCATTATAGGATATGTGCTGCTCTGATTAGCTGTTGTGAAATTGTTTGGTTTCCAATGCGCCAATATTGTCTCAATAGTTTAGGGACCGACTGGAAATTTTTAATTATTCTGGTGACGGAGATTTATAATACTACATAAATTAGAAACTATGCCTGAAGATACCGTATTACACACTTAGCGGATTTAAACAGATTTATCGTACTAGTGGCAACTCAAGGAAACTAAGTTATTCCATAAAACAAACATCAAGAAGCTTAATCGGCAGCAGAAAATGATCAGCACTGTCAACTCTTCATCTGTTCGTTATCAATACTTCATTTGAATTTAACCTTAACTACTTAATACTAGTAGGTAGTTTTGGTTCACCATTTAGTTACTTTGTTACCATAGTTATTGACATCCGTTAGAATTTGCCTCACTTATTGTATCAGCATTTCATTTGTCTGGCATAACTATTTTCTGATGGGTAAACGGAATTTTCAGTACATTTTCCCTTATTTTCAACTCTTTGGTGAACATTTTTTGTTCATTAACTTGCTGTTTGTTTCCAATGGTGAAATCTTTTGACACATTTTTACTGCTTTTTTCTTACTGACGCACACTGATTTTATACAGCCTAGACACCTTCCAAATTGAGGTTTGTATATTCAATTACTGTATTTGAGTGATATAGTCTCATATATTAGAGGAATGCTGCATTTTGGAGTGTACGCGTAAATCAAAATTTTTGGTTCACTCAGTCAAAAGTTCGAGCACAGAGGACTGTTGCTGATTTCTTAGAAGAAATCTACAAACGAATCATTCTTAAATGGAATTTCGGTAAAATAAAACGGAAAAATATCTCAGTTAAAACCAAGTCAGACAAGGAGACAGTTACTTGCCTGCGATTGCACTAAATAAAAATATATTGCGAATCGGCAGAAGTTGGAATTAATGAAGCATTGCGTTGGGTCCCAGCGGCTGATTGATCTACGAGCTTGCCTTAAACCATGGTGGATACGTACTGTGAAGAGTCTCAAGTCAGAACGAAACATCTAGTCAGTACATCCAGGTTTCCTAGTGCTTCTCTAAATGATGTCAGCTGGTGATCAATCCTTAAACGTATATGTCTAAGGATCATACAGAATGAACAATGCATTTAGTTTCCATGGTTTCATATGTATTCATTTCAAATGAAACCATATTCACCGGAACATTTCAAATTATTATCATTCCATAGCCTTTATTCATCGCAAATTTTATTCCAATCTATCCCCATCCTTAATTTGGTTAACGTATGTTAATTTTCATCAACTCAAACTTATAGAACCTGACAAAAATAACTGCTTTCTGAAAAACTCTTTGTTTTAGATATTTTTTTAGGAATGTGGGCATTCAGCACAAACTCAATAATATTTTTAGTACTTTTCTTTTCTGAATTCACTTTCTTAACAGGGCTTAAAAGCAAGAGGGAATGTTGAAGACTGGTTGGGTAAGGTGGAGGAGGCAATGTTTACAAATCTGCGTAAACTAATGAAAATTGCCATCAATGATTTTGAAAGTCTAGAGCGTGAGAGTTGGCTTAAAGCACACGCGAATCAGATTGTTCTGACTGTAGAACAGTTAATGTGGTCACGCGATATCACACTGATTTTGGAAGATCCATTTCCAGAGGATCGGATTGATGGTCTGAAGGAATATGAAGAGAAATGTTATGCCGTAAGTAAGAGTCTGAAACCGTTTTGTCTCAGTTATCCGAACTTAAACGGAATCACCTCCGTCTGCATTTATTGTACGTTTGTTCAACAGACTGTTTAGTAATCTGTTACTAATCAATTCATAGTCATAGATGTAAAGCGCAAGTAGGGGATAAAAACTGTCATTATCGGAAGTGACATTTTGACCAGTTCCATAGCACTTAATAATTAAAACGAAAGTTGGTCTAAGTACTGATTTTTCTCATTACAGCGATACTGTTAAGGTGAGGTTATGAGTGAATTAATATAACTATTGGAAAGATTATCAGTTGGTGTCTAATACAAACCAAACTAAAGCATTAGACAACCAGTCTATGTTTCTATTTTTATGCTTAAATTAAAATATATTTTCGTCTTAAGACAATGTTCTTATAAAAACATGACACATCTATTTTGAAGAAACTCTACAGCACCATCGACATTAAACCTGAGACATTTATTTTACCTTGAATTAAGAGAGAAATGTTAACCTAGTATTTATATCAGGATCACCTCCACCACAGAAATATGACACCAAGTATGCCTACTGCTCCGATTACATTTGATTTAATTATAGATGCCTGTCCCACGGAAAAGAGAAGAACTCATATAATATCAGTAGTGTTTGTGTCACTCTCACCGGCCAATTCAAAAAATAGAGCAGAAGATAAAGGTCATTTGCACTTCGTGGCATCAAATTAGACCGGGTGTTGAACAAGTTACTAATCATGCATTGAGTTGAGCAGCCAGTCTCATGAAAATATATCAACAAATTTTCACTAAGTATATTCAGATAGCCAGAAAACAGGTCTGATAAGTGTGTAGTGGTGTGATACAGATAGTGTGTTCCAACGGAATATGATTCTCACATATTCCTACAGTTCAATTCAGCATTAGCAACAGAATATGATAGATCTGTTTGAACGTTCTGTTTGTTGCTAGAGTTGGAATATTATCCGTACTACTACTACTACAACTACTTCGCTACTACGGGGTCCCATCGACAATTATACATCTCATCCAACAGTTATACGACAATGCTGCATGCCAAGTAATCCACAACGGGAAACTTACGGAAGCCTTCGAAGTGAGGACAGGAGAGAGGCAAGGCTGTCTATTATCGCCAATGGTCTTCCTGAGTGCAGTAGATTGGATAATGTGACAGACAACGGGAAATGAAGAAACAGGCATAAAATGGACTCACACAAAAGAGAACTTGCAGGATCTGGACTTCGCCGATGATATATATCTGATTTCCCACAAACTGGAAGATATGCAAGTAGAAAGCAACAGGTGGCAGAAGAAGCATCAAAGACAGGACTTCTTAGGTGGACATAGATAAAACAGAGGTGATGAAGATTCCCGGCCAACACCAACAGAAACAACAACAACAGACAACAATCAGCCAGCATAAATGGGACGAACCTGAAAGAAACAACCTCCTTCACCTACCTACCTACCTACCTGGGAAGCATCGTTTCAACTACAGCCGACAGAACTGACGAGGATATCAAAGCCAGAATCGGAAAAGCAAGGCAAACTTTCACTATTCTTAAGTCTGTGTGGAGGTCAACATCACTCACCATCAAAAATAAGATACGGATTTTCAACTCCAATGTGAAATCAGTGCTACTCGCTATACGGATCAGAGACTTGGCCAGCGCATCATAAAGAGCAACTCAAACAAACTTCAGACCTTCATTAACAGTTGTCTTCGCTCAATACTCAAGATCAGATGGTCAGCTAGAAATGATCAGAAACGAGGATCTCTTGCAATGATCGAACCAACCAACAGGAACCGACTGTGAAACAAATAGGCAGGAAGAAATGGAGATGGATTGGCTGGCCATACGCTGAGAAACCATCAAGTGACATCACCAGACAAGCCATGGCTCGAGTGGAACCCGGAAGGGAAGCGGGTGGCGAGTTGGTCGTCAGTGCAAGGGTGACTTGGAGGAGGTCATGTGAAGAGGGTATGAAAGCATGTGGACAGACTTGGAGCGGGGTGAAAAAGTTGGCAGAAAACAGAAGGCAATGGAGGTGCGCAGCTGAAGCCCTATGTTCCTCTAGGAATTAAAGGATATAATAATAATAAACAGCGGTTTGATTGATGAAATAGATACCTTGGCTTCCGTGTCTTACCTTTTGTTGTTACAAGTATAAGTTGAATCTGTACTACTTTTAGAAAACTTAAAATCAATTTTATAGCATTTAAGTTTTAGAAATTTGCAAGAACTTTCTATTTTATTGAAAATCTGAACCGAAATGAGGATAATTATGAATTTATGAGTTTTAAAATGAATTTATGTTCATTACCTGTCAAAAGGTATACAAGCTCATTTACAATGAAGTTAAACTTATGCGTCGTACTTCAAGCAATTGATTAAAAATGAAGGAAGGAAACAATGTTTAGAGTTCAGTTTGGTGAAAATCAGCTTGTGAAAGAGGAAAAGGTAGTTCTGATTAAGTTTATGGTCTCAAGTCTGGAATTATAAATTAGAATTTATTTTATTTAGACGGATCAGTACATTGCATCACTATTAAGTTAGGTGCGTGGTTTCTGTAATTTATTTTTATTTGATCTTTATTTCTCACTTATAGGGACTGAATAAACTTGCAGCATTGGTTCGCGGTGAGTTACCGAAGCTGTTTCGTGCTCTCCTGTGCTCATTAATTACAATTGACGTACATGCTCGAGATATGGTAACAGAACTAGTCAACAGTAAAGTCGATTCACTAAGTAATTTCGATTGGCAGCGCCAGCTGAGATACTACTGGGATCTAGATTTAGATACGTGTGTTGTAAAAATGGCGAATGCATGTTATATTTATGGTTACGAATACTTGGGTGCTTCACCACGTCTGGTGATTACTCCATTAACCGACAGGTAAGAAATTCACGTTAAATTTCCACCGTATGTTATTATTACCAACTAGAAATAAGGCTTCTGAGAAAAGATGTAATACTTAAATGTCATTTGTAGTAGTATGCTACATCAACTTAACTGTTTCTGTACCAAGCGAACAACTGGTGTATTGTCATCTCAGTATTTTCTAAATATGTATCTGATGCTACTATGGATGATGTCAAAAACGGTGGTGTAATTTAAATACTGATATGAATTTATAACTCAGTAATTCAATTGTTCAACTGTTATATAAATAAAATATAATCAATCTATTTCGGTGTGAGTTGTGGAATAAGTGAGGCGTACAAGTTGCAGCATAAGATCAAATTAGTTTAAATGCTGTTTATTTTAATTCCCTTCATGGTGAATATAAATTATACCGCAGTTGATAATAATGCTGTTAAAGTTAATTAAATTAGTCACTTAATTTGATAGACAGGATTGGTAAGTCGATCTCTTTCGATCGGTTCACGCGAAGCTAACAAGTAATTCAAATCTGGTACTTTTAGAAGGATAGAAAATAGGAAAATGTGATAGCATAAACGAAACTGAATATAAATCTAATATCACTGAGTTTTCCAATGACATTATAAATTAAAGGTAAATATTTCATTTAATGAATGTCAGTAACTAATTCTTCTGGAGGGTGTATTTTAAAAAGTTGAAACTTTTGTGGCAGGGAAACGTTTTAAATGTGGGCCTTTTTTACTACTGTCATGTCAACTTTTATTTTGGGTCTCTGTTTCATACTGCGGCCAATTAAGAAGCCGAAGTTGGGTAGCTGACTAGTATGCTCATCACACGCTCTGTCAGATCCATGAATTCTAAACAGTAACATTTTTCGGCAAAGCGGCATAAATTTGATGCGTTCAAAAGTTACCTGAGTCTGATCACATTTAGCCTTTCTAGTGAAACCTCTACACTAATACCAGCAAAGATGCTATGAGATAACAAACGAAGTTTTATCATACCATAGGAATATACAGAGAGAATTTCTTATGGTTAGCACATTAGTACAAATTAAGACTAAATCTAATTTTCAACATTCATTTCAGTTATAAAACATTAAATTCTATCATACTGGGATGCATTCTCTATACAGATTCACAAATCTTTTTTGATTACTTGTTTTCAAATAGATGTTATCTCTGCTTAATGGGGGCATTACAATTAGATTTAGGCGGTGCTCCGGCTGGTCCAGCTGGTACTGGTAAAACAGAAACCACGAAAGATTTAGCCAAATCTGTCGCAAAACAGTGCGTTGTCTTCAACTGCTCCGACGGTCTTGACTACAAGATGATGGGACGATTCTTCTCTGGTCTAGCACAGTCCGGTGCATGGTGTTGTTTCGATGAATTCAATCGGATTGATATTGAGGTTTTGTCGGTTATCGCGCAACAGCTGATTACTATTCGAAATGCCAAAGCTGCTCGCGTAAGTGTCCTTTATCAATATTTTTCAATGATTTTTTGGTGGATCACTACCTATTAATCCTATATCTTGAGATCACATGCAAAAGGCTGTTGTGATAAGGACTTAATGGTCTACTGAAATTGATCATTCGGCATTGTTCGTCCACACAGATTACTGTTCGTGTTTAAACTTTTCCATGTCGTTTTAGTTTACTTTCTTACTAACAACAGTGTTTCTATATTGATTCCATTTGTCTATTGCTCTTAAGTTGCTCTCGTAATTTTCAGCCAAGAGTTTTGGCATATTTTAATGATTTAGAAATTCTTATCCAAAAACAAATTATTTCGTTATATACTTGTAAACCATTTGTAGCTTCTGAAGATTCTAGAATCACTCATAATAATGAAGTCAGATTGACAGAGGGAGACACTTTTTTTGAACTGGAAAACGTTGTTTTGATTTTGCTTAATCAAGAAACGTTTTCTTTTCATTATTTGGTTTTCCTTTGTATTCATAGGTTTCACGGTTTATGTTTGAAGGCCGTGAAATAAAACTGGTGCCAACATGTGCTGCTTTCATTACAATGAATCCAGGCTATGCTGGACGTACTGAACTGCCTGATAATTTAAAATCTCTATTTCGTCCAATATCTATGATGGTGCCGGATTATCGTGAGTCAACTGAATTCATTTACAAATATTATTAATGAATATCTCAATGAAATTTATTCAGTTTATTGTTTCAACTCTTATCTTTTTAATTATTGGGTAGTATAACCGACAGGTTGACGTGCGTTAGGTGCCAATAAATGTGATTTACACTTTTCGGTTAGTTAGTCAGTGTTCTATCCAAATAAGTTATGATGATATAATCAGTAATTCCCACTAGGGATGCATAATGTGATAGTTTCTTAATTAATTTTTCTATAGACGAACCGTTGAATATGACTTTGTTTGATAATGTCTCCGGAATTTACGTGAACTCTTTAGCTTGGAGTGCATGGACGATAAATTGCTCATAAGTGGATGTGATAATTAAGTGAAGCGTTTTCTTTAAATTTTAAACATTTAAATTTTCATGTTAGAAAGTTAACAACCATACTCTATGTGATAAAAGAGAGGAATCTTCATTTCAGCATCCAGTAATTATTAATAGCTTATAGTTAATTAATTATTTGACCTATTAACTTCACGTGATCGACACTGTAATGTATTATTGGACAAATCTTGGTTACCCCTGAAGATGACAATGTAAGCCGTTTAGTTTACTGTGGTTTGAAACGTTATTGATGGTGTTTTATCCTCATACATGATAACTTTTTAAGGAAGCCTGTTTAGAGAAAGTCATTGTCGTACTCCTCAGTCTAAAGGATAGCAAATAGTTTGCAGTGTCAGCGTGTGGTAGAAACCTCTTCCATAATTTCAAAATCGAGGTTGAACTAATTGTTCAGTTTTATGTGGAACGAAATGGAGGTCTGTATCTCACTATGAGGAAATATTTCTTTCCTTACTACCGCATAGTCGCTTATACCAAAATACTCAGATGAAGTAACTTATATTGTACGACGAAAGCGGAATCATACAAAACCTCAGTGCACACACGGGTAGCACTAAGTTCTTTAGGGAACCTGACTGGTATTAATAACTATAGATCGACAATGTTTCATTTAAAGAATAAAGGCAAAGCAATAATACCAGTAGTGTTTAAAATTATGATCTCTAGAAATGTTTTTCACAATTTATCATTTTTTAACCAGGTCTTATAGCTGAAGTTATCCTTTATTCTGAAGGATTTGAATCTTCAAAAACGCTAGCTTTAAAAATGACACAAATGTATAAGTTATGCAGTGAACAGCTGTCTCAACAGGATCACTATGATTTTGGTATGAGAGCGTTGAAGTCAGTTCTAGTTATGGCTGGTTCATTGAAACGTGAAAATCCGGATAAACCAGAAGATGTTGTATTAATTCGTGCTTTACGTGATAGTAATCTACCTAAATTTCTTAAACATGATGCTGTTCTGTTTACTGTGAGTTAACAAATCCTGAATTCTAACCAATTTTCATTTAATGGATAAAAAATGCCCAGCAGTCTATTGAAATTTTCATTCAGTTAACATTTATAGGTAATGGAGGATTTAATCATGAGCTGACATCAGTTAGAGAACCACTGGAAAACCTGGGAGTACTGGACAGCTGTTTCGTCCTAGTTTGGGACTCTCCATCAGTACGCACCCACCGGGGTTCGAACCCAGGACCTTCTGGTTACAAGGCGAGCTCGTAGACCATTGAGCCACTGGGACCCGATCCAATGGCCCATGAATTCTAACTTCTGCCAATTCACGACATAGCGCGACCACTTCGCAATGTCTTCTTCGATGAGTTACTGCCTCATTACCAACCTGCTGTACCCTACTGGTCACGGCTTCCCACTAGAACCCCAGGTTAACTGCCTGAATAGGGCCAGTCACTAGTGAGCATCAGATTAATTTTCAAGTACCAACTACAAAACCAATACTTGAAAATTTATAGGTAAAACTGGATAATCCTCCACAATGGGTTCATTTCATTGACTTGAACACCTTTATTAGTTGAACACATCTAACATGTTTGTTTTGTGTACACTTTTCATTATGAACAATCTGTTAACACATTTAGCAGTAAGTTTCTCAGTAATGTGAAAACAGAAGAATAAGCAAGGTGATAATCTTCATTATGTTATAACACTATTTTTTAAAAATTCATCACCAAATGACAGTTTCTGATAGTTTCCAACACTAAAAAGAATACGGTCACCGTGTTGAATGATTTGTAAGCGTTATCAAATTAGACATATCTGTTAAGATGTCTGCAGTCAACGTATTCATCCATTCATTAGTCATTTTATATGGGCAACTCTGTGAATTAAAGGTTCAGTCATAGTTATAATAATTCTGTGTTTAACCCTAAGTTTACCCTTTCTTGTTCATATCTGCAGATAAAGACATCCTTTATAATTGTATTCCAGTCCATTGTTTTAAGCAAGGTGGGTCTCAGAGTGTTATTGTTGAGGACAGGAAGCAAAACAATCATTACAACATTCAACTTAGAAAACAAATAACTCTCATGTGGATCCATCTGGGCTACAATATCAGCTATATTTATGTGATTGTTTGAATTTTTCATGTTGAAATCTGCGATGATGGTAATGAAGACGTCTATCCACTTGGGTTTCTCACGATTGAAGCTTATGTGCTTAAGAGATTGGACCCAGACCTACAGTATATTGGCTCAAGCTGGCATTCTGACTACTTATGAGACTCCAGAAAATTATGTTGCACATTTTTAATGCTTATTAATTTTCTCACTGAACTGAATAAACAAAACAGCTGCCATTGCGTAACTTATTCATTCTATTTCAGTGATTAGTCTCATCCGAAGTTGCCGTCTATGCTTGCAGCCCCTAAAATGAATGTATTTGCATACAGAGTAATCAAAGTTTAATAAATCACAGTACATAAATATGTATTGGATAAATTCTACCAGTGGTTTGTATTGTTCACATTAGCTTTGTTTTTTCCATATTTCATACCTACAAATTGAATCAGATTGTTCAGTATTATTGGTTCCTCTACTCACCATCGATTGCTTGATGCCATTAGAAGCTGCGAAATGCGTCCCTAAATTTCATTAAAGTTCTTTTTGTTGAAAGTCCCGCACTTATTTCATTATTTAAACCGCTACTATTAAAAATGAGTAGGCTCACTTGACACTCATTCATTCACGTAAATGCTTCTCATTTTCGCTGAATTTAGTCGCCTTAATGCTACATTTTCGCAAAGAAAATAAACTGATAATGTTACATTTTTGCGTAAGAGACTATCAACAGAATATGATAATTTTTTCTGAATCTTAAACTGGAAAATTATTTAGACCAACGACCTAACTAATATCCTTGGCATTTTTAGGCAATTTTACAAGATTTATTCCCGGGAGTATCATTACCCGAACATGATTACGGAAGATTTTTATCTGAGATTGAAACTGTCCTTCAAGAAATGGGGTTACAGATTGTTTCGGATCAAGTCTTGAAAGTGATACAGTTTTTCGAAACATTACTCGTACGTCATGGAGTCATGTTGGTCGGACCAACTGGTGGTGGGAAGACTACTATTTACCGTGTTTTAGCCAAAGTTCTAGCAAATTTGCATGCAGCTGATCTACCAGATAATAAGCCCGAATATCAACCTGTAAAAACTTACGTTCTGAACCCAAAATCTATAACTATGGGCGAATTATACGGAGAGGTGAATAAATTAACACTTGAATGGCACGATGGTCTATTGGCTTCTATCGTTCGGCAAACATGTGTGGTTAGTAAAATGCATTTTATCGTTATTACGGTTCTTTAAATTTTCTGAAAACACTTCCAGTTGTAACAGTGATTTGAGTTTTATTCGTTTTGAGACTTATCATCTGACTTTACTCATATCTTTTTGATGTACGTGCTTCTATTCAGTATTCACAGTTTGCTCTATGATTTTACACGCAAAATGTATATTTTTACCTGATTTCTAATTCTAAGGGAAATCAGTGACTAACTAACTTCCCTGTGCATCTATGCTTAAATGTAGGCATATTTCACTCACCGAAACTAGAACATTCAATCAACAAGTTTTGGGATCTTATCTCGAATTTTCTGTGAAGAATCATAATTCTCCGCAAACTAAGTGGGGCTAATAGCTGAGTGCATGGAAAAACTCGAGGAAAGTAACTGGGTCGCACTTGATCAATGATTTTAAATCACGCTTTTATTTTATGTGTGTATCCCCTACATACGCCAACATAATCAAAACTGCCTGCACTGACCTACTATTATTAGGTTTCGTGATTTGCGTATCATGTAATGGGAGCGAAATAAGACCATGGTGGTAAGATTTGTGACTGCACAGTCACCTACACGCATTTTTTGAGGACGAAGTATATCTATCCTCCTTCATTCACCTGTACTTGTGGTGAGAGCAGCCTGCTAGCCAATTGGTTGACATTAATATACGTCAATGTCTAGATCACTAATATGGCCGTGAGAAAATATGAGTAACCCTGATTCAACGACGAATCACAGCAGACTTAAACGTGGGCAAATATGATTCGCAGATAGATGGCTCCACTTTCCGAGAAATCTCGAAAACAACCAATCAGAAGACTGCGTTTGTCTACTTGACTAGGCTATAATAATGTATGCGAAATTTATATAAATACGTGTTGATTTTGGTAGTAAAACGATCTGTTGCCTGGCCCTTGTCTTCTGTTGTTACCATGTTACTTACCTGGAGTTACGATACATTGGTGAAATGGCAATGTGATCAGCGCTATGACGAAGCTCTTTCTCCTTGCTTTGCACTAGGAACTGTGAAATACATGGAGTTTCCAAACTATAATGTCTGCTGTCTATCTCTAAATAATTTCAGTTCCTAAACCAAGTCGATTCTCCACAAAACACTTCATGTCGTCATTTTAAACTAATGAATAATATATAACTCATTCCTCATATTCAACCGAAAGCCATACAGAGTATTTCTTGGCTATGGAAAGTAAGTTTGAAAAAGTGTATTCACAAACAAGCTAATTGAAGACAGCTTTTCCTGGCTTTTATTCTCACAGAGTTTTTACTTTATGGTAATAGAACACGATTCAGTCATGTTTTAGAAAAACTGACTCAAATACGTCACTTAAATGTCACTACAAGAATAATTAACACAAACCTTGATCAGATTGGGTTACTTCTCGAGTTGAAAATGTCAACGCAAATAGTTTCATTTTCATTTCACTTCATTATTGTTGAATGGTACTGATGAACGTTCATGCTAAAAGCAAAAGTGAAGACCTATTTGAGAGAGTGAAGGTTGACATATTCAGAAGTCATATTCATAATATACCCATCAGTCTACCAAATTATGTAAAACAGTTAACTCAGGTAAAGAAGTATGTTGGAAATATTCGCGCACACTGTGGCCACCTCGCTTCATACTGAGTTTATACTGACAAAATCGCCATATCTGTCAATCAAAAATTATGCACGCAAACTAAGGCAATTTGCACACTTACATCCTAAGGAACAAGCACTTCAACTTTATTCTAATCTTTAGGATCAGACACAAGATCATCAGTGGGTTATATGCGATGGACCAGTCGATGCTTTATGGATTGAAAATATGAATACTGTATTAGATGATAATAAAATGTTGTGTTTGGCTAACTCCGAGAGAATCAAACTAACCAATTATGTTCACATGTTGTTTGAGGTAGAAGATTTAGCTGTTGCCTCACCCGCAACTGTTAGTCGTTGTGGTATGGTGTATGTGGATCCTGAAGACTTAGGATGGTTACCGTACGTAAAAGTAAGTGATCATTATGCATAATTGACAACTGATATTTATCTTTGACTATTAATGAAAACCTAGTTCATTTGTATATTTTTATAATTATACTTGGTCTGAAACAGTAAACTGGTTACCTCAAATGTCTCCTCACTCACCTTAGTGACTGACTTTAGATTATATACACAAATACCTCTGTAATTCTCATTTTTAGTTGGTTAGAAAATGAGGACGGTTAAGGAAACACCAGTCACCTGATCAACCAGGCAAGTCACGTGCATGCGTGAATACACAGTGACCCAACTGAACGTCATTTACCTATAATTATTATCAAATTAAGTTCAAATACTTTGTTGAATATCAAGTCATATGAAGTGACGGTGAATCTAACACTATCTAAGACCTTTTATTCAAATAATATACAATAAATTTAGATCAAAATTAATAATATTAGGTATTCTGAAAATCGTATCTTTCATAACTGTAAGATTATTGTAAAACGAAGCGTATTCATAAGGAAAATTGAAAGTCATTACGCTTGGCCTTTAGACGTATTAGAAGAAGTTACAACAAAGTGTCCACCGTTTTTAATCAGTGAATGAACGATTAGTTTAAGAGAATTCAAGGAATAGTGGCAATTAAATCAAATTTTTATCGGGTACATATAAGCTGGTAAATTCAAAGATTTTAATAATTATACACGGGGAAATTGGACATTTAGTATCTTATGTTTGTTCAGTGATTATTTATTGTCTCGATCTCATCTTTACTATAAGTCATTTGAAATAGTGTACATCCGTGCGATGTTCTGCGTTAATTATGCAGTCAGTTAGCCATCTCATTGGGAAAACATTGATATGAATCGTTATACTTATTATACATTTTCTTAGATTGTTCTATCATTGAACAGGCTAACAGTCAGTTCTGTCCGACTTTTGCTAACACAAATAAAAACCAAACCGTCAGCTGGCGTAAAAATGATGGCTGACTTGGGACAGCATACGAATATTAATATTAGTTTTCTCAAGCAAATGGCTACGAATTCTCCGTTTAAATTTGTAGAATTTTATACATTTTGCCTGAAATTGTATGTTTGAAATTCTAACATCAATTTGAAGCCTTACAATCTTCACTTGGTACATTCTCCCTTCAGTTAGGCCATGTAGGACAGACTTCAAACAGAAGTCCATTGTAGCCGAATAAAACGAGTTTTCTTTGACTTCTGAAACTACATAATATCGCAAATTTTTATAAGGTCACCCATTCCAATAAGTAAATGATAGTTTAGATCTGATACTGGTACCAAGTTATTACGTTTAAACGTCTCTTTCATTAGAATTTGGTGAAAAATTGATGCTGAAACAAAATAATTTTATGCAATACACATTCATTCCTTATTCTTTCGCTTACTTTAGACGTGGCTGAAATCAATTGAAGATAAATTAGTTCCTCATGTTGTTGAATACATCATGGAGCTTTTTGAGAAATACGTTGATCCCTTCCTACAGTTTGTAATGAATAAATGTTCAGCAATTATCCCACAGGTAAGCTCATCATTTTCCTTTCTCTCTTCCACTGAATTGAATTTAGTGGTTTTTATGATCCGGTATTTTGCTGATTACACCACCTAATTCATTTAAATTAAACAATTCATTACTGGTTTGCACTTTCAAATGTCTGACAGTTGACAATCAACTACTCTAGAATTACGACTATGTTCTGAAGGATGGAAGTCGATGGAAAGCAAAGCCTGTTTCATCTGACTTTTGTCTTTCTACACTCACAAGCATGTTATGCCTTGAAAATATCATGCCAATCTGAACTATTAGAATGCTAAAGTCAATCATCTTGCTGCTCATTTCTTCAGGCTGCATTTAATTTGTTTTTGACGGAATAACTGAAAAGAATAGATCACTGGACGGCCTCAATGCCCAGTGAAGTCTATCGATCGAGTTTATTTTTCCTCATATTTTGTTTACGTGTGTTATCCAAGTAGCATGTGTTATTTTCTGACTGAGTTTTGTTCTTAATACTGCTTTCCCTAATTACAGTACACAGTTTCCACAGTAATTATCGAAAACATGTTTCCGAAATATACAGACAATCTTACTGCCAATAAAAAATTTGGGAATTATAATGTTGAACAACTGTGAATATTTAGTTTCCAATAGTTTAAATAATCCCATTATAATATTTAGAGAACACAATTTAAGCAACTGCATAATTTCAGTAATTTTTCAACAGCCGTTAGAATCACATGTTGAAATTATTCAGAATATGCATTCGATACCATTCTGGTTAACAGAATTAAAGTTCATGCGTATAAATCGGTGATAATTATTAAGAGTAGAAATAATAATAATACTAATATTACCTTTGAACGGAAATCAAGACAGCAAATAAACAGCATGATAGTATGCAATAGTGATTGGCTGAGAAGTTCGTAACTATTCAAATCAAACAGAAGTGCTTACTAGCCAGTCGGAAGTTGCGTAATCACTGGATTGCAGTCTCGCTGTTTCGGGGTCCGGATTCATCAGCATTGTTGCCAGTTAGTCGGACCTCAAAGAGGTGAATCAGTTCCAACAACCCAAATCCAGGCTAGCTACTTGGTGGAAATAGCGTCTACATTGAATTCATCATATATGAATTAGATACTTCAATGTGAAAATTCACCATCGTCCCCTTTAGAAACTAAAATTGAAGCGTGTAGTTTTAAAAATTGTATAATTACCTTATTATGACGGGGAACAATAAATTGTGCTGGAAACCTTATCCAGTTAATAACATCATATTTCTATATTGGTAGTAAATATTATCTGCCCTAATATTTAGACCTCAGTTTGAAACTATATCATCATAGTATTTGTCATCTTTAGAAATAATAGCAATACAATGAATGTTATTTTACGTTTTTACCTCAACAATCCTTGAGTGTTACTGTCACTGTATCCTATTTTTTAAAAATTTGTATAGGTCCCAATTGCCCGGGTACAGACAATGTGTAAACTTTTAGAAGTCTTATTAATTCATCCAGGTGGTCCACCGATGAGTCACGAAAAGAGTAGATTAAATCCAATATTAGCCATGTCATTTGCATTCTCATTGCTATGGGGGTTGGCAGGTAATTTGATTGATGCAAACTGGGATTCATGTGACGCATTTATACGTAATCTTTTTGATGACCTAGGTGATGCTCGAGTAAGTTTTTATTTTGGCCATTTTTCATAGAATATATATTTATATAATATACAATGCATACTCCTGTTTGTCTGTTTGTGACCTGCTTTTTGAGTAAAACTTGAAGGTTACAATGTATTCAAATTCCAGTGCTTTTGTATAATTTTCTCAGGTCCAAAGCATTAGTACATGATGAATACATTGACTTAATTACCTTCACTCTAAAATAGCTGTCTGGGTTAAACAAATTGGAAACTTATGATTATATTTGAAATGGCTACACATTTATCCCGTTAGTGTTAATTTTCCACAGCGTCACTGATATTTTCGAATCTATGGCTTTTATGGCGTGGCAGATGTTGTGAAAAAGCGTCACAGTAATTTATACCACAAAGTCGAGCAAATAATTGGTAGTGAGTGTTTGTCTTGCCTAAACTGAAGTGACTTGTTTCACATCACTCGATAGGTATCATTTTTCACCATAGTCACAATTTCAGTAAAGTATTTTTAACTAACATTTATACAAACGCCTATAGCCTACTTTTTCATACACATATTTTAGTTGCCACAACATGCTGATTTATGGTCCTGCTATGTTGATATGGATACACGTCGTATGGATAATTGGGATAAAATGCTTGCCACATTTATTTATAATAAGAAAATACCATTTTTCGATATGATTGTACCAACTATAGACACAGTTCGATATGGTTATATGTTGGAAAAATTGTTGGACGCCAACCAAAGTGTTCTCTTCACTGGTTTGACAGGAGTTGGAAAAGTATGTGTTATATCACTATTGTTTTTTTTTGCTCTATTTTTGCACTTTGTAAACAGGTTTACTTGAAGGTGGATCTATACATTGATTTGTCTTAAATCAGGGTTCATTTAAGTGTGTTAATAAAAAGCTTGGATACAACCAAATGTTATGAAATACGATGATTAATATCTCTCGGTTATCCTAGAACCAGAAATTCTCGCCACTATTATAATACTCTGATTAGATATGCTGAACTTAAAACGAGAGTATAGAAGACAAACAGAAAAACAAATTTTAAGATAATGCTCACACGATTATTTAGCATTAATTTTAACTGCTCAACTTACGTGTTTGGAGTGAAGTTACACTACAAACTTTCACACGTTTAGCAAATAAAACCCAAAAAACAAACTCGAAATTACTATTCGAGTTGTAGAATGCTCAAATCGTAAAATCAAAGTGAATAACTGTGGCAAAAATTGGTTAAAGCGAACGTTATAGTGGCTATACCAAGTCAACGGTTAATAGCTAGCAACTGACACAGTGAGTTCTATACAAACAACCCTCGGACTGTCAACAGACTTACCAAGGATAATTGGAACTTAACTGATCGTGGAAAACACACATATGGACATTGGAAAGAAGAGAACACGAAGTTCAGCAAAGATATCTTTTCGGCGATTTCATTTTCAAAAGCCGTACAATCCCATTTAAATACATAATTTTACATCGATAAAATTCTTGTTTGATTATACATAATTACGACGGCGAATAAAAGGTGATTATTACTTTCAACTAGATATGGTTTTTAACGAGAACCTTAGAAACAAAATTACACGGGATTATAGCGAATTACAAGTGTATAGAAAATGAGCATGGAAACAAAATTTGAAATAATAATTTCAAATTGAGATGGAAGTTAGGAGGTGCGAATATAGATTACAAGAGCCTTAGAAACAAAAAATTGCAGAGGATTAAGATATAATTGTAAAATAGTTATTTTGAAGGAATTATAAATGTGAACAGGAAAAGCATGGAAACAAACTTAAAATAACTGTTTTTATAACTGAAAAAATGGGGTGAATCGAGTGAAGACTGAGGAGTAAGAATCACACACACAGCCAACGAAAAAGCTCAAAAACAAAAGAGAGAACGAAAGAATAAAAAAAACGGAAGCAAAGGGAACGTACCAAACTAGGTGCATGGTAGTTGTAGAGGTTGGACTTATTTCTTTTGAACACACAGGTCTGGCTTCTCGATGCATATTGCGAGGGTTTCTGCAGTACAGAGAAGTCGGAAACATACTGCTTTTGTTAGGTTTCTGTTGACTTGGTAAATTACTTTGACAGAATCAGTTGAGATGTTGTGGGAGGTGTTGATCAGATGTTCAATAATGGCACTTCTGATTGCAGCCACGCTGGGTAATTTTCTCTAACACGTTTTAAAAGGACGCGCATACAACGACCTATGTACCTAGCTCCGCATGAGCAGGTGAACTGGTATATGCACATTCAATTGGTCATATGCGAGAGTTTGTCCTTCGTGTTGTTTCGAAGTAGTGGACGGTTAGAGAATGTCACTCTTAGTGTTGCTGCAGGGAAGGTCGTCTTTAAAGAGATAGATATTCTCCTCTTCAGGATATCGGCTGCCAAACCTCCTCTGAAATTCAGATTCAGATAGAGCGTTTTCTTTGGTGCTGAATCGCATTCTTCTCTTTTTGGTTTAGGTTTCGTGTTCTTTTCAACAAAACGTGTCGGGTAGCCATTTTGAGCCAGGATATTTTTGAGGAATAGGAGCTCCTCTTCTATGCAGTCGCTGCTGCAGATTTTTCTAATGCGATAAGTTAGTGAGGTGATGAGAGCTCGTTTTCGGCTCCAAGGTATCTAACTATAGAAATGCTTCAGTTGGCCGTTCAATGTCAGTTTTCTGTGGATGGACCTCTTCAGGGTTCCATCATCTCTTCTTGTTAATTCCACGTCCAGAAATGGAATGTTTGAATCAATTTCTAATTCCATTGTGAATTTAATCGAAGGATGAGAATTATTAAATTTTTGTGAGATGAAGTTGAGGTCCGAGTTGTCGTAGTAGACTATAAAGGTATCGTCAACGTACCTTTTGTACAGTAGTAATTTGTTTATTGTTGATTTTAAAACTCCACTCTCCAAACTGCCATAAAGCAGTCCGCTAAAAGCGGGCCAAGAGGAGATCCCATTGCAACTCCGTCTTTCTGTCTGTAGATGTCGCCGTTGAAGGTGAATTGTACTTTCAGCGTGTATCTCAGCAACAATTCCTTCAGATATGATATTGGTACTCCGACGCTTATATTGATTACTCCATATAATTGCACAGAGAGCATATTGTTTCTGTTAGTGGCACGTTGATAAAGAGAGATTCGACATCTAGTGGTTACATTCGTTTATCACTTACATTCAAATCTTTTACGCATACAGTGAACTAAAAAAGTATTCAAGTATTGGTTTGTAGGGATGAAATTATGAAATCCAGTAACGAACTCAAAAGTATCGCGTAGGCAGTATTTGCATAGGTGCTGTCTTACCGGTTCCAACATTTCGAAAAACTATTTGGCGATTGGATGGTATGGCGACCCTACACACCTCCTAACTTCCATCTCAATTTGAAATTATTATTTCAAATTTTGTTTCCATGCTCATTTTCTATACACTTGTAATTCGCTATAATCCCGTGTAATTTTGTTTCTAAGGTTCTCGTTAAAAACCATATCTAGTTGAAAGTAATAATCACCTTTTATTCGCCGTCGTAATTATGTATAATCAAACAAGAATTTTATCGATGTAAAATTATGTATTTAAATGGGATTGTACGGCTTTTGAAAATGAAATCGCCGAAAAGATATCTTTGCTTAACTTCGTGTTTTTTTCTATCTAATTAACTGATCAACAAGTTTGTAATAACTATTCAAAATTATCCATGCATACTTCACTTTATTTTGTTTTTTTTTCTCTATTACAGTCAGTTGTTGTTCGTGGAACTTTGAATGCCATAGCTCAAATGAAAAATTATGTGCCTGCATTCCTGAACTTCTCGGCTCAGACAAGCAGCAATCGTACACAAGAAATGATTGAAAGTAAATTGGAGAAAAAGAAGAGAAATATTCGTGGTGCACCAAAAGATAAACGTGTGATACTGTTTGTAGACGATTTAAATATGCCGAAACAAGATACATACGGAAGTCAACCACCCATTGAATTACTGAGACAATATCAAGATTTTCGCGGTTTCTATGATAGGGACAAGCTAGAGTGGATTAAGATTAAAGATATGACCCTGTGTGCAGCATGTGGTCCACCGGGAGGTGGGAGAAATCCAGTTACTGCAAGACTAATCAGACATTTTTCGCTGTTCGCCATACCTTCACCATCTGAAACCAGCTTAAAGCAAATATTCTCTTCAATTATCAATGTAAATATTTAGCGCTTATATTTTTTAATTATTTCCATAGTTTGTGTTTACAGTTAGTGCACTTATGTTCGTATAGGTTTACTAAATGCTCATTATTATTCAGGTAGTTATTCTTTCTCCCGTGTGTTCTCATCTATTATAGTCTCGCTGCATTCCCTCCCCAACTTTGTGAATGCTTGTATAAAATGTGGCAACTGCGACTGCTAGGCTCTTATGCGAAGTTGAAAATAAATCATTTTTTTAGGGCGAAAATCATTGTGACCAATATACCATCAAAATATTTTATTTTATTGCAACTGGCAATAACTGAACCGGTATGCTACGAAGGTATAATCGTTACCCTTACGGTAATTACCATTTGTTCTGGAAGAATGCTGCATGGGGTTACTCAGCTTCTGGATCAAAAAAACAAACGCATATTATTTTGGTTCCTGTCGTCAGTAAATTAAGAAATAAGATGTTTTGTGAACAAGAACTCTGTAAGTTGCCAAAAACCAAGTGCTGTATGTAAAACATTTTGAAAATGAGAGAGGAAAAGTATACTGAGACCGTTTGAAATAAACATAGTACACAAGTCAGCACAACCATTTCATTTATTGTGCAGACCAGAGGACCCAACAGGAAAAGAAGATTAAACTAATACAATTTACAAAATTAGTTGTATGGACTGCAAAAAACATTACATTAGTCAAAGTGTGCATCCTCTTCGAATCCGAATCGAAGAACACATATTGGCTGTAAAAAGACATCATATCAGTGCATATAAATAATTACGGACAACCTTTTGATTGGGATAATGTAGAAATTTTAAATAGAGGAAACACCAAAAATGCCAGGGAATTTCTAGAAGCCTGGTACTCAAATGAACCATCAGTTAACAAACACATTACTATAGACCAAATCTACTAGCTAATAAAAAGTAAATCATATGACAATAAAGTTCAAATTCCAAGTCAGAAAAGATGGTCAATATAGATGCAAATCAACGACCAGTCACGACTATGGCAGCCAAGAGATACAATTAAATCATTTATTTTATACTAAAACCTGTGCTGAAGATGTTGTCTAGAGGGACGGCAAAAGCTTCGCAATAAAATCAACCGGCTCAGAGAACATAACTAACTAGATATCGTTAATCGATTAAACTGTATGCACAAATAACTCGAAAACTGCTTCATCAGTACGTCGCTGATACGGAAAGATATTTTCTTCAAGTATTTATCTCGTCAAAAATAAGAATATAATAGAAAATCAAGATATTCATCTTCTTTTGAATAAGCATTGTCGGAACAAAAGTGGAGTAATGGCAAGATAAGGAAGTGAGGGCTTTTGGATTACCAGATGGACTGTTTAATGTCTCACTTGAAAGGATGAACTGTTGACTATCTTTGAACTCTTTTTCTGGAATATGTCATCTATTAGCATATATCCTTTTTCAAACAAGCCTTCCTAGATGGTCAGGGGATAGTTTGGGTAGTCCGATATAAGTGACACTCAGACAAACAGTAAATAAGAACAGCTTAAAATCATAATATACTATTATTTTAACAAGGGTTTCGAAAGTATTTGGCACTTTGTGCATGATACGCAGTCTCAGCGTTTGTAAAATCTTGCAAGGATTTCAGATTATGAAGTCCGTTTAACTGGATTGGTTTGTATGAGTCTGAAACGACAATTGGCTTTCCATGAATCTCCAGAACAATAAGCATCACATAGAAGTCTGACTGAGTGAAGCACACAGAAATTTAGAAACACATTGTATCATAAGAGAAATAAGAAATTATCAGGACGGAAGATCGAAAAGGATTTTTACAGATCCCAAAGAAAGGTGTGTAGTATTAGTCGGATGGTAGAAAGAAACATGATTATTAATTCGCATACAAATAAAAAAAGTAATTTTCAAAGTCCATACAAAATAAGTTTGGGCTAAAACTTGGTCTGCAGTTATTTGTGGTCCAATGAGACGGTAAATCAAGAACCGTTTGCCGTAATACGTTTTTTTTACCTTCAATTACTACCCCCATACATTAGGCATCTTTTGTTAACAGGCCATGTTAAAGATATTTCATTAATTTTCAGGTGTTAGTTTGTAAGGATTTGACTGATTTCAAGTTTAACAATGGATTGATATTCGTTAGAGAACTTTTGAAAACCAGGGAGCACTGGACAGTTGCTCTCTGTATGTCAACCTGACATCGAGCACTTCGGTTCAGGCAATCAACGGGAGAATCTAAAATTGAATTAAATAATTAATATGACCTGTTGCACAAGAAGTGGGGTGGCTGTCGTGGCCCACGTGGTCTAGTGGATAACGCTTTGGCGTTTGAAACTATGGGCACTGAGTTCGAGCCTCGGTGAGAACATCATCATTCACTTCAGAATGTAGGCACGTCCAGCTGACGAGTCCCAAATAGGACAACATGCGCGTTATCCTGGATTCCAATGCTAGTCATCATCCACCAGTTAAATTATAATATGGAACTGTTCAGCAGTACGCTTCCATGACCCCACCTGTGGTTGAACCCAGAACCTTCTGGCCACGAGACCGGCCTATTGATGATTCAACTATTGGGGCTCAATCCAATAGCTCATGAATTCTTACTTCTGTCAATCGGAGATTCTTAGTGTTACCCCTAACCAGTGTCATCGTCAGGTGTTTGTTCTCACACCCAATCTAGTGGACACCATTGGTCACGGATTTTCACTAGAAATCCAGGCAGCTTTGTCCTATAGTCAGTCACTATTGAACGTCAGATTAATTCACAGCTCTTATTTTCAGTAATCTTAAGAATTTCGAATTGTTAACTGTACCTGAAAATCGTCTAATGGTTTCTTACCTATTGTTCTGAAATCCATTGCTTCTCGGTGTTGTTCTATCATTCATGTGTTTTAATTTTCAGGGTTACTTTCTTGAATTCCCTCAAGGAGTCCGTAATAATGGTGATGCGGTTGTGAATGCTGCTGTTGAGATATACGTCAGAATGGCTAAAGAATTACTGCCGACACCTGCTAAGTCCCATTACGTATTCAACCTGAGAGATTTATCAAAATGTATTCAAGGTATGTGATGTAAATACCTTTTGCTAATATCTACTGAAGTTACTTCATAATTAAATCCCCAATTATTGAACAAAAAACATTCTTTTATTAGTAAAGGAACATTAACATATTTTCTGTGCCGTTTAATCATGATGTGAGTGAACTTGTTGGTAGATTATTTCATAACAGAATAATTTTACTTGATAAAAAAACACATAGTGATACAATATTACTAACTGATGACATTTTAAGTACATTGTATTACCCATACTCAAATCAAACTGATATAATATTACTACCGTCAACCGACATAATAATAAGCACCGACTTGAAAGATAAGCTATCCGTTGTGTGTTTATTTGCATATCTCATCAAAATAATCAACTACTTGTGGATACGGACAAGTGACAAAATATGGCTCTTGAAACACTTAATTCTAACCCGAATGTATAGTGAAGATATATGGATGACAATTTCACGAAGTTAAAAACAGGACCTGTCTCTGGTTTCTTCACTCATATAAACGCAGTAGTGGAGGGATTTAAATTTACCATTGAGTTAGAAAATGAACAAGTAGAATTAGCTGTATTAGATTGTAAAATAAAATGGACAGGCAAAGATGAATTATGCATCACTGTAAAACGACGGCGCAGTTTAGTAGATATTTAAGCTTTAAGCCATCTAATCCGTTATCTGTACACTGACTTTGTCAAATGTCTAACAAGCCTAGCGAGAACTCTATTCGTCAATGGCCTGATGAAATCATTGGGACAGCTAAACTTTCCATGCATCAAAATGCATCGTGTTTACTCCACTTCATATTGTTTTAATGATCTTATTATCCCCATAAGACACAATCCATACTCGCTCACAATTTCAAATAAGTTTCTACCTACTGCGGGAAATTTCTCGAATGGCATAGAGGAACGCATTTTCCAGAATAAAACTATTATTATTATTACTAATTATTATTATTATTATTATAGTATAGTACATCAAAAAACCTAAATAATAAAGTGAAACAGATAGAAGTATTGGCGTAAAATAATTAACCCATAAAATTCATCAGGAAGACTCAAAAATTCACACCATAAAAGACAAAATATTAGTGAAACTGTCAACCATAACGTAAATTGGAAAGAATTAAAACCATCTTAAACTTCCTTATACCGGAGGGACATCTGAAACCCTACGTAGGATTCATAATAAAGTGGGAATTAGAATGCCATGTAAACCTACAAATCACTCAGGATAATGCTTTGGAGGCTGAAGAGCTCTACTGAGCTGACTCAACAAAATAAGTTGAGTGAGTGCCTTGAGATGATTATGAGCAGAAAATTATGCTTGGAATGTCATCAATAAATCATTCTGTGTTACTGTGTGCTTTTATCAGGTGAATCTTTTCTATGATGAAATTATACTGTACTACAGTACCTGAATTCTACTGTTCATCTCAACATACACACACCTTTTTGGGAATCTCAAATGTTTTTAGTTCTTCATTTGACGAAGTTACAGAATTTATCAATGGGAAAGTTCATGTGTCACATAGTTTCATGTATTAATCCTGTTCACGTATATACGCGACAGTAATTATTTACTCATTAAAGATTTATTTAACAAGTTACCAAAAACCACTAGGTATCTGTGAGTTATCCGACGAGTGATTTACAATTCAAAGCATAGCATAGTAACTGGTACATTCCACTATTTGATTATGAATAATGGTCATTATAATCAGAAGGCTCGAAAATGTTTTGTAATTTCTCTGGTGCATGATCCTGAAGTTGAAAGAATAGTCTTAGGTGAATGATGCATATCACCCAATAAACTGTTAAACTTCTGTATACTGTAGTGACTGGGCATATTACTCACCCTTAGTTGTCGAATACTATAACGTACAGTTTTAAGTGAAGAGCGTTGAAATAAGAAGAACGAGAAGGATAACCACTTCAGAATTGTTGTTTTTGACTGGCTGGGTACTGCGAAGCACTCTGTCTCGAAACCGTATTTTTCCAGTACTTTCTTACATTAACATACTGACAGCGTGAGTGATTAAGTGTAATATTGATAAAATTCCAATATTTCAAAGACTGGGATATACCTTCCAGTCGACTGTAATATCTTTGTATTTCAACTGACTTTCGTACATCTTAAAGGTACAAAAGCCATGCAATTATTTTGTGACAAAGTTATATGTATTCTGCTGATGCAATGATACTTTTCTACTTGCACTTCATCATTAGAACATTTTATTTAAATCCATACACAACTGGTTCTTGTGTTTACCTTGAAGGGGTTTTACAAGGTGATTTGAATATTGTACGCGACAAACAAACCTTAAGTAGACTGTTTTACCATGAAGCTCAACGTGTATTTCATGATCGACTGATAAATCAAGAAGATAAAAACTTTTTCAACCAAATTCTTTCAGAAATGGCCTCAAAGTACTTTGGTGAGGTATGTTTCAAGTACTTTTTCCTTTTTTTGTACAGTACATTGGTAACTGTGGAATTATTTGAAATATGATTAGTAGTCTTCAACGTACAATGTGAGTAGTTCTTTGAATATTGTGCTAGACTGCAAGTCCTTCAGATTAAAACATTTAGTTTATATGCATTTGATGAATAATCCCCATCTAGACATTGATGAAGACAAAACATTGTAGTTCAACGAAGAGTCTCTCTTCGGCGAACTCATTCACTTAATTGTACAATCGCTATTATTTATACTTATTTTGTGTGGGTGTGTGCACATCACGTTTGTCCGATAAGAATAACAATAAGGGTTACTGTTGTCAAGACATTTCAAAGACATGTGATGAGTAATAAAATGGTAACTAGGAGTGGTGAAGATTGGTAGAAGGGTAGCGTTGATGTGTTGTGAAGATACATAGTTATTAATGTCAGTCAACAAATAAAGGAAGTGTAATACAGTTACGTAGTAAGGTGAATGGTTTAATGAGTGAGCTGTGATTAGGATGCACACAGAAACAAAGGAAAATATGAAGTTATGTCAGAGTTCTAAAAATTCCAAATGTTATCAGGAGTTTAAAAATAAACAAGCACACAAACAACAATTCAGCAGAAGTCAACATGGTTGCCACCAACATAGTAGAAGTGGTTGAATGGTTGTCTTTTGTATACATAACTCTGGTTTCTCCAACTGAATGGCTAAGGCTTCAGCAATACAAAGGAGGCGAAAGCGTACTGCCATTGGTAGATTGTTCTTCACTTTGTAGATCACTTTGAAGGAGGCGTTTGTTGAGATGTAATGACCAGTGTTGACGAGATGTTCGATTATTGCACTCCTTATACAGCCACTATTACCTTTTTGCAGCCATGTGATATAGTTGTCTTGAACCCTTTTGGACAGGATACGCGTCAAACAACCAATGTACCTGGCTCTACAGCAACAGGCAAACTGATATATTCACACAGAAGTGGCTAGATGCAAGATCTTGTCCTTAGGACTTCTGAAGATCAGTGGATTACTGGAGAACACTACTCTTAGCCTTGCCGAGAAGAATGTTCTTCTCAAAGATGCTGAAATTCTTCTGTTCAGGATATCGCAAGCTCATTCTCCCTTGAAATTCAGATTCGTGTAAAGTATCTTATTCGAAACAAGTGATGTTTCTCTCCTCCCTTATGGATAAGATTTTATTTTGATAAATCACACACTTTCTCTCCTCTGGACATTTGGTTTGATATTCTTGTCAGCGAATCTTGGGGGTATCTATTTTGGATGACGGTTTGTTGCAGAATATCCAGTTCTGCTTCTAGGGAAGATAAATACCTTCTAGATCAAACAGTTGAATGATTGCATCTATAATAATAAAGATCAAATCTTTGACGTGTTATTTCCTAGATCAGCAATGTATAAAAACAGAGTTTTAAGCGAAGACAATCCACATTTCGACGATTTCATTTTCATATATATATATATATATATATATATATATATATAATCCCTCCAGAATTGAAAAAAAAAATAATCCCGACGTTGAGTTTGGCATACTGTTCCGACCTTTGTCAGGGAAATTAATCAAAATTACAATAACTAAGATAATTGGGGAAATAGATTAAGCATGATGCGTATCCATCTTGTTTGCTGATCAGGACTTGCTATGCATCGGCTAACATCAAAGTGTCACTGCTGTTTAAACTTTTGGGATCCACTTATGTATTTTAGGGCTTCTTCAGTCAGTAAACAACAAGTTACTAACCTATTCAAATACATCAGAATAAATGTGTTTAAATACAAGTTGACTCATAATCCTACGCCTTTTTGAATAACTGGCAACATGAAGTTTACTTTTAGTCACTGAAAGCTTTTTTGTAGAACCTTGTGTGTATATGTTAGAATTCGCCAGTTAGCGGAAATACTGGAGAGTGATAATGCTGGTGTAGAGGATTTTGGGTCACAGATTGATTAGGCAGTATGAATATGTAAAGGTCAACACGAAGTTCACTAGACATGCGTAAATTGGATGGCAAGATGATTAAGTACACTCGGAAGTATGAATATGTGAATTCGTCATGCTTAAATTCAATAAGATGGAAAGATAAGTGTCGCAAATAAAATAAAACAAATGAAATAGAAATTCAAGGAAAGATAACGCAAATGCTAAAAATGAAACAGACTTTGTGATACGAAGTAAAATAAAATCGATTGAAAGAAGTTTTGTGAACAGATTGTTTTACCAACACAAATTTCTGGCTTTATCCTACATATTGCCAGAGCTTCAGCTATACAAAGCGGAAACACTCATCCCTTCTCGACAAACTTTATCGGTCTTTGTAAACTATGTTAGAATATGCATCAGATGCTGTGTAATTATTATCTATTATAAATTGTAATAAGGATGAGTATAATAGCTTTACTCATCCCATTGCTCAGCCAACCTGAGAGATTTCCTCAGACGCGCAGCATATTATTATATTATTATATCCTTTAATTCCTAGAGGAACATAGGGCTTCAGCTGCGCACCTCCATTGCCTTCTGTTTTCTGCTAACTCTTTCATCCCGCTCCAAGTCTGTCCACATGCTTTCATATCCTCCTCGCATGACCTCCTCCAAGTCACCCACGCACTGACGACCAACTCGCCACCCGCTTCCCTTCCGGGTTCCACTCGAGCAATGGCTTGTCTAGTGATGTCACTTGATGGTTTCCTCAGCGTATGGCCAGCCAATCCACCTCCATTTCTTCCTGCCTATTTGTTTCACAATCGGTTCCTGCTGGGTTGGTTCGATCATTGCAAGAGATCCTTGTTTCTGATCATTTCTAGCTGACCATCTGATCTTGAGTATTGAGCAAAGACAACTGTTAGTGAAGGTCTGAATTTTGTTTGAGGTGCTCTTTATGATGCGCTGGCCAAGTCTCTGATCCGTATAGCGAGTAGCACTGACTGACTTCACATTGGAGTTGAAAATCCGTATCTTATTTTTGATGGTGAGTGATGTTGACCTCCACACAGATTTGAGGGTAATGAAAGCCTGTCTTGCTTTTCCGATTCTGGCTTTGATATCCTCATCAGTTCCGTCTGTCTGTAGTTGAAACGATGCTTCCCAGGTAGGTAGGTGAAGGAGGTTGTTTCTTCCAGGTTCCTCCCATTTATGCTGGCTGATTGTTGTCTGTTGTTGTTGTTTCTGTTGGTGTTGGCCAGGAATCTTCATATTGCCTTTGTATTGCTCTCAATGAACTTCCTAAGTACCTTGATATAAGTATAAAACTTGGGCACTGTGGTAGAGTATAATTCCATTATAGATAAGATTTTATTTTGATAAATCGTACAGTGTTTACAGTTGTATGAACTGATGACGTTTCGAGCACAAACTATTGCTCATAATCATATCAAGTTACTCACACAACTTTGATCTCTCATTTATATACATATGTGGAATGGATTAGATATTGGATTAAAAATCAATGTGAGATAATGTACATTCAGAAATAATCGTTCGAGTGTTGTTGACCAATTGCAATAGATGGGAAAATTGGACGAGTGTTTTTACAGTCATACTAAGCTGCTTGTTAGAATGTGTTTGAATTGAAATAGAATTTTAAGATTATTTATTATCTCTTCTGGTTTGACTGATGGCATTAATACGAGTGTTATTGATCTACTATAATCAGATGGAAATTACGACGAGTGTTTTAATAGTCATAATAAGTTTTTTGTTAGGATGTTGTGATGTGTTTGAATCGAAGTAGAATTTTAATATTATTTATTACCCTCTTCTGATTTGACCTGCGGTAATAATATCTTCCATATCTCTGGTATTTGCATTGAGTCATTTTTGTTGCATGTGTTGGGTGTGGACTCGATAAATAAAGTACCTAGTTCCTAAGTACCTAGTTCCACAAAACACGTGAGTATATAAATACAAACAGGAATCGGATAGTCGGGGTAAACTTACCCTGACACTGAGGTTCGCCTGTGGGAGTTATTCCTAGGGTGACAGTAAAAAATACTTTCCTTAGTGGTCTTGTCAACCAGCTTTTAAGTACATCACTCCTAAATTCTAAGTTAAGAGAGATATGACATGACTATTATGCACTTGGTTGCCCCTTCATCCAGACATAGAAATACATGTTCACGCCTATGGATAGATAAGGCTCTCTGAGTTCGGCTTATGGAACTAGCCCCTCATCAACAGTCTAAGTCATAAATATGCACCGATGAGGCTATCATCGTTAATGAGTCCTCAACTCTGTATGCGAGTACAAGTTTAGTGGACAAGCTGAGTACCAGTTTAGCTCCACGTAATGTTTTCAATTGGTCTTAAAAATATTGATGAATAACTTTCCTATGATTGCTCACATTGTTATTCTCATTTCTTGATTCTTCTTGTGTACATGAATTCTCCTTTAAACTGCCTGGGTTTTGAACCATGGAGCTAATTGCAACGGCTCCTTCAAATATAATGTTTATCTGTTTATACTGAATTAATGATACTTTAAATTTCTTACTTATAGACAATTGAGCCTGAAACATTTTCCAAGAATCCAATACTATTTGGTGACTTTTTAAGACCTGGTGTTCCCCGGGCAGAACGATTTTATGAGGAGCTGTGTGATATTGAAAAGCTGAAATCGTTATTAATGGATGTAAGTCTATACATTTTTGTAATATGACCTCTTGTTCACCTGTATGTGCGCTTCTAATTTTGTGAGTTTATACATGAAATTTTGAATGTTAACTCTTGATCCTGCATTAATCTTCTCCACTAACTTTTTGTCTGTACTTATAAATTTTCAACAGATGCATATGTATTTGCTATGAATTTTAAGCCACAGAGCAGTGGACCACTATTTCACTCAAATTTTAAAGTTGTCTTCAGTGCAAATGTACCTTTTCTGCATGGATAGACAGTGAAACTGAAACAGCACAAGTGTTCTGAATCAACAATTACTTAATAGATTGTTTGTCAAACTGTTTGTTTTCATTTCGCGTCCTAAATAAACATCAATGAAGGTTTTCTAATGACTATCAAAGGCATATACTCTGAAATTAGTTCAGATTCCCACAAAACCCATAATCTAAAAAGTACAAACATCTGCTCTCCCACTAACGATTTTGAGTGTGCCATTAAAAGTTTCCAACCACTGAGTATTGTGATAAGATAAATCATACTTCCTAAACTAGTATTTATTGACTCTATAGATTTTTGTCCTCTTTAAATCTGACAGCTCATGTTTATTTGTTACCGGTGGACTTGGTTTGTGATGCATTGCACACATTCTTTTCATCTTCATCAATGAAGATTTATAACCTAGTTACCTGGCTTAAATCCCTTATATCACACTATACACCTAACAACTATGACTTTACAGCTTTACTCTTTTTAAATCTTCTAATTTCATCATGAGAAAAGTAAGAAAGAGCTTCTGTGCAATATACAGACTCTTCATGAAACTCCACTAAATGAGACTAAGGGAGAGAGAGAGACTCTCCCAAAATAGTTTTATGGTTCGAAATTGTGAAGACAATTATCGATTGTCATATTGTTCTGAGTTATTGCAAATGTCGTTTTCAAAGCCTAATTCAAATATGGTTCAACAAGTGCTAAATGATCACTGCAGTTGTATTATCACGTTTAATGGCCAAATTTCTCTCCTGGTCAAAACAGTACAGTCGGCAAACTTAGGACTAAATAACTACGTTGTTGAGGTAGTATACCGATTTATTTAAGAATAAGGAAAACAAAGATTTATTCATTGGAGGCATATTTCTGTTCAACAATTTAATCTTCAAGCTATACAGTCTTATTTGTGATAGGTGATACGGTACAGAACTAAAAAGTCGTTTAGTCAATAAGGTTGTTATATGGATTAATTAGTTTATAAGTATATATATATATATATATATATATATATATATATATATATATATATATATGGATGCAAACAACAATATTTATTATTAATAAAATCAATTATACTCATTTTCTGCGTAACTTGTACTTAATCAGTTAGAATTCCTATCAGTTAGTTCATTCATACTTCTTTTCTAGTATTTAGACGATTACAATTTAGTTATGTCAAAAGATGTGAAACTTGTCTTCTTTGTTGATGCCGTTGAACATGTTTGTCGTATTGCACGAATGATTAGACAAGACAGAGGCAATGCATTGTTGGTCGGTGTTGGTGGTACAGGAAAACAATCCCTGACAAGGTAAACTTAAATTTCTTTTATTTTCTTAAATGTGTTTCCATAATTCATCTAGTTAAGATGGTAATTTACAAGTTGTATTTCAAACTGCTGTTTGTATAATGTAAGCTGGACAGCTCTCACACGGTACACGAACCAGTCATGAGACAATGATGCGCTCAACATATGGATATCCTTGCAAGGCTAATACAACGAAACGCCCATACAAAGTGGGAAAGAGGAAATGTCAAGAGGGGGATCAACTGATGAAATACGTCACAAAATATTTTTGCACCTATATGCTGTAAAGTAATTAGCTAGCAGTGATCTTAATTTTGACACTCGTCTGTCGACTAAAAACACAAATAACTTGTATGTGTAGCTATAACTGAGTCATTGTCACTGTCTTTTTCGGGCCTTTGAGATGAAATTTTCCGAACAATTTTACAAATTAGGCTTTAATTTGAATTTTTATTCTCTTGACTAGTACAGACAAAATAGTATTTGTCCAACTGCATGACACATTTATAGAATCGAAATTGAACATTTTAACTTATTTTTAAGACGTAAACTGGGAAACGTTCGCTCTGAAATGAATATAAGTTATTCACTTAATTGAAAGTCGGGTTCTGCTTACAGTTCTGATTAAACACTGATAATTGTCTTCTGTGTCAGTTAAGTCACCGTCTCATTTTGTAGTTCTTCAAAAGCTTTTTTAGCACATTGAGCTAATCTGAACGAAGAATATTCTTTTCAATAATTTCTTCTCTTCGGATCCTTAGAATTATAAAATATAATATTTCCTATCTTTACTATAGTGGCTAGTCATGCGGTTGACACATTTCTTTACGTAGAATAGCAGATTAGTTATGGGGTGTCAAAATAAATGGTAGTATTTGTGTGACAAACGTATATTTTAGAACTTTAAATATATTTGTGCGTTGAAGTTTCTGTAGCGATTTGATTAAGTTTTGGGGGCGGAGTTGCTAGCACCACTCCCCAACCCTCCCTCTTTATCCGGGCTTGGAACCGGCTAGGAAACTATCGAGCTAGTAATCTAGGCAAGGTTGTGACAAACGTGCTAGACTGAAATCTATAAGAAAATATTGTGAAATGGTGTTAGAAACGTCATCCAGTGAATAATACTGTTTCACTGCGTGATATATCTAATGTACAAACTAATATGGAATTACAATGGTGGTGATTAGTCATACTAGATTTGTAAACTGTGGGGTAGGAAAATTGACGAATCAGATCAAGGTTATAGACGGTGTCAGGTGAGTGGGTGGCTGGTACAAAGTGGTATGTTTTAGAGAGGAGACAGTAAGACTGCAATGAGAGGTTCATACTGAAATAATGAATGTGTGAAATGAAATAGGTGGAGGAGACATATATTGAGAAAGGGGATAATATCACTAATAATAAGTCCGGATAGTATAAATGGAAAATTCAATGATATTGAGAGAATGTTTGCATGAAGGATGTAAACAATGACGAATAACAATAATTGTAATAATTAGCAAAGAAAGAAAAAAGAAACAACCCAAAGGGTTATGTGGAAGGAGCACACGTGGTGAGAAGAAGAATCATAAATCGAAATTTGGCCATGGTAGGAACAGCGTCTGGATGTGTTCATTTCGGATACAAAGTTCCGGTTTAGTCGATTTTATTGCAACAGCTTCAGCTATGTGTAGAAGACGTAAGCGAACTGTACGTGATAACGACCTCAGAATTCGGTGTTTAACCCTGGAAGTTGTGTTGACCTCGATGATATGTCCAGTATCGATCGAGTGTGGCAGGATCGAGCTTTTTATGCACTTAATTTCCACCCCACCCCCTCTGAACCAAACTGGTAAATGTTCTCAAACCCGGTGGCAAACCTGCCTAACCGTGGGCCCTATATAGCATGAACCACAGGAACAGTTGAAATGGTATTTGCATGAAGAAGAGCTAAGGTTAGTTAAGACATTTTTGAGTTTCTGGGTGAACATTGAACGGCTACTGAAGGATAGGAACAGACGTACAGAGTAGAAAGTATTCGTTATCGCCCTGGTTAAACGTTGTGATAGAATTTATGCAAGAGTATCTCCCTACATTTTCCAATGATGCCAGTTCATGTTTACAGTTATTGTAACGTATGTTGGCTTTAATGAACTTCTCTGGATATTCGTTCTCGTTTTGAATGTCTCGGATGACCTGGTGTTCCTTCTCCACACATTCTTCGGAATAAATGGACATCGCTCTAAATGCTAAGTTCCTGATCAGAATACATTTGTATTTCATTGGTAGGAAGCTAAGGAGGTGTGTATGCTGACCTTTGGTCTCTAGCTTTCTAAATATAGTTCTTTAGACGGAACCATCCTGTCTTCTCGTTAGTATGACGTCGAGAAAGTGTGGAGAGTCGTTCCACTCTCGTTCGTAGGTGAAGTGGGCCGCTGTGTGAGTATTGTTGAGTTGCTCAAAATCAAATCACTACGTAATCCTTCATCATACACCACGTCAACCAGTTTCAGAAGCCGAAAATATTGAAAGATCGGATGAAAAAATTAGAGAGAGAAATCACAAACTTATTAAAGGAATTGAAACGTGAAGGGTCTGTCTGTCTGTCTGTTTTCGACACAGAACTTTGCGCATATGTGTGGCAGTTCAAGTCGCCACCCTCCATGTAGCACACGAAGCAAGAGAAGAAAGTAGAAGAAATGCATATTAGAGACAGTAAACAGAGGTGTGAGAAAATGGAATAGTAATAACGAAGAACAATATAGTTTCATTGCTTTTTCCATCTCTTTCGCTTTTGTCGCCCACCACTGTTCACGGTCGTTGCGAAGACTTCTTTTATTTTTCGTTTGAGTACCTTTCGCTCCTCATCATAATCGGAGCTCGCTGGAATCAGTCTCCTTGCGTCAATCAGTTCGGATGAGGCGGTAGAGATCCAATGGCTCTTACTAACTTTAGGTTTTAGCTTATTAACAGCTTTCACAGCTGTGTCTACAGCTAACTGTATGTTGTCCCAGCCAGGCTACCTCAGGGGAAGTCGTTCTGTCGACATCAGACACTCGTTTCGCTATTTCTTCCTTGAATAAGGACTCAGTGTCTCGATCTAGTTGGGGACGTAACCATTTCGCTTCCGTCAATTTCTTATGTCCATTTAGTCGTAAGCATAAACGTGCGCAAACCAGAGCGTGGTCAGAGTCTACGCACGTGTTCCAGAAGGAGCGACAGTCTTGTGCTGACTCTCGCCAACGATACTCTATCACTATGTGGTCTATCTGAGTCCAGAGTTGGTTTGGTGATGGAGGTTGCCAGGTTACACAATGTCTCTCTTTGTGCCTAAAGTTAGTGCTGACTAGGAGCAGATGATTATCTGTAGGAGACGATCACCGTTGTCGGTTCGTCGGCAGGGAACTCCATACGTACCACCTACATACTTTTCAGTCTGGCACAACTTCCCTACTTGGGCATTGTAATCGCCTGCTAAAACAACTACATCTGAACGTTTTGCTTTTTGCAGCAAATTAGACAGTTTCAAGTAGAAATCACCTTTTAGTTCATCCTAACTGCAGAGTGTTGGGGCATAAGTGGAGACCATGAAAAGGCAACGACGGGTAGCGCTGTCTTTCCTTCTTTTAACGGACCCATTCAGACGGACCGCACACATACGACTATCTACTGGGATCCAGTCAAGAAGTGATTTTTCCACCCTAACATTCAGTGCTATCCCTACACCTGCGAGTCCTCGCAAGCTAGCTGAGGGGTCTCCTGACACCCTTAAAGTGAATTTTGCAGATTCACCTTGCTGACCGGGTGGGGTCAAGTGAATGACTACACTCGGGTCTTGTGTGCGTGTCTCCGAAACACAACATACATCCATGGCTCGAGTTGCCAGAGTTCTTGCTAGTGATGCTTGTTGTCCGATCTGGCAGAGGGTCCTGACATTAAATGCTCCTATATGAAGTTGGTGACGTGGATTTGAAAGGCTGTCTGGGGTGTTTCTATGGCTCTCACAGTTGTTCGTGGTCACAGAGTGAAGTGAAGATGACTCATTAGCCTGCAGAATAGTACTAAATGTAGTAGAGAAGCAAGATGAGAAAGGTGATGTTAGTGAAGGGAATGATGCTCAGGAAGGCTTCGTGTGCTTTTGGAAATGTGTGGTCGGTTGTTACTTCCCGGCTGTCCACACCTTAGAAGTTGATTGATTCTTCGGGAACCTGAAACAGAGTGTTGCGTGATCGCAGAGCCCAGGGGACAACTGCTTGAGGCCGATTATACGCGGCCTGTTTTTGTTTGTTCCTTTTTGTTTGGCGTGTCTCAGTAGCATATTTATCACTTCTGCCCTGTGACACGGCAGCAGGAAGCGCGGTCGTTGTTAATCCGGGCCCCGACCGATTCGGCATGATATTTTGTGAATTTGTTTGAATCATAGTATTGGATTGGGTAGCTACTTTTTGCCTAACCGCTATCCAAACAACCTTTCTGGCATGGTAGGACCTCAAGAGACATAAGTCTCAGCCAGTATAGCTTGTTGGGTCATTGCGGTCAAGGTAGCACCTTTCGGTCGGGAAGGCGAAGGTTACATATCACCAAAACTTTCGAAAACAGAAAATCCACAGGGAGCACCATCTCACGCACATACGGTCTACCGAAAGTGCATAAATCATGAGTGCCTCTAAGTCCCATACTAGACATGTCTCATTCACCTTATGGCGAAACGGCGAAGTGGCTGTTACAGCTAATTCAACCCTTGCATGACGCGTTAGTGAAGCATAGCGTCAAGGACACCTCTCAATCTATTGACCGGATTAAAAACTTGAACGCATTTGGCATATATATGGCATCACTTGATGTTTCATCTCTATTCACTAGTATGTTCACACTGTTTAGCTGCCATAATACAACTTTACGAATTTACTTTGTGGGAAAAATGTTTTATTGCCGATGAATTACAATCTGGACATTGTGATATCACTGGATTAAAACAGTCTAGCGACATACTAGAAACTATTATTGGACTGTGACCTATAAAATATTTGAATTATCAACTGACTAACAGTATATTAGATTCTACTGAACTTTCCAAACAAAATGAGATAATTATGTCTTAATTCTTCATTGTTTTTTTACTACTTAACCGAGTCAGAAATATTCTGGATGCGGTTTTAATTGTTTTCTCTTATTTGTTTTTGGCTATACTTTAGGTTAGCCGCACATATTAATGAATACAAATGTTTCCAGATTGAATTATGTCGTGGTTACGACTATTCATCATTTCATGAAGATTTAAAAAGGTTATATATTTCAGCTGGAGTGGAAAATAAACCAACCGTATTCTTATTCACAGATAATCAAATAATTGTAGAAGAATTCCTTGAAGATATTAATAATATATTAAATTCTGGTGAAGTACCAAATTTATTTGAAAGTGATGAATATGAACGTTTGATAATTGGATGTCGACCAGCTGCTAAAGATGCTGGTATTGCTGAGGGAAATCGTGATGCAATATATGAATTCTGCATCAATCGTGTACGTAATAACCTTCATATCGTACTGTGTATGTCACCAGTTGGTTCAAATTTCCGGGTACGCTGCAGAATGTTTCCATCATTGGTAAACTGCTGTACTATTGATTGGTTTATTCAATGGCCTGAAGACGCATTGTATAGTGTTGCAAAGTTTGCCTTTTCACAAGCTGATTTCAGTTCAGATGAGATGAAAGTAAGTTTACTTACTTAAAATGAGTAGTTGTTAATTATTCAGTTTATTTGATTAAATAGCGTTTGGTTATCTAGTGACTTTTGCTGTCATTTGACGTAGGACTTTTTTTGGAGAAATATTTTTATCACTATTGCTTTTTGTCTCATAGAGACTATAAATTAAGTACAAGTTCCGTGTTTTTGATGCCCATCTGTTTGATACGCCTCCGTTCAAAACAGCAGCTATTTTCCTAAACGTTTCAGTGTTATCTTTAGCAATACCAAAAGCATAGAGACCTTATCCCGCTTAATAGATATTGCCTTATTGTTTTATCATTCAATCTTAAGTCACCTTGATATGATTATGAGCAATAAATTGTGCTCGAAACGTCATCAGTAAACATTACTGTATAACACTGTGAGACTTTATCAAAACAAAATTTACCCATAATGGAATTACACTCTACCACAGTGCACAAGTTTTATTCTTATATCAATCTTAAGTCTATATTTTAATGCATATTTGAAGTAACGAATTTTATTTTTCAGGTACACTAACTATATAAACACATACACAACTGAGTCATCAATGAAAAAAACTGTTTTAGCGATCACTTAACAAGAACAAAAAAAAAACGTCGTCCTAAAACAATCCTACGAACAACCGATTTATATTGAAAAACTTATTTATTGAATGAAAAATGTAATTATTCATATAGAGAATTAACATAGGGCTGGTGGTTGTAGGAAGGTCTTCATGCAAGTCAGAACTCAGCTGTCTAAGGGACCACGTGGAGAAAATGCACTAGAGGTCATAGAAACCAATTAAACAAATAACGTCTTCTTAAAGATACGAATAATTAGACTCAAAGTATACTTTACTACACTGTCCAATCTCTACTTCTGTTTTTATAAAAGAAATTTCCTTCTCGATGGAAGACTAACCAATTTATCCTCACTGCATATTTCTCTGTGTTATCCACTGATAAAAAAGAACTATAATGACGTTATCTTAGCCAATTGATGAACGTAATGTATTCAAGCAGCTTGACTTTTAAATCTAAAATTTCATCCTGTCTGTGGTTATATCGTGTGTGGACGTTAAGGACGTTAAGGGACCCTACTGGTTAAATACTTTCTAATTTCTGCTTTTTTTGTTTCACAAACATGTCATAAAAAAGGATGAAATTGATGTGCATCCTAGAGTGATAATGTGGAACAATAAGAACCAAGGGTATCAACTAATACTGTTCTCTAGTACATGCTTACACCCTCTCCTAGTTTACTAGGCAGTCCGAAGACTGGAAAAAGAGGGAGGGTTGGGAGTGGGGTCAGCAGCTATATCCCTGAAAACCAACGCAATAATTACAGAATTTCCGAAGTGCTAAACGGATATACAAAACCAGCTTAACCTTAGCTAGAATCTAAGTGACGAAGTGATCCAGGCTGGTGAATGACTTAGGAAAGTCAGTCAGCCAATGTGTCTGCTTTCGGACCAATTAAAAGTAAGTATGCAGACGTGAAATGTTCACGCTCTTTTCCAAGCTGGAAAGGCTAATCAGACTGTTAAAGTAATCAGAAGACATGGCATAGAAATACTAGAAATCTATGAGAGCAGACGGAATAGATGTGGACTATCTAAATTGTTAAAAGGACAGTCAGAAATCTGTTCTGGTCTCCTAGACGATAACCGCGAGCACACTGAGGGAATGAGTGGATATCATGATGTCACCAACAGCATCCAAAGGTCTTATGCAGTCAGAACCAACCTCCTTCAGGATAATGACAGCAAGATTCAACAACTACGCAATCCCATGCACCTACAAACAACGCAGAAAAATGAAATAAGTTAGACTTCTACAGACACCTGCAAACAAAATTGGACAGGACACCAATTGGTGATATCGAATTTCTATTGGATTTTATGAATGCTAAACTGGAAGAAGACAATACATGAAGAGTACTCATCACAGGCTGAGAGGCTTTCGGAGAACTCTTCGCATACTTCTATGCCTTAAGTGAACTGGTAATTGGAGGTGGCATGTACAAGCACAAGGATATACACAAGGTGACATGGATTTTACCTGAAAACCGAAAACAAGACGGAATTCATCTCAATGTTGCTCAAGGAAGTGGAGACGAAGCCTGCTGGACAATAACCGAGAAGGGGAGCAGATGTAGGCTCAAACCATTATCTAGTTTAAAAGACCCTCAAGGTTAAGTTGAAAGTCTTCAAAGCAACTGGAAACAGACCACAGTTTGAGTCCAACACGTACAAAGTGAAGAACGAAAGTGAAAAGGACACCTTGACTGCAGCCATCTGAGCAAAGTTGGAGAAACTACATGGTGTCACTGAGGAAAGCTGCTTGGAAGAAAATCGGAACTCTGTGAAGGTGATGTTCAAGAAAATGTATACAGCCGTTTAAGGAAGAAAGAACAGGTGCGACATGGAATGATGCTCTACAGACACATGGAAGCGTATAGATTCCTTTATAGGTAAAATTTTATTTTGATAAAATCTCACAGTGTTGTACAGTAATATTTACCGATGACGTTTCGAGCACAGTTTATTGCTCTGATCAAGGTGATATGATTATGAGCAATAAATGAATCACTATTGTGGTAAAAAAAATAAGACAAATAAACAACACGAAGGATAGAAGTAGAACAACATGGAAGATCTGTGCAAATCACGATTTTCAGATAAGGTCTACACAATTCCCCTATGTGTGTATCAAAACTCTAACAAATATTCTGTTCACAAGTCCCCTGTTTTTTTTACCATTACAGCTAGAACATTTTATCAGATAACGAGGTCGTTATCGAGGAGAGGATCAGCACACATAAAGCCGATGAAAGAAATAAAGGGCAACCTAAAAGGGAGAAGCAGAGGAAACAATGTGCTTGTCATTCCAAGGCATAGAACTGCCAATGAATACCGATCTTTAAACGAAAACATAAGTCTTGAATACAATAAATCCCGTGAAAGTCTGGAAAGCAGGATGGAGTTCCTCCGGGAACACTGTAAAAAGATCTAAAGACCTCAACAAATATGGTGACGCTACTATGGCAATCACTTGCAAGCAAGAAAATGTATCTAATGATTAGAAGAAAAGCTATCTATTCAAACTACCGAAGAAGAATGGCATATCCCTCTGCAAGAACTGACACGAAATCATGCTGCTGTCCACGTCAAGCAAAACATCAAATCGTGTCATCCAGGATAGGCTTATGGGTGCTCTGTATACAAAATGCGGCCTACGGCAAGCTAGATTCAGGAAAAAGCAAATCTGATCAGACTACAGCTTTACGCATCATCACTGAATAAAGCATAGAATGGCGTTAAAGTTTCTATCTACACTTCATGGAGTTTGAAAAGTCCCTCAACCTAGGTCCAAGGCTTCCTGCCGATTGCCTCCAACCATCTAATATCATGAAATCAATGTGCACCGTGATGGTGAGCTACCTAGAATGGTGGCCACATTGTAAACCTGACTGATAGAATTCAGTCTGCACCAAACACCAAAGACTAGACACGTCACACTAGTAACTACTGTACAATCAAAGCGTTGGCCGTGAACTAATTCAGAAACTGCTTCCACACTAAGGAGTGCCGTGTCCCAAACCTTCATCAACCTCATTCCACTGCCTCATGATAATACCACATGTAAAGTGATTCACCACTGAAAAACTCTGTGATGCCTGCCTTTCAAGTGAAAACAGCAGTAGGACGAGTCTACCCACTCTCACCGAGGATATTCCTGATTATTCTGAACTTGATCATGCAACAGACCGTGAGCAGTGACAAGTCAGGAATGCGTTAGACAGATGAAAAGACTCTAACAGATATGGAATTAGGGCATGATTTACGTCTCGTCTCACACAAGCTGGAGCGTGCACAGTCCAGAACCGACAAGTTGGCAGAAGAGCCACGCAGTGGAGACAAGACTTCGAGTGGGCATAGAAGAGACAGAGGTGTTGAAAACACTCAGCTAACAACAACAACAACAAACACAAATCACAATGAGTGTGAGAAATCGAAGTGTTGTCACCTTTCCCGATTATCCAGGAGCCATGGTTTCAACTACAGTTGGTACTCATGAAGATATCAAGTGAAGGATCGGTAAGTCAAGACAAGAAAGCTTTAATCCGAAACCACTGCTCAGATGCACTGCACTCATCATAAGGGAAAGGATCTACATCTTCAATACTAATGTCGAGTCAGTTCTCCTACATGGATCAGGGGTTTGGAGTGTCACCAAAAGCATTTCGAACACAGTGTTCCGGACTTTCATCATCAGCCTCCTTCTCTGCATACTCATGATCAGATGGCCGTCCAGAATGGATAAGTAGCAAGGGACTCTGATCACGAGCCAACCAATAACCTGTTTTCCAACAAATATGCTGAAGAACAGTGAGGTGGATCAGACTCACACTGAATAGACCGTTGAATGAAATCATGTGAGAGACTAACGTGTGGAAGCCTAATGAGTGGTGGCGAGCTAGGTGTATGATGGTGAAATGGAGCTGTACTTTTGAAATCCTATGTTCCACTCGGAACCTAAATAAGTAATACATGCTTACATTCTTCAACAATTCAATCACAAGAATATCAATACCACAAGATGCTTAAGGCACAGTCCATGAGTTTAAGATGAGGGCTTGGTTCAGACTAAGCAAACCTTAAACACTGCATTGGTTTCCACTTTTATCCACGTTTTGAATCATATTCACTGAGCAGTACTAAAATTTAAGTGTGGTTATTACAATAAAAAAATAAGCGTAACTCTGCTGATTTATGTTATTTTTTAAAAATTAAAAATTACAAACGACTCGTTTGGTTAGTTCGAGAGAGATTAACAAACTACTCTTGATTACCTTCTCCACTCATTAAAAGGAGGCTGTGTCCAAATTATCCACTGATATTCATTTGAGTGTGTCACAAACAGCTGAACGTTTTTATGCTGAATTGAAACGACATTATTACACTACACCTACAAGTTACTTGGAACTACTTGAATTATATACCACTATGCTAAACAAGCGAATCAAGTGAGTATCTTTGCATTTTTTATTTAAACTTGTTCTAACAGTAGCGGCGACGAGTGATTTGGAAACTCTAAATCAGTAAAATATACCGCAACCACTTCGGTAAATGTAGATTAAAGATCACATTGGTTGATTTGCTCCTGTTATCTTACATCTGATGATTAACTTGCACACTTAATCCCCCCGCGGAAACGAATTAAATGACCTGCTTTCAGAGGAAAGCTATTTTAGTGGTCCTCTTTCGAAGCTGGAAAGCAAGATAGAGCGAACTGCCACATAACAGATGTGTCCTTCCTTTGATAGGCAGTTCAGCCTGTTTTTGCTTACCACTAGCATAATTAAGCTTTCTTAAGGTGAAGTCGCAAATAGGCTTTGTCTGAGACTTGAAATAGTCTTCACAACACTGAACAGAATTCAAGAAATAATTTCATTCTGTATTTAACTTGCTACAAAATACTTAGTAGGTTGTTAAGGCCAAATATTTCTGATTTGATCTGGTCACGCATTGACAAACCGAAAATAAAAATAAATTTAATCCAATCATGATTTCTCCAGAAACCCAAGTCAGCTGAATTCCAAACCAAATGAATCCAGATGAAATGATCAATTATTAATTGCACAGTAACTGATAAGATAGTAAAAAAAGTCACAAACTTATTAGTGGAGTCTAGTCTAATCAATCCATGGGACAGAATTCAGCTTTGAAATTACCTACTATTCATTTGTTATGCTGTCGTGGTGATATACTATGCCTTTCAGAATGTTTGCAATTTCGGATGCAAATAATCTCTTCGATATCGGACAATTTTCCCGTAAGGAAGCAATATCAGTTGGTGGTTTATTAAATAACTAATTAAATAAATGATAATGTTACCTAAACTAAAACTGGATACATTTTTTTCTCTTCATATGAATAATTTTTATTCTGAGTCAAGCTCAGTGGTTATTTAGTTGGCTTGGAAGAATCTTCAGGAGATCTCTGAAATCATCAGTGACCTATAACAGAAAGTGATGTTTATTTCGAGAGCCGATTCCTTATGATTTTGCGTCAAAACTTTAGAATTCGCCTTGTTGGTTTAGACTCACGAGTAATAGTTTAACTGTATTATTTGCATAGCTGGTACATTCGGTCCCTGGTGGAGATAAGTTAGCTGAAGAGGTGAACGTCATTAAGCGATAGTTGACAAATATGCGACATTTTTAGGTTTTCAGTTAACCAGTAAACTGTCTGAAATCTAATTTTTATTCTGTTTTTACCCAGAGAATTATCGGAAGGCAGGGATAAATTTCGTAATGGTTTGAATAAGATTTTGGAAACAAATGATTTAATCGCAAAAATGGAAGTGGAATTGACAGCAATGAGACCAACACTTGAAGTCAAGCAACGCGATACGGAAAAACTAATGATTAAGTTGAGTGAAGATCAAGAACAGGTAAATTAATTGCTACAGTTGCCACCGATATTTTTCGGATTCCTCTTAGCCTAATCTACTTGATCCCTATTTATTTTGCACCCTGGTACTACACCAAATTTAACTTTGATGTTGTTTATTTGATATCCGAACAAGAACTCGAATTTTTTAAGTGGGGTTTTCATAAGGCTAGGCTGGAGTTCCGCTATTGATATACATTAACTCAGTTTATAAAGAAGGGAGAAAATTCTTCTTGCTGAAGAATTAGCTCTGACTAATTTAGTGCCTAAGACTTCACAGCTGTATGTGGACCAAGTCAGACTAGTAGGAAAACACTGTGAAAGCTAGTGAGATTTCAAGTCTAGATTAGCGTGCATTCATCATATCTTTACCCCTAGACAGGTTCCGGAGTAAAAACATACTTACCGTCACCTGATATTCTCCAAGTATTGGCTTGGTACGAGGGAAAAGTCGCGTTTGTTTAGCGTATGCAGATTGTGTTGTCATTTTAGCTGAAGAAGCTGACACTTTAAAGAAAAATCTGTGCGTGTTTATCACGCATCTTGACCCTTTCAGATGCATGATGGCGCTTCATGACTGGTTACTACATTCTTCTAGGTTGAAGACAGATGATGAAATGGTTGGGCGTGTTGATCACTTCAGTTATTTGGAAATTTGCATCCTTGTTTATTTGCACACACTTCGTGGTGATACACTTTCAGTAACGATTAGGTTTGACTTGGAATGTTAGGTTGGGTTGTAAATCCAGTGGACGACGTTATTAAGCTACTTCAGTTTAGGCTTACCGAACCACCGCCCTCTTAAGCAAGCAATACTGGCGAGAATTGGATTAAGGCGGAAAAGAGTTAAAAACAGTCAGAACAAAAGATGGAATCAATCCATGAGGCCACTGATTATTGGCTTGTGTGATATAGAGAGAAGTTGACAATAAAGTAATGAGGTTTTCTACATTGTGTGGCTTGGAATAGTCAGGTCCTCCTTCAGTGGTTTCCATCACTATCTCTGCCTTTAAGAAGCAGTTTGATTCACAAGCTTGAGACATAGAATGACATAGCCTGACAGCCAATAAAGTGCTGGATAAGTGAGCATCACCATTTAGTTCTCCTTACTTTGCCTTTTTAAACTTTAACAGAGATTCTACAGAATTTCTATTTTTTTGTTTGTCATAGGTGTTCCTTGCTACATTTTGTGTCACCCTTTTTGTAGATACACTGATGATGACTTTTTAAGAATACATCGGGAGATAATTTCACTGACATAGAGTACTCAATTGAAATAGTCCTCCTTTGGTGAACATGTTAACTACATTCACTTCATTAGGATTAGTAAAAGTCTGATTACAATTCTCAGATCGTGGTGCAAAAAATGATCAGCTAAGAAACTTATTTTAAGAAGCAAAACATCAGATCATAGGAAATATTTTTTTAAAAGTTGCAGAGAAGAAAATTTTCTTTTCTACGAATTCATTAACTGGGCTGCACATTCGTTTATTTATAGAAAACGGGTGAGAAAGTTCCAGAACTGTTTCTGGCCCTAGGTCAAAGTGTAATAAACAGGAAGATGGGATAGAAACACTGTAGGATCATTATTATGTTGAAAATTGACTTTTTATTTTCAATCATGGATAGGCAGGAAGTTCGGATAAAAACCATAGTCGAAAAACATAAAAACAACGGAAATAGAGAGAAAGATTGGATAAGAAAGGTAACACAAAAAATCACCATTGATTTTTAGATGGCTTGGTGGTTGTACCTACTCGAGGAGTTTCAGTGATAATGTACTGGTAGCTAAAGAGATCTCAGTACGAGTACTCAATGCTCTTCACGTATTCGCACCATGAACACCACTGGAAAACATTAAGATTTGGTATAGAAAGCACACTTCACCACTAAGCAGTCCCCCATTATTAATGACAGTGAAAGTAGAAGATATGAAAATATTTCAGGTTACTGAATTTATCTGTTTTTTTTGCGAAGCGAAGAATTACAAAGCGAGTAATATTGATACCATTCTCAGAGCTTCTGTAAGAAAGGCAAGTCTAATCGATCAGTTTGTGAACTGAGAACGCATGGAATAGCTAAAAGTGATTTATTCGAATAAACCACGAAAAAATCCGTTTATCGTAATACCTAGATTTAACGGCAGATTCTTTTATTCACAAATGCAACATTTTAATACTCAGTCTTATACAAATAACACGTTTGTCTTTTGTTTCTTCACTCTTTCTCTTTAGGCCGATAGTGTTCGTAATCGTGTGAAAGAAGATGAAGCTTTGGCTAAACAGAAAGCTGCCGAAAATCAAATTATTGCTGATGATGCCCAACGTGACTTAGATGAGGCGGTTCCAGCACTTGAGGCAGCTAACAAAGCACTTGATTCTTTGGATAAAAATGACATATCAGAAATTCGCGTGTTTACTAAGCCTCCACAGTTGGTACAAACTGTTATGGAAGCAGTTTGTGTAATGCTTGGACAAAAGTGAGTGAGCTTTATAAACGTGTAAATGTTTTTAGGTGCTTGTTCAATGGCTAAGTCCGTTATCTATTGATAGAGACGAAAGTACCGGTATATACAAATCTTCAAAATATGCGTACTTATTTAATTTATAACACTGAGATCTAATTGATTTCTAAGTTATGTGTTGCATCTCAACACGACTCACCAGACATAGAACAATAACTTAGTGATGGCTTTAAACATTTTACTAGATGTTAATTTTCATTTAGGTTCGAGTAGTCGAGCGACATCCTGAAAACAGCTAATCATGATTCAGTCATATCAAGAGAAATCCTAAAATTGATGAGGAACTGATATTGTAAAAACTCCTATGAATATAAATAATAAGTTATGAAGATGGACTATTCAAGTTTATTGTTTTACCTTTTTCAGTTCTCTTCCTCAAAATATGAGTATTTGATCTATATCACTTCATCGTAATTATATTGTGTCGTATTCTGGATGACCACCTATAACCCAATAGAGTAACTTATATCTTCCCATCAGTGTTAAACACTAAACATTGTTCACAAGTACGAAGTATTCTTCAAGTGGAAATGTACTCCTCGCTTTCATAATTTACGAGCAGATAGGTCAGTGTATACTGTGGCATCAAACTGTGTCAGTTTGAATTCTTACAATACAGACAAACAGTTAAAAGAAACACAAAAAGTAATTCTGCACTAAAGAATTTCAGGAGAAGAAAGAATAACTAGACAATATGAATGTTTAAACTCTAGAAAATAATAAAACAACATCTGCACCATAGCAAACAATTTTTTACGATGTTAATAAGTTTTTGGCAACTCAAAGGGCTCAGTCAAGAAAAATTCATCTTCTGACATGGTTTCAACTGATATTCAATAACCTCATGAACCAGAAGCATGTTTTAATGTGACCGCAGATGGATTTCTTTTAAGAGAACCTGAACAATAATTTACAACGGTACCCTTAATTAAGTTAATCAAACGTAAAACAAAGGGAAGCGGCGAGTGGGATGTCCATAGGGGCAACATGGAGGAGATCGTGTGAAGAGGAGTTGAAACAGTATGGGCTAACATGGATGCAGATGAAAAGTATAGCAGAAGACAGAAGCAAGTGAAGACGTGCAGTTGAAGTCCTATGTTCCACTAGGAACCCAAGGGAATAATAATAATAAAACAAAGGAATGGTTCAAAATTAAATATGAGAATAATGAGTAGAAATTACTGACCTCAAATGTGGGCTGAGTAGCACTGAAAGCAATATCACTGTGCGTCAATAAGATGAAAATAGGACTGTGTCAGATATGATCCATGATTAACAATAGACAAAGCACGAATGTGCACTGCCAAGAAAAGATTACGAATAAAGGATGTTTAGGAGAAAGAACATGTACAACGGATACGGTAAAACAGTAGCTACATAACTACTACAAACTAAAGAGAATATTGATGTATTTAATGAGGGGAATTTCAATGGAAATGAATAATTACGGCTGCAGAATGACAACAAAGTAAACAAGTTGAAAACTCATACTACTTACGAGTAGTAAATAGCATAAATTTTAACGAAAAGGAAACATCAACAGAGGGCAGATAAAAGAATTAACAGCATAAATAACTCTTCTGTGACATAGTCGTGTTCTGGCTAACACTGACTGTCAAGAAAGGTGACTGCTCAGCATGCATAACACATGACTGCCTGATGAGACACTTAGTGTAAATACATTCACTTTCTCACCTCTTTACTATATACAGACGAATGTGTAGCCAAGTTGACCACTTTGCTTCTTCGCTAAAACCGTATTTTTAATTTTTGCCAACATTCGCTTATGTCAGTAGTTGTATGACAAAGTTGATTACTCATGGTAATACTGAATATTCCAAGGAGATTCAACTGCTTCATTTTAACTCAGATAATGGTGGGTTAAACGGTTGGATGATGCCAGACCAAATGCTTTGATTAGCTCACATTTCTAAAGCGTCTGTCGAAGGTTGTAGTTGAACACTATGTACAGATCGAGAAGTGTAGCAAATGTTACATTCCGGAGTGAATATCTGTGCGTCGGTGGCACAGTGATTAGGACTCTTGCTGACCATGCACATGATCCGAGGTTCGATCCCCTGCCGACGCACACCTGATATCTATGGTCGGCCTGCAAAATTTGGGCTATCGATATCCATGCTGAAAATTCCATACTTGTACCAAAAATACAGTGTGGAATCAAGCTGTAATCAAAAATTTAAAAAAATAAAATAAGTTGAGAACCCACTGATGTTATGTACTGGTCGAGAATTCAATAGTCCTGACGCAAGAAAGACGGAAATCAGAAGACCACTAGGTTTGCGATGATACTTCTATTTTCCAAAACACCAGGAGAATCAATGTCACACAGGTGTGTGAGAGCAAAATATTTGGATGTCCGAACAAGTGTGTGAGCGAATATTCAAAATGAACAAATCAATAGACAGTCTTAACATGATTGGCTAATTATAATGGAATATCGATCCATATATACATAGCAAATATACAGACTGTCAAACAAACACACACATTACATGGATATATATCACTGAAGAACAAAGTCTTTTTACGGTATAACCCAGGCAATTTCGGAAAACTCCCAATTTCTTTCGAGATTAATATTTAAAGTTTCGATCAATCAATAAATGATAATGGATTATCGAATTCAAAACATTTATTGGTGACCTTGGTATATTTCCTATCTTGTCAGGTTGGATGATTAACCATATAAATCGGTCTTTCACAACAATATTGGGTTGCCTTGAAATAACAAGTTTCTAACCTCGTTACTTGGATTTTGTGACATGCGAAAAGTTTTTAAGTTAAAAATTTAGTCAATAAGCTACCTAGTTGCCACCATAGTTAAAAGTTTCCGAATTATGTCCGTAGGGTCCTTTTGATCTTCTTCATCTGAATTGTGAATCAATCTTTGGTTGGATTCGTAGAATTGAAAAATGTATCTTGTTACTGCTGATTATCTGCAGGCTAATTTAACTACTCCAGAAGCGTTCTACCTGTTTTGGGACCTGAATAAAGTTTCAACTATAATGAAATTCTTTTCACTTTCCACTGTCACTATACTGTTTTTCTATATTTGATTGGTTATTGAGTACGGTCCGTTTCTAACTCTCTTATCATTTTTTCCGCCTATCACTTTTACTGTTTACTATAAAGATATTTAGATAGCTTATTTTCACACAGCTTTATCTCATCATTCCGTCCAGTACCTGTGGGAACCTATTCCACTCAGGCTGTAAATATTCCCTTGCCATTAGTTGTCTCTGAATACAGTTTACTTAACATGTTCATCACGTTTTCCCAACAAATATGCCGAAGGGCGTGAAGATGGACTGGGTAGCATCATACACCACGACCTGGAGTGGAACATGAATGAGAAACATCGAGTCGGGCATCCGAGGATGACGTGGAATATATCGTGTGAGGAGATAAATCTTATGGAAAGTCATGGGGCTAGATAAAAGCACTGCATAGAATAGAGTGAAATGGAGATGAGTTGCTGAAGTTTTATGTCTCACTAGAATAGTAATAATAGTAATTGGGAAGTTAGTACCGGAAATGTGCCGTCGTTTAATTAATGAGAAGGTGATCAATGTTGTCAATGCATCGACATGTGACCCGGTAGATGTCTATAAGATATTTCTCTGTTCAGCTTAGTCTCATTACTTATGAATTAATAACCACCCGATAATAAAATCGTATCTGAATGTTTTGTTTCTAACTGCAGAGCTCATAGCTTGTGGTCAGACTGATTCTTTATCTCACTCGAGCTGCAATCAATGGGTGCATAGACAAGAACTGTTAACACACGTCAATAGTCATTATCATCGTCATTTTGTGCTTCACGGTACAACCAATCTGGCAGTATGCAGATAAATACATATTGAGATCCTTTTCAAGTTAGTAGTTATTGGTAGAGACAGTTCACTTTTCCACATAATGAATACTGTACACCATTCGACACTCCTGAGGCTTTATATTAAGGCTGGGATTTTTATTCTCTTCTACTGTCTTTCTGCACCTGCAGTTACCAAAACATAGCTATCCAAATAATAATAATAATAAACAGTCAGTAACTGGTTTTGAAGAAGAACGCCTATTTTTCTAGTTGGTACTACAATTTATAAACACACATCATATATCCCTCGAGCAAATGAATGCTATTAAAATGAAACTAAAACTTATTCATCAAATGAACATTACCATTCAGTTGAGTTTTCTGGTTTAAATCCTCTTGTAGCAAAAAAGAATAATAACCACTGTCAACTTTAAATGTTTATTTCATACTTGTCGTTTTTTTTTTATTTAGGGGAGACTGGGCAACTGCGAAAGTTGTATTAGGGGATTCCAACTTTCTTAGGAAACTAGTTGAATTTCCAAAAGATGAAATTACTGATGGTCAGTTGAAAAGACTGAAAAAATACATTGACAATCCTGAATTTACACCAGAAGTCGTTGAGAAAACCAGCAAAGCATGTAAATCTATGTGCATGTGGGTTCGAGCTTTGGACTTATACGCTCATGTATTTCGTACTGTCGAGCCGAAAAGAAAACGGTAAGGCATCATTTGTGTGTATTTTTTTTATGCTGTAACTATTGTTCTTGAGTTTTGTTTTTACTTACTGCGGTATTCAGTTACATTCACACTAATCAACGTTCTTCATTTGTCAACCAGTATTTGACGCCAAATAGGATGCAAAGTGAACCTATTTCACTTGGTTCTGAAGTGTGTAGTGAACTATAGATCACTTGGTTGAGTCCTTATGAAACTTTTACAATCGCTTATGAAATCCATGAGTGTTCCCCTATAAGAATAATGATCAGCTATATAAGTTGACAATCTATAACAGAGTAAATGGTAGCGGACTGTAATCACTGTTAAGATATAAAAGCATTTTGAAAGAAAAACAAGAGAGGGGATAAGTAGTATTCAGTGACAACCTCTGAAAGTTTGTATAGAACCGAATTATTTTACCCATTTAATGTTTGGAGAAGATTTTTTAGATCATGTCAATGCTATGCTAGTACCATCAGCATCTCTGAGGTGCAAATTGTTTGCACTTTATTCAATAAACAGAATAAATTCTCATTTAAATATACCCCTAGTACCCCCTTTTTTACAATTCCGTGTAAACTCTTAAATGCAGTCTGAAGAAAGATTAGATGGGAGGCTGGGTAATTACTTCAGATTCTGAAAACTGGACGCTTCATTCAAACAGTGGAACCTAGAAATATGTTGTTTAATACTCGTTTGCAGTAGTTTACTGGTTTGGCGACTGCTGTATTCTACTTCTGTTTCAGATTAGAGGAGGCGAATGCAGAGTTAGACAATGTAATGCGTAAACTTCAGGAGAAACAAGCTGAACTAGCCAAAGTTGAAAAAAAAATTGCTTCCTTACAAGCAGAATATGATGAATCAGTTGCTGAAAAGAAGAAACTTGAACATCGTCTAGCGTTGACATCAGCTCGTTTGAAACGCGCTGGTAAACTGACAAGTGCTTTGGCTGATGAACAAGATAGATGGAAAATATCAATTGATGAGTATGAAGCGCAACTTGAAAATGTTATTGGTGATGTGTTTGTCGCTGCTGCATGTGTCGCCTATTATGGAGCTTTCACATCAGAGTATCGTGAACTCTTAGTGAACAAATGGGTCCTTCGGTGTCGGGAACTAGGTATACCAGTCAGTGATAATCCAACCTTATTCAGCGTTCTCGGTGATGCATTCGAAGTAAGACAGTGGAATACAGAAGGTTTACCACGTGATCAAGTCAGTACAGATAATGCCATACTAGTGACACGTTCGAGACGATGGCCACTGATGATCGATCCACAAGAACAAGCAAATCGTTGGATACGTGCTATGGAGGCAGAAAATAATTTAAAAGTAATCAAGTTAACAGATTCAAATCTGTTGAGAATACTGGAAAATTGTATACGAGTTGGGTTTCCAGTTCTTCTTGAAGATGTTGGAGAAACACTAGACCCTGCCTTAGAACCAATATTATTAAAGCAAGTTTTCATGTCTGGCGGTCGACTGCTTATTCGACTAGGTGATTCAGATATTGAATATGATAAGAATTTCAGATTTTATATCACTAGTAAATTAGCCAACCCTCATTATTTACCAGAAGTGTCAATTAAAGTAACGATTATCAATTTCACCGTCACACCAGCTGGTTTAGAGGATCAATTGCTCGGTGATGTGACAGGTATTGAACGACCTGAGCTAGAAGAACAACGCAGTCAGTTAATTGTGCGCATCAATACAGATAAAAATCAGTTGAAAGTGAGTTTTTCGAGTAAGCTATCAGTATTGTTATATGCATAGTGTGTTATTACTAGAAATTGCTAGACATTATCCCACTTAATCAGATAATATAGTTCAAAAGAAGCTATAATCTTTAAGAAAAAATGCAACTCTGTGTCATTCATTTCCACAAATAAAAATGCTTTTACACTGAACACTTAATGTTACAGGTAACTATATTTGTATTAACTGAAATCAAAATTTGTATTGCTAAAAATATCCAGTTAGAAAATAAACTGAAACAAAAGTGTATTAAACAACCCATTTACCAGTCTGATGCTTTTTATACACCGATGTGGTGAAATGTCCTTCAAGATTGTAGGTACTGCTTTCTAGCACTCTGATGAGCTTATTGTTTAGTCTTACTTTTGTACATTACAGCTGACTTTCAGTTATACCTTTTCGAAAATAAGTGTACTAGGGACTGATTATTAAGCTATTTTGAGATTTAATTAATTTAATTATACACCTTCTTATGAATTAACATCTGCTAGAAAACAATTTTAAAACTAGGAAGTACAGCATTTCAGCAGTATACACTGGCTGATGTTTGTTTGTGAAAAAATCTAACTTTAAGTATAAAATTGCCAGTTTTATTCATATTTTCAACCTTTTATATGGTTTATATTTCATAAGTAAATGTTTCGTTATCGATTTATGAACATAAGTAGAGATAATCAAAATTTTTACATAAATAAACTGTATTGAACTGAATCTGAGTGAAGGACAGTTCTTCTAATTTTCTCAGTGAATTTTGATATAAAAATAAAACTTGTGCCCTGTGGTAAAGTATAATATAATTCATCCACTGTTATACCATATTAGGAGGGGACATCCGAGACCCTACGTAGGATTCTGAATAAAACAGGAATTAGTTTGGCATTTAAACCTACAAACTCACTCAGGCTGGACAAGCTCTGTAGATTAAAGGACCCCGTTGGCCCAATTAGACAAAATAATATAATTTGCAAAATACTCTACAATGACTGTGAGGTAAACTACATAGGTCAAACTAGTAGGTCAGGGGTAGTCAGACTGTCGGAACATAAGAATTTAGCTAAGGTAAGAATGGTTGACCCCGAAAAGATAAGTAATTTAGAAAAAAGGTCAGCAATCGCACTGCACGCATTGACACACAACCACACAATAGGGTGGGATAGGGTTAAAATTCTAAAAAGTAATCTAAATAGGTGGAGAGAGAGGTTGATTACTGAATCCTTGTTCATCGAGTCTACACCCAACACATGCAATAGGAATGATTCAATGCAAATACCAGAAATATGGAACTATATAAATGAAGTTAGGAAGTCGTGTGACTACCTTGATATGATTATGAGTAATAAATCGTACTCGAAACGTCATCACTAAACTGTGAGAATGTATCAAAACAAATTTTACTCATAATTAGTGAATTTCCAATTGCGCTTCCGTGAAGATAACAAAATTATCAGTATCCAGACCATAGATTTTGCAAGTTTTCTGAAATAATTTAAACACTGACCCTAACTGAATCTTTTATTATGTACTGTCCAATCCTAGTAATTTTGGTGAAGAAGCTGAAGCTTACACAGCTAAACCTTCAGAAAAATAGTGTTTTGATTTTTAAAAAACACTCTGGGATTATATTTAACTAATTTGCTGTAATGGTATTGCTGTTTGACAGAATGGTAACTTTCACCTACAGTGGTAAACTGTCAAGCCCACATTGTGATAGCTTCATAAGAGCATATAATGATTGTGTGAACTACTAAAAACTACTGAACTTCTTTCACCTGTTGTACAGTAGTCATAGTTTACTTTTCCTCCACTTTGTAATAAAGTATTAATTGTTTCTTTCAATATTGTTAGAAAAGAGTTGGCATTTTCATATTAAGCTTGTGACTACTTTCATTAACAACATTTAGTAGCGTCAACTTGCATATGAACAAGATATTCTGAACAACTTAGACTACTACTTGCAAGTAGTATGAATTTGTTTTTGCATTTCCCATGAGCTCTCATTGTTCAATTGTTATGTTCAAATGAGAAAATCTTCGTCATCTATATTATTTTTTTAATACCTTAGGATACAGAAGACCGTATACTTAAATTGTTATTCGAATCTAAAGGGAATATTCTGGACAACGAAGATTTGATCAATACACTGAATGAGTCTAAAGCCAAGTCGAGTGAGATTTCTAAACGTTTAGCAGAAGCTACGTTAACAGAACAAAAAATTACAAATGCACGCTCTAAATACTTACCAGTTGCTTCAAGAGGATCTGTGATGTACTTCGTTATCACAACTATGTCTGAAATCGATCCTATGTATCAGTTTTCATTGAAATACTTTAAGAATGTAAGTCATTTGAAAAATGATTCTGACTATTTTCTGATTTACCCTTCTTAGTTTATTGTTCCATATGAATGACCTAAAACATTCAGAATTACTGTGAACGTGTAGTTTAGCCGAATGTAGCCATTATCTGCAGATGCTCTTCTGAATTTTAGGAGCATCAATTTTATTTGTATGAACAGCAGGAATGTCCAAACTGTTAATAGAACATCTTAGTTAGATTTTATGATTACATATACTTACACTGAGACGATACTTGCCTAACGACTACCTTTGAACAAAATTTACCTGTACACGAATGTATTTTATACAGGAAGTCAGAAAGACCACTTTTATTATCTCAAATGATATTTGGATATTTCCAATGATGAGAACCATCGGATTTATGAGAAACATTGAATGTATCATCGTACTTTTATATTTATCTCATTTTATCTTTTAAAATGTGCTGCTACCTCTGATTACGCTTCTTTCTTCTGCTATTTTCATAACTTTCTTCTTAAAATATTCAAATACGAGCGGTCACAATATGGATTATTAATTAGTAATGCTTAGTCCGCTGCTCGTCAGCCAGACAGGTCATTTGGGGTACGATCCCCGGCCAACGCACCCTTTACCCTACTAAACCGGTAATAAGAGTTGTAAATAGGGAAGGTTGGATATGAGGCTAGCAACTTCACCCCGTAGAAATAAATACCACTGCTACCGAAACTTCTTAGCTCTAGCTTGAAACCCCATATTCTACTGGGAACGTAAAGAAATAAAATAATGATTAGTATTGCTATGCCTACTGGTGGAAATATCTGAATCTTTGTTTGTTTAAAAAGAAATTCCAGTTTTGGTCTCAGTTTGAGCACTGTATCCTGATAAGTTTTGTTTTGTTTTTGGTAATATTTCGAGCGAAATTACTGCCTATGACCACACCAATTCAAAATATTTTCAAAACAAAAAACTTATCATTGTATGTAAACTATTGAAATATAATTATAAGGCAATTTTATACCCCTTTGGAGTAAGAAATCAAAATGTATGATGATACCCAAAAGACTCAAACGTTTACCAGCTTTCCTAAGTATGAAGGCGTAACAGCGGAAGGCAAGACATGGAAGCCAAAGTCTACTTTTCTTTGATCAAACCGCTGTTTATCCACATACATATAAATAGTTTATATTCATTAACCAATCACTGAGCGTGTGATTTCGGTGTACATTGGACGATATGAGAGAGAATGTTCAAATAGATATATCGTATTCTGTTGCTAATGCCGAATTGAACTATGTGAGAATAATATTCGGTTAGCACACATTGTCTGTATCACACCATCAAAAAAGGACTATCTATCGAATACTTTGTAATATTAACTGGACAGTGTCGCCGAACTAGTTACCTTTATGATTAAATTCACTGGCAAGTCGTATAAATCTGATAATTTAGGATTGTTTCATATGTAGTAGCTAGAAAGTTCTGATAATATAACTGTCAGTAAATGTTTAGCTCTTTTTGTCTACAGTTTGATGGTAATATTGCTAACTATACTTTCGTCTTTTTTTTCCTTAGTTATTCAACTCAACAATTCAAAACAGTCAACAAGCATCCAGTTTAGAAGAACGTATACAAATTCTTCTTGATTGCACTACTAAGTCCACATATAATAATGTTGCTCGTGGTTTATTTGAACGCGATAAGCTAGTCTTCTCGTTTATGCTATGTGTACAGATATTAAGGCAAATGGATCAAATCACTACACAAGAATGGAACTATTTCTTGTTGGGTACACCAGAAGATATCAAGGAATATAAACGGGCTGAACAACCAGCTGATACGCTTGATTGGTTGAATGCAAGACAATGGCGAAGAATAGTCGATCTGGCTCATCATTTCCCTAATCAGTTTTCATCACTGCCTGGAGATGTTAGAAAGTGTTCAATATCAGTGAATTTTAATCCATTGACAAGCTTTAAACAAAATGAACAACAGCAAAACAGCAATGATAATAATGATGAGGTACAAAACGATGCTGAAGAATCAGACGTGTATAACCTAACTCCTAAAAGTCATGAAAATCTTCCACGTGCTAATTATCAGGATAATTTAACAGGTTTCAGAAACTGTTATTAATATCAACTATACAAGAAGAGAGTGTTGTAAAAGCTGTTACAGAATTTGTTCGTGTTAGTTTAGGTGAAGAATTCATCGAAACACCACCGTGTGGTTTGCCTATTTTATACAAAGAAATGGATCGTTTCACACCACTTGTTTTTATTTTATCTACTGGTTCTGATCCAATGAATCAATTTCAGAAATTTGCCAAAGAATACGGTTATTCAGAACGTGTACACTCGGTTTCTCTAGGTCAAGGTCAAGGACCAAAAGCAGAGAAGTTAATTGAAGAAGCAAGTAAAACAGGAGATTGGGTATTTCTGCAGGTAGGCTAGTATTATTTATTATGAGATTTTAAATGACATGAAATATGAAATAATTTGTCATACAAAGATTGATGAATTATTTGTCTACTGATCAAATGAATATTAAATATAAATAGAAAGTAATAGTTTTTTGATTCTTTAGAATATAAGTCTATGCATTTAATGTAGGTGTTTTGTCATATTACCAATACCCATGTAAACTATGCATTGTTCATTTAACGTGCTGAGTTATCAGCGCGGTAAGAAATTCTGTATTTTGTTGAAGCCAAGCTGTATTCAGATCAGTCAACAGTAACTGTCACCTAATTCAACCCTAATGGTTAATACGTTTGTAGTAAAAATGATTTAATCCATCCCAGTAATTCCTTGTGGAAAATACAGTTGTACATTTGCCTCATTTCTTCATTATAGGCTTAGAATGAGCTTCATTGCCTACAGCATAAACGTAAGTTTCAAGTTAGGCACAGAGAAAGTATGTACTTCAAAGTGGCTTCCAAACCACACTGATTAGGTCAATAGGAACAAATGGTATGTATGATGAACAACTAGCTTTGTGACAAGACATGCCGTCTGAAGCATAATTAATCTGAAATTAACTATGATCGGGCATCATAAGCTGCATAAGCTTTTGAGTTACATTCCGAACTTCGGTCCCCTGAAATATTGAAAATTATTGGTCTCAATCTCAATTCCCAAAATCGGTTAGCTTTGAGCAGATAAGTTTACTTCTTACCAACGGGATTTCAAATATGTTCGTCTACTTTAATCTAAGTATTCTCTTTCCTATGATGCCATATTTACCGTTACCGTAAACCTTGAATTTAACATGATGAAATGTTGCTCTACGACCACTCAAATGATAATTACCTAGAACTCCCTAAGTGAATAAAAACTGAGAGGAACAGTGACTACCCAGAGATACTATATTGTTAATAGATGCTAAACATCTGTGTGATATAGGTAAATGTCTTCCACAAAGTAGCATTTTCCTTGAAAGTGAAGTTCTACGTCTGTAATTATTGAGAGGAATAGAATGAAAAGCAGTACTTGGATTGAATCAGAAAGTTGTGCCAAGAAATTGAACTCAAGAATTGATAGAGTCATTAAAAAGAATCAGATTAATACTTCCTTGTCTATATTTCCAAACACTAGATAATACAGTTCAAGAGTAATCACCTCTGCAAACATGAATGCATGCCTTATACTGACTAGTAGAATTTAGTCTACACCAAACGAAAGACTAAACACATTACACTAGTTACTATCTAGTGCTCAGTCAAAATGATATTATTATTCAAATATTTGTTTGTGGGGATTCGATTGATTGGTTACAGAATTTCATCATGAGCTGACATCGGTTAAGGAACAATTGGAAAACTTGGGAGTGCTGGACAGCTATTTCGCCCAAGTCTGGGACTCTTCATCAGTATGCGCCGACCACAAGGGTTTGAACTCAGGACCTTCTGGTTACAAGACTAGCTCGTAGACCATTAAGCCACTGGGACCCGATCCAATGGCCCATGAATTCTAACTTTTGCCAATTCGCGACGGCTAGCCAATGTCTTCGGCGAGTATTTGTCCTCACACCCGACCTGCTGCAGCCTACTGGTCACGATATTATTATTCCCTTAGGTTCCAAGTGGAAGAAGGGATTTTAACAGCACATCTCCAATTCACTCTTTTCTGTGTCATCCTTTTATCCGGTCCAACGATTGCACACACGCTTTCATCCTCTTCTCACATGATCGCCCCCATGTCACCATCATACACCTAGCTCGCCACCACTCATTAGGCTTCCACACGTTAGTCCCTCACATGATTTCATTCAACGGTCTGAATCACCTCACTGTTCTTCAGCATATTTGTTGGAAAACAGGTTATTGGTTGGCTCGTGATCAGAGTCCCTTGCTACTTATCCATTCTGGACGGCCATCTGATCATGAGTATGCAGAGAAGGAGGCTGATGATGAAAGTCCGGAACACTGTGCTCGAAATGCTTTTGGTGACACTCCAAACCCCTGATCCATGTAGGAGAACTGACTCGACATTAGTATTGAAGATGTAGATCCTTTCCCTTATGATGAGTGCAGTGCATCTGAACAGTGGTTTCGGATTAAAGCTTTCTTGTCTTGACTTACCGATCCTTCACTTGATATCTTCATGAGTACCAACTGTAGTTGAAACCATGGCTCCTGGATAATCGGGAAAGGTGACAACACTTCGATTTCTCACACTCATTGTGATTTGTGTTTGTTGTTGTTGTTGTTAGCTGAGTGTTTTCAACACCTCTGTCTCTTCTATGCCCACTCGAAGTCTTGTCTCCACTGCGTGGCTCTTCTGCCAACTTGTCGGTTCTGGACTGTGCACGCTCCAGCTTGTGTGAGACGAGACATCAATCATGCCTAATTCCATATCTATTAGAGTCTTTTCATCTGTCTAACGCATTCCTGACTTGTCACTGCTCACGGTCTGTTGCATGACCAAGTTCAGAATAATCAGGAATATCCTCGGTGAGAGTGGGTAGACTCGTCCTACTGCTGTTTTCACTTGAAAGGCAAGCATTACTGAGTTTTTCAGTGGTGAATCACTTTACATGTGGTATTGTCATATGGCAGTGGGATGAGGTTGATGAAGGTTTGGGGCACTGCACTCCTTAGTACTGAAGCAGTTTCCAAATTACTTTATGTTCATCACTGTCCAAGGCCTCATTAAATTCGATGTTCAGTCGTAGTGCTAATTTTATTCTACGACCACTGTTAATATTGTCCTCCTTCCCGTCTTCAATTTTATAACCTGTCAATGGACTTGCATACAAAGTAAAGTAATTGTCATGTAATACAGAGAATGTGTGCCAACGGAATATTACGCTCAAATACATACACAATTCAATTAACATCAGCAACAGAATACGACATATCCATTTGAACGTTCTGTTTGTGGCTAGAGTCAGAATGTTATTCCCACACTTCAATGCTGCATACAATGCATCTGTTTGACCATTCTATTTAGTGTTAGAGTCAGATTACGTTTCCCACTGTTATATACTGAATTAACAAAGGAATAGCATGTGCATTTGAACATCCTATTTCATATCGTACAATGTAAACTGAAATCACATGCAGAGGGATTGGTGACAGAATATAAACTGTATGTGTATAAACAGCGGTTTGATTAATGCAAGATATGCTTTGGCTTACATGTCTTGACTTCTATTGTTACACTAATATGAAGCGTTTGCTTATTTAATATAAACTGAAGTTATATACGACAGGCAAATTATAACAGTATAGAGTCTCTGCCTTCTGCTGTAGAAGGCAGTATTCCAGTATTTCCAAACTGCTGACTCTATGCCTGTTATGAGAATAGGTCAGATAGCTGATTTTTTTTACCTTCACGTTCCCAGTGGAACACAGGGCCTCAAGCTTGTGGCTGGAAGTTTCTGTAGCAGTGTTCATTTTTACAGGATGGGGTTGCTAGCCTCATGCCCAATCTTTCCTCTTTACTAGCATTATTTCTGGCTTAGCGAGTTTGGTCCACTAGGTTGGAATATCAGTTACGATTTCAATGACTCAGATAGCTGATATACTTCCACTAATTCTGTCACCATATATGATTGGAACTGATATTTTAAAAGTCTTTTTAAATGTTTTTATTTTCCATTTTCAAAGAACTGTCATCTGGCTGCATCATGGATGATCAGGTTGGAAGAGATAGTGAAACAGCGAGCTGAAAATCCTAGATCAACTCACGTTGACTACCGCTTATATTTAAGTTCAATGCCAGCTAAATCATTTCCAATCTTTGTATTGCAAAATTCTGTGAAGGTGACCAATGAACCGCCAAAAGGTTTAAGAGCGAATCTCAGCAGAGCGATCAATGATATCTCAAAGGGAGTATTTGAAACACATGGTACGATAAGGTTATTCTGCACCTTTTTTAAAAAATATTTTCTACAAAAAAAAAGAAAATCTCAATTTCCATAAATTGTGATTCTGAGGTTTAACTGGCGAATAATCAATTTTCATTGTGATTCAAGATTTTCAGGTAGACTGTGTTGTATTATGTAAGAATGGAGTGGTTTTAAGACAAAAATTATCACCAGTCGTTGCCGCTGCTTCTTGTTTGCTTGGTTTTTCTTCAGGTTTATCTCCAGTCACGGATTTATTCTCAGAAATAAAAAGAGCTTTTTGTCATAGGACAAGGTAATAAAGCAAAGAAACTCTTGTTGAGTAGTTCTAGAAATAATACCCTTGTTAGATTCTATAAATATCCTCAAATGATATAGCCAAGAGCGAAGAAAAATAAAAACTTAATAAGGCAACTTCAATATCATTTGTTTAAAACAATGTTAAGTAATAAAAAATGTAACTCAGACACACACGTACCCACCCAAAGAGAGATTTTATGTCGAACTATACGTGGAGTACCACATCTGAAAATTGTAAATCAGCTACAATTAATGGAAGTCCTAAGTTAATTAAATGAGATACGTATTTTTAAGGCGCTTTCAAATGGTGTTCAATTAAAGGAGTGATACTGATGTAACAACAGAAGACAAGGGCCAGGCAACAGATCGTTTTATTATGAAAATCAACACGTATTTATACATATTTCACATACATTATTAAAGCTTATGCAAGTAGAAAAGCGTAGTCATCTGATTGGTTGCAGGCAAACGCGGGCTTCTGATTGGTTGTTTCGGGATTCCTTGACAAATAGAGTTCTCTATCTGCGAATCATATTTTGCCACGTTAACTTTGCTGTGATTGGTTGTTGAATCAGCCTTGTTCATATTTTCTCACGGCCCATATTAGTGACCTAGACATTAACGTAGATTAGTGTCAACCAATCGGCTAGCAGCCTGCTCTCACCACACTGATCAAGTTTATTAGTAAAGCAATTAATTCTTTGATGTAGCGATTTGCGGCTAGTTTAATTCACTGATGATCCCTAGGGCGATGGTGATGCTGAAAGCTTAATCAATAAATCTTTATTAGACGATAAAAAGCTGTTTGAAACATATTTCTTAAGTCACCTTTGAAGTTACTTAGAATGCTTTAACCAAGAAGATTTGGCACATTGACAAACCTGAAGCATCTATGCAATAATATTTTAGTTTACTTCCTCATCTGCATCTATAATACAACCATGAAATACGTCTTAGCTGAAGCCCCTCTCAGAAAGCAGTTGTTTTCAACATGTAACAACAAACAAATACAGTTGACAATCAGATTGTCCATTCCACAGAAACGCAACACAGACTAAACAATTTTAGCCTGTACTCTAGAGCTTAGGAAGGAGAGAAATATACAGCCGACTGATGACATCTTATGAATTTGGGTGTTTCTATTTTACTCTCTCATAGTTCTGAACTCATAAATAATGCATGTTTCCTAACGTGTACTTGTGTACTTGTTGGTGAACATCAGTGCCAGCATTCCACCTGATCAGGAATGCCAGTTAGTCGCTTTTCACCTCCAAATGGTTTTTAATAAAGCGTCACTTCAGTTGTTATTAAGAAAATCTAACTTGCTTAAAACCACAGTCCTTTTAGTAGGATTTCACAAATATGACATGATCAAAGTAGAACATATTGATGCATTAATGACTGTATTTTTGTATCGCATTTGTATTCAAGAGGCTGTCATTTTAAAACGGGGAATACAGCTATGACTAGTATGTAATTCAGATTTCACTCCATCATAACTTTTCGTATAATTTTGTTTGTTTATTCGTTTCTAATGCAAAGTTCTGGGAGCTGACTGGCGTAAGTTAGTCTTTGGCATATGTTTCTTCCATTCAATTATACTGGAGAGGAAAAAGTTTGGTCCACTAGGTTGGAATATCAGTTACGATTTCAATGACTCAGATAGAGAATGCGCCATATTAAATTTAGAAATGTTTTGTCAAGAGTCCCACATACCATGGGATGCTTTAACCTATATTACAGCTGAGGTAATTAGTACATTATCTTTTATTTCTTTGCATTTTTCTTTTGTCTTAATTCAATTTCCTCTAAAGAACAGATATTTTCTGGGAATTATTATTCACTGTATATGTTCTTCACAGGAATTTAACCGAAATTATTTTGCTTTTAGATAATAAGCCAGACTTTCTCTAGTTCAACTCAAGTACAGAAAGACAAGTATATTTACATAATGAAGTTTTATCTCTTTTATTCATTATGATGACTGAAGTAAACCTTAAGCCTATCTGGCAGTTGATTGCCACAGCATAACTAACAGTGGCAGTTTTATAATATACATACGATATATATTCAATATGGTCATGCTTTCGGTTATTGTAATTTGTGTTTTACACTGTGTAGTCATTTAAGATTATCATATTATCAATAATAAAGAAATGCATACATTTGGTTCTCTTGATAAATTTTGATAAAGAAAGGGAAACGAAATTTGCAGTATAAAATGACATCAGTCTATTTCACAGGTTCTCATCAGCTACACACTATCTGAAATTACAATGTTTATATAGATGATAATAACATACTTTAATGTTTGAATGGTAGTAGAGAAGAGATACCATAAAATTGACACATCCAAAATGAAAGCATTACAATTTTTAGTTCAAGATTTCATCATCAATTTATACGCTTTTAAAGTTGAAAAGAGGGGGAGGGGTAAGACAGAAAACAGAAAAAACTGATTAACAGAACAGTGTTAGCTTGCAGGTTCACATAACAACTCAAAAAACAAAAGCGGTTACAGTTTATGAGATTTAGATTTGTTCAGTGAGTTGAGATCACTGAATTAGATGACTCATTAATGTAATCAAAATCAAAATTCAGTTACCAAGGGAGTGAGAGGTCAATCACACTCTCTTTCTGTATGCATAAGTCTGGTTCAAGTCGTTTGATTGCGATCGCTTTGGCAAATCGTAGTAAATTTGCTGTCCTTTGTCATTGTAATATTTTGAAGGACTTAGAAATCTCTACGAGATGTCCGGTATCGACAGTATGTCTGGTAATTACACTCTGAGAATATTTGCTTCCTTTCAGGCACAGGTTTCTTGGAACATGTTCAAAAAACCGGATAGAAGTCCTTCTTTCTGTCCTTCCAATGTACCTGCTCCCGCAAGTGAAAGTAAATTCATAAACGCAGTTGGAGGTGACATGAGCAGTGTATTCATTCAGTTTTGGGTGGCTTATAGAAGAACTGGTGCTATATAATGTGATGATAGTAGGTTGTTCCATTGATAGCGGAACTCAGTTGTGTCTGTTCAAGGTAGCCCATGAAGATATCAGCCAGAATAGGTCCCAGAGGCGAACCCATTGCGACCCCATCAATTTGTCGGTAAAGTTGATTGTTGAATTTGAATTGTATATCTCTTGTGCAAAGCAACAGTAGTCGCTTCATCTCTGTTTCCGGTAATGTTAGTAGATCCGTTTGATTACAAATGATATCAATTGTTTCCATCAGTGGTACGTTTATAAACAAGCAGGTCTTGTCGTACGATACCATGAGTTTGTCTGATATGTCAGTATTGTCAACTTCCTTGGAAAACTGATGGCTATCCTTCAGGCTATAAGTTGCAAATTTAATTCTAATTGGTTCTATAGAACCAGTTAACCATCGTGCTAGCTTGTGGCATGATGAGTCAATCGTTGACAAGATTGATCTTAAAGGTACATTTGCTTTATGGATTTTTGGTAGACAGTACATAGACGGCAGGCGTCCACCTTTTGACTTCAATTTATTGTATGTTTCTCTGTTGATTGGTTTCTTCATTAGAAGTTCTTCGAGACATTTATTTACTTTATTTTCAAATGACGTTGTGGCATCTTTTTTGTTGTCGACTTGGAATTTTTCTTTGTCGTTTAGAATTGTCACCATTTTATGTATATAATCAGCTCTGTTCATTATAACAACCCAGAGTCTTTATCAGGAACGATTTCATCGTTCTCATATAGTTTCTTCAGAGCTATTCTATGTTCTTCGGTCAGCATCTCCGGCTTCTCTATTGGTGATATGTGGTATTGGTTAGCAATATCAACAAGTTTAGACTTTAGCCATCCTCCTTTATCTTCGTCTACGGGTTTCAGGTAATAGAGTTGATGGTACAAGTGTTCAAATTGTGCTTCTGTGTCTATACGACTGATGTGCTTCTTAAGGAAGTGAAAGTTGAATCTTAGATATAAGGCTTCTTATTCGATTTTGCTTGGTTGTAATTTTGATAGATTACAAATGTAGAGTCCAGGTGCTTCTGGGAATTCTTCAGTTCTTCAATACCTCTCGCTCCTCTTTTCAACTTTAAAAGCGTATAAATTGATGATGAAATCTTAAACTAAAAATTGTAATGCTTTCATTTTGGACGCGTCAATTTTATGGTATCTCTTCTCTACTACCATTCAAACATTAAAGTATGTTATTATCATCTATATAAACATTGTAATTTCAGATAGTGTGTAGCTGATGAGAACCTGTGAAATAGACTGATGTCATTTTATACTGCAAATTTCGTTTTCCTTTTTTTATCGAAATAACGAACTAGCTAAAGAGCTGGATTGTCAAAAGGTCTGGTTTGCACGTCTGGAAAGCCTTTTTTCAAATAACATGTTTTATTTTCTTTGAGAAGATTAGTGAGGTTGGAGACAGATCTGAGTCATAAAAAGACTCTACCAAGTGATCTTTGTATTACTAATCTGTCCTCCTGCAGAATAATGATACCCAGCTGCTGACTGTTTTTAAAAGCACTTTGATAACCAGAGTTTTTATCCAGGTATTATGTGAGTAGTATGTGATAAGTAGCTATACACATTCATTATTATCATATCATTCCTAATCTCCAATGTAACCTTAGAAGATAGTTTTTGTTAAGGAAATCAAAATAAACCACATTCACGATACCCGACGTTTTAGTTAATTTTAGCACATTTTCAAATCATTATCTTTTGAGTAAATGGATAGGATATCCAGTGATTAAAAATGATACCTGGGTAGCAACTGCGTTGCTCAAAATTAGTACAAACCCCGTCGTTACCTGGACTTTCTTTCATCCTTATTTTCATGCCAAATACACATACCTGAATTTTAGTTTCTGTTGTTATTATACACAAATATAGCATCACTCCCAACAATGAGTTCCCTTTATAACTGAATTTATGCATGATTTGGTTTATTCATCCACCAATAGAAACCCTACTGTTCACCGTAAGGATATGAGCAACCAGGAAATAGTAAAATAGTGGAGAAGAAAGCCTTTGCAGTTCACATAAATTAACATGCCTAAGAAGGTCAATTTTTTAAATAGCCGTTAATACGGTTGCCTAAGTGAAACCCGGCTTATCCGTACCGCTGTATATTTGCTATAAAACTGTCAATAGTGAGATGGTTCAACTGGACTTTATTCAATCAACGATGAAACGACATTGTATAGCAACATAATTATAACTAGAGAACACTAGAAAGGGTGTGCAAGTGTCGAACCATTATTACTATCAGTAATAGTTACTGCCATAACGATAACCAGACAAACTGTAAAGTAACTTATTTAAAATTTCTTCTTACGTTAGATTACTTATGGTGGACGTGTAACAGATTTCTGGGATCAACGATGTTTACGTACAATTCTTCAGCGTTTCTTCCATCCATCTACACTGGAACAAGGTTATGTATATTCATCATCTGGTATTTATTATCCACCGGATAAAAAAACACTATCTGAATACGCAGAATATGTGTCTAGCCTTCCATTTAGTGCTGCTCCGGAGTTATTCGGAATGCATGAAAATGCTAATTTAGTCTATCAGGTAATTATTTCCGTATTAGAAATTCAGAGTTTTATAAATGTTTGAATGTGCAATACTATCTATTGCTTTAGAACGGCTTATTCATTGTTTGCAGAGTTGAAGTTCCGTCATTTTGATCTAGTGACTGATTTGTATGCGCATTTCTTCATTCGTGCCCTGAACAGTTAATTGTTAAAACCTCTTACCTCAGAGTTGACTTGGCTAGTAACCCTATCCTAATCATATGTTTTCAACTGATTTTCTGTTTATGAGTCTCTGATCATTAATCCCAGCATACCAATAATTTGATTTTAACTGCATGATGAAAATTTATTGGTCATTATCACACAACCATCTGAGCTCTGTTACTTAGTGTTTTTTCGTCTTGATATTTCTGTATGTGAGTGCCAAGTGTTATATCACTCGTGCTGAACATCTGAATGACGATCCGATAGAGGAAGATCTCGTGATCAGCGACTTTCCCCCTCCTAAATTTATCAAGTTTTAGAACCGTAACAGTATTCCACCTGATTTGTAGGATGTTTTAACTAAGTCGCGTTTCACTACAGACATTAGTTAATATAGGTAATCCCAAGAAGCCTGCTTGGCTTTTGTATATTTAGAAAAAACAACAGATTGAGTGAAGAAATATATTCCTTCTCAATTAGTCACTCATCATCGGCTCTACACTAATATGTATTTTTTTACATAAAAATATTTTATCAATCAAGTGGTCATTTTAGTTAATCAGTTTCAAGGCGGAGGTGAAATTAAGAGGTTAAAGGTCATCAAAACAATTAACTAATAGATGTTAGTAAGAAGATGTCCAAGTTTTAAAGTTAGTTACGACATTCAACAAGTTATTACATAATCGACAAATTTGTAAAATAACAATAATGATTAGCATGCGACTCGTACCAGAAAAATGTAAGGCGATAGTACAGGACTGAAGTCATCTGTGGGTGTAGGCATAATATCTGGCTATCGGTCGAAGGACTTGTGCACTGCTCAGTAGTCAACTCCCTCCTTGTGAGATATACCTATTTGAAACAGCGAATATTTGAAGAGACTAGTTGTCTCTGACCACATTTGTTTGCCTTGCATCTCTCGTTTTAAGTGGTATGTTGTAATCAGAAATATTGAGGTTGGTTGTAGAGTGAGTGTTGGGGAAGGACAGAAAGACAGACGTTCAATGAAATTCCAAAGCTGCATGTATTGAGATGACTGAAACATGTGTTATGCATGCCAATGCCATCGCCTTCCTCGTCGTGGAATGTTACTGGACATAGGATTAGGTTGGTAAAGAGTTGGAAGTAATCTAACCAAAACACAGAATTAATCCAAGAAGTCTCTGACTGATGGTTTGAGTCATATCAGCAGGCACAGACAGGCTGTCTGGTTGGGGTTCTGAAGACTCTGAGAATTATAAATCTAGTTAGGCAGTCAATCAACTAACTTATCTGTGTAACGTTTCAATGCTTATACCCTATCTCACCCTATTGTATTACCATAAACAAGCGAATGTATAGCAACTGCTGCTTAGGAGCAAAAGGTAATGACCTAGTAAGTTCGAATCATTTATTCCTATGCTATAAAGATGTATGCGTGTCACTGAAATCTATGTTTGAGCTTAAAAGGATTTACTGATTACCTGTCTTTAGCATGGGTTTACCTCATAGATTTTCACATACCACTCTGTCTCTAACTATGCAAGGAAGTATTTTTATCTTTCAATCCATCAACAATTACAAAGCTATCCAGATATAAAGGCGTTTGATGTTTTCTAACAAATAAAGGCATTTTACGCTGTCTCTGTTAATCACTCACCAAGTTTACAACAGAATCATTAATTAATGTTACAATGTCATGAAATGACAACCTTACTGTTGGTTACACACAAAATTTCAAAAAGCTAAATCAGATATTGCAGTGTAAAACATTTCATTCACAAAACATGTAGCTAACATGGAATCAAAAGATTTCTGAAGGTTAATAACTAATCTAAGAGCAACTACATTCGACTTGAATTTTGTGCTCACTGGTTTCCAACAACATAGCCTTTCTTTAAATCTCAAAACTCTGTATACGATTCTGTTTCATATCATAAGGAGATAAAATTATAGACCCCATCACTAATCTAAATACAGGAGGACTACTTGTCGGTTTCCTTTAATTCTCTAACTTCTTTACTTAGCTAATTAGCCAGATTGCAAGTGTGAATGGTATAGTACTATTTATTTAACAAATGTAATAATTTTAGAAATTGTTTTTCATGAATAACCTTTTGAATGTTAATTTTACAATTTGAATTTCAAAAGCTTCAAGAGACTAGTAAACTGATATCTGTCATACTCAATGTTCAACCGCGTACAAGTACATCAGCTACGGGTAAAACAAGTGATGAATTAGTTTATGAGAATGCAGATTCAATATTAAAAAAACTTCCAGAAAAAATTAATATTGAAGAAGCTCGTTCAGATTTATTTGAAACTGATGATAAAGGCCGAGTTGATTCACTGACTACTGTACTCACTCAAGAAATTGATCGATTCAATAAATTACTAAGCATTATCAGGGTATGTTGTAATGAATATTACTCTTTTTTAGTGTCATTTCATTCGTTATTATTTTATGTTGCTAATTATCAGTGAAATTATTCAAAACATCATCATTTGTGCTACTGACTACTGATTGACCTGAAAGAATCAAATGGTCATTGCTTGGTTAGTAAGTAACTCTTTGTATGCTTTTCACCCAAGTGATAAATTTCATTCTAACTGAGTCGTCAGATTTGCATGTCTTCATAATTCAACGAACTAACTGGAATGATTTACACCTGAGGTTAAACTATAAAATAAAATTCACTTGCCAATGACAAGCTTACAGTTATCTACCACCACTACCCAAATGTTTTACATCAATATGAAGGTCTTGATGAGAGTTCATACTACCTTCTGGATAGAAATCTGATGCAAGTGGGATATTTTTGCAACTATCCAAAGTCCCAATTATGTCATCTTTCTAAAGAGTTCGGCATTCCCAAATAGTCTCCATCCGACTTGATGGATTAAAAAGGCAGATAGATGAAAGAAGTACACCACATCAAAATGCAACTTGTCAAGGAACACTTATCAACGCCGCAAGACTAGGCAGAAAAACACTATCTACAATCGAGTTGCTAATATATCTTGCTAACATTTTCACCCTAAGCTCTATATGGTACAAGTTGTATTCTTCACAAGAAAATAAGTTCATTTGATATTGCTGCAATTATTCATAACAAACACTAACATTTAAATAACTCACTAGTATTTCAATAACTTTGCTATTTTACTTTTATTTTCCACAACAGAATTCATTAAAACAACTTAGAAAAGCTATTAAAGGTTTTGTTGTAATGTCAGAAGACTTAGAAGGCATTTATACAGCATTTCTACAAAATTCAATACCAGAAATGTGGTCGTCCAAAGCTTATCCAAGTTTAAAACCACTGGGAAGTTGGGTTAAAGATTTAGTATTACGCTGTGATTTTATTCATACTTGGATGGTCAGAGGAAAACCAATTTCATTTTGGATATCTGGGTTCTTCTTTCCTCAGGGTAAATACAGTTTCTTTATATACCTACAGTTGTAAACATTGAAATATTTTATCATATAAGGCTTGTTTGAAAACAGTCATTCATTGCCATATAGAATGTCTCTTTACTTATTTTTGATAGTTGTTATTTATTGGTTTACACATCTTTTGATAGAGTACACCTTTAGGGTAATTCATAAAATTCACAAAAACGCACAAACTAGAGTTGATTCTAATTTCCGAAGGATTTTTCCCCCATAATACCTAATGGTTCAATCGACAGAATAGAATAAAAGTGTTAATTGACCTACCGCTACGATATTTGACAGTTAGGTCCATTACTAAGTGTGTGGTGAGAGCAGGCTGCTAGCCGATTGGTTGACACTAATCTACGTTAATATGGGCCGTGAGAAAATATGAACAAGGCTGATTCAACAACCAATCACAGCAAAGTTAACGTGGCAAAATATGATTCGCAGATAGAGAACTCTATTTGTCAAGGAATCCCGAAACAACCAATCAGAAGCCTGCGTTTGCCTGCCCCAACTTCTGATAACAACCAATCAGATGACTGCGCTTTTCTATATAATAATGTATGTGAAATATGTATAAATACGTGTTGATTTTCATAATAAAACGATCTGTTGCCTGGCCCTTGTCTTCTGTTGTTACATTTGGTGTCGCTGCCTCCAGAAAATGAAGATCCCGTGGCCAGCTGCGTTTGAAGAAGGAGACATACGGAGCTTCTTACGTGACTTCGAGGCTGTTGCTGAGCTGGTGGGTGTCAAGGAGCAGGCGGCGAAGGCAGTTGTCCTGGGGACGCTGTTGAGAGGCCGAGCGAAGGCTGCATATGACAGCGTAGACAGGTCAAATGGCACAGCGTCTTGGAAGAAATTGGTTGAACGACTAGTGTCCGAGTTTGACAGCGAAACAGACAGACAGCTAGCAATGCAGCAGTTCCGGTCAATGAAGCTTGGACCTGATGGAGACCCGCTAGTGTTGGCGGTGAAACTGACTAATCTACTTCGACGCGCGCTTCCCACTTTAGATGAAGAATCAGAAGCGCAGTTACTGTCTTCCCAATTCATCGAGAGTGTCCCAGACCACATTTCTCAGCGATTAAAACTGGTTAACGCAACGCAGCCGATGGATATTAGTGAGCTGGCGAAGGTGACCAGACAGCTGCTGAGCACAACGGTAGCCGCTATAGACCAACCAAAACCAAACGAATATGAGCAAAAAATTGAAGCATTGCAGCGGGAAGTGGCGGCGTTAAAGTTGGCTGATAGAAAAGACCGGTGTTTTGAATGCGGTAAGCCGGGACACTGGAGAAGATACTGCCCAGAAAGGCGGAAAAGAAAAAATTTCAGACGGTATAATGCTTGTTCTTTCTTTCGTATGAACCTAGATTTAGTGGGGGCTATTGAGAAAGGCGCTCTGTATTCGAAGTTGCGAGTGAATGATCGAGAAGTAGTATGTTTGATAGATACAGGGGCGGCCGTGTCGTTAATAGATAAGAATTTATGTAAGAGTGTTAGTCCGTGTTCATTGACAGTACAAACAGTAGGCGGGTATGTGTTGCGTATAACGGGTAGATCGAACTGTACGGTCGTTGTTGGTGGCTGCGAGGTGACGTTTCCTTTCATTGTTGTACCCGAACTACAGCGAACGATATTAGGAGCGGATTTTCTGCGTGAGATTGGTGCAATAATCGACACGCAAGCGAACGTGGTGGTCACGAAATACGGGCATATCAACATGTATGAGACCAGCGAGATAGCAGCGATTAAGCTGTCGGCGGTACACAATGTGACAGAGTTAATTAATAAATACGATCATCTGTTCACTGGAGATGGGGACCCATACGGTTATTGCGATAAGGTGAATCATGAAATTCCGTTAAGTGATCCGAAAGTAAGGTCATTTCCAACGCGAAGAGTTCCATGTCATCTGGAAGGCGAAGTGGAGCGACAAGTGCAAGAGATGTTAAAAGATGATATTATTGAGGAAGCTGATAGCCCGTACAACTCTCCAGTGCTGTTAGTAAAAAAAGCGAATGGGAAGTATAGATTCTGTGTTGATTTTCGACAGTTAAACAGTATGACAGAGTTAAGACCGTGTGCCATGCCAACAGTGGTAGAAACTTTAGATCGCCTACAAGGTGCGAATGTGTTTTCGGTTCTCGATCTTCGCTCAGGATACTGGCAGATACCGATAAAACAAGGTGATAGAGATAAGACGGCTTTCATCGTGGGTCAGACACAATATCGATTTAAACGCATGCCGTTTGGACTAGCAGGTGCACCGTTTACGTTCAGACGACTGATGAAGCTATTACTTAGGAACTTGAAAAACGTGGAGGTTTATGGTGATGATCTCGTCATATACAGTCAAAACGAAAACGATCACGTCAACCATGTAGAAGCCGTGCTGCGACGCATCGAAGAGTTTGGACTACGCGTCAACAAAACCAAGTCCCAGATAGCCAAAAAGAATGTTACTCTGTTGGGACATAAAGTGGGAAATGGTGAGATTAAACCACTGCCGGAGAAAATTTTGACGATTAAAACGATTCCAGCCCCGAATTCAAAGAGAAAACTGAGACAATTCTTGGGTAGAGCAGCGTTTTATAGTCGCTTCGTGAAGAACTTCAATGAGATAGCAGCCCCTCTATACAGGCTACTAGGTGAGCCAAAGTTTGTTTGGTCGGAAGAATCGCAGAGGACATTCGACAGAATTAAACAGCTGCTCGACCACCAACAAATGACGCTAAAACTACCTGTGCCAGGAAGACAGTTCACAGTGTGCACAGATGCCAGTGACTACGCTATAGGTGCGGTCCTAAGACAGGACGAGGGAATCGTTGAGTATGCCAGTAGGGTTTTGACACTCACAGAGAGAAAGTATTCAACGATAGAGAAAGAATGTTTAGCAATGGTATGGGCAGTCGACAAATGGAGACCTTATTTACTCGGCCGGCGGTTCCACATCGAAACTGATCATAAGCCGCTACAATTTTTGAAGACAGCGAGAGACCCACGGGGGAAGTTGTCACGGTGGATGTTGCGTCTTCAGGAGTACGATTTTACGATCTCACACGTTCCTGGAAGTGAAAATGTCTTGGCAGATTTGTTATCGAGACCAGAAGATGAGTCTGAGTTGCCCGAGGTCGCTTACGGAGTGCATGCAGTAGAACAAGACCCACTAAGACTTGCACGTAGGCAGAGGTTGGACGATACGCTGAATACAGTAATACAGGTGATCACCAACGGAATAGAAGTGGATCAAACTACGGCGAGTAAGGAGCTAACCACACTACTCAGACAGAGGGATCGACTCAGAGTGAATGCCTACGGGACTCTGACCTGGCGAGAGAACGACGGAAGCTGGCTGGCTGTCATACCTCAATCGTCGCGCCACGACATGATAGAAGAATGTCACCAGCTAGCGCATACAGGCGTGGCCAGAACGACCGACCTCCTAAGACAAAGTATGTACTGGCCAGGTATGAGAGAAGACGTAGCAAGATACGTACTTGGATGTCCACGGTGCCAGCTGATGAAAGGTGACCGGTGTATACGACCACCACTTCAGTCGATTCCAGTTACCGCGATAGGTGACTTGTGGTCCGTAGATGTCATGGGTCCATTTCCTCAGACATCCAATGGTAATCAGTACCTCTTGGTGATGACGGAACACGCGACACGATGGGTAGACGCCGTAGCAATCCCAGACCAACGTGCAAGAACCGTGACAGATGCAGTAGTTAGACACATTGTTGCAGACCACGGCGTACCGAAGACAATACTGACAGACCAAGGTCCCTGTTTCGAGAGTGAAGAGTTTACTTCCCGTTTGCAACAGCTGGGCATCAAGAGGATCAGAACGACCCCATACCATCCACAAACGAATGGCCTAACGGAGAGAAACAACCGTACACTGAAGGAGTGGCTGGCCTCGAAGGGCGGGAACTGGGAAACGGAGCTTCCACTGATTTTACTAACACATCGTGCTACCACTCAGGAAACAACGAAGAAGTCACCCTTCCAACTGATGTATGGTAGAAAACCACGATTACCGGTACACAATGAGACCTGGCCCATGCACCAAAAGTGGAGTACGACGAAATTAAAAGCAGAGAGGAAAGAGGCAGTCAAGAATGTAATGAAGAAGCAGCGCAGTGATGTCGCGAAGTCTCAGATGAAAGAAAGGACGCAGTGCATTACCTTTGCAGTCGGGGACCAAGTGAAGTGTAGAGACAAGAGATATACAGTTGGAGGCGGGCTAGGTTCACGAAAACTCCTTCCAAAGTGGGAAGGACCATACACAATCACAAAAAGACGGGGTCAAGTATATACCATCCGAAGAGGTGATAAACAGAAACGAGTTAACGCCAGTCAGCTCCAAAGATGGGTACAGTGGGACAAGCCGGTCAGTAACAATCCTCAACTAGAGGATGTAGCACCCAGAAGGTCGGAACGTCTGCGCACGAAGCTATTTGACGGGGGGACGAGTGTGGTGAGAGCAGGCTGCTAGCCGATTGGTTGACACTAATCTACGTTAATATGGGCCGTGAGAAAATATGAACAAGGCTGATTCAACAACCAATCACAGCAAAGTTAACGTGGCAAAATATGATTCGCAGATAGAGAACTCTATTTGTCAAGGAATCCCGAAACAACCAATCAGAAGCCTGCGTTTGTCTGCCTAACTTCTGATAAACAACCAATCAGATGACTGCGCTTGTCTATAATAATGTATGTGAAATATGTATAAATACGTGTTGATTTTCATAATAAAACGATCTGTTGCCTGGCCCTTGTCTTCTGTTGTTACAAGTGATTGAAAATTGATCGAGATAGAAAGTGTTGGTTTGCATTGGATCTAGTTGATCATCATGTCTATGAAGTGCTCACATCAATTAGAGAACTATCAGAAATTCAAAGATTACTGGATAGAGGTTTTTCCCCCGTTGGAGACTATTCAGCAGTACGCGTCCACCAGAGGTTGAAATTAGGGCATCCCGGTTACAAGCAGAGGTAGCAGACCATTCAGCCAGTAGGATACAAATGGTCTACGAACTCTCCTTATAACCGAGAAAAGAAAAAGGAAATTTTGATTATTTCAAGATTCAAGGAAATGCGCTTATCATGAAACGCATTTTGGAGGATTTTTAGAGTAACTCATATTTGACCTCCTGTAGATAACAGACAGTGCAAAAAATTTGATCGCACTATTGGATGGGATTCGTTATATAAACAAATGAATAAATGAATGACTTACATTTGTGATTTAAACGCCCGAATTCAAAATCTTCCATGAATTTGTTACATACCATTCCATTTTGAAATTTCTTAAAATCTTCAATATGTCTCCTCAAATTCCAAGAAGCTGATTTTCTTCTTCTTAATATCCATACAACATACTTCTATTTATCATTATTAATAATAGTTATATCGTAGAAAACAAGAATGATGAAAACAGGTAGTGTTTATTTAAACCAATTACAATGAACATTAACACAATACTAAACATTCATCAGTGAACAAAGAATATTCTTTTCGATAAGTTGCTCTTTACTTTCTACAGTTATTAATTAAGGAATAATTGCTATTTGACAATATTAATGTTGTTTTTATGATATCAGATTACTAATATCACAAAAGTCCTTTTTCTTTGCTTATTTTTGATGCTGACATTCATTCACATCAAGTTATTAGGCAAATAGAATGAAATTCAATCCGAACATTTATCACCGTCATTCTTTAATATATGTGTGTGTAGTCATTCATAATAATTTACTCCCGATAGGTAGTTACCTGGATCCTAGTGGGAAGTCGTGACCGATGGAGTACAGCAGGTCGGGGGCGAGGACAAATACTCGTCGATAACATTCTCTACTAGTCGCACAATATGACGAATTGACACAAGTTGGAATTCATGGGCCATTGGATCAGCTCCCAGCGGCTTAATGGTCTACGAGCTCGCCTTGTAACCAGAAGGTCCTGGGTTCAAACACTGGTTATAGGTGCGTACTGATTAAGAGTCCTAGACTAGGACGAAACAGCCGTAAAGTACTCGCAAGTTTTCCAATGGTTCTTTAACCGATATCGGTATATGATGAAATCCTGTAACCAATCAATCAAATCCCTGCAAACCAACACCTAAACTTCGTTAACCATTTACTGCTTATTAGTGGGCTGATGGATATAGGGTTAGACTCAGGGAGGTTTGTAAACCCTGATTACAAACTTATAGTTTGAGCTGTATTCTTCTAGTCACAGTTTACTGACACAGATCTCCCTAGTGTAAAACTCGTATATTTTTTATCGTAATGGTTTGGCGTAACACTGAACAATAAAGAGGTGATTAAATATAACTAAAGTGGACATAAAATTGTTGAAACTGAAGAGGAGGTTTTCGTAAAAAATACTCTTTGTCCAGGAATTAATGTTTTGAAATTTAAAGTGGTCATTTTGAGGAAGGTCCATATTAAACTTTGAATTCAGTACATAGTTTGCATCCCACATTCCTGATACTTTGTTCTTTATTTTGCATCACCTCTTCACTTCTTTTCGAAATTATGGTCCTCTGTCACTTGTTTCGCCTAATAAGATTTTACTAGTTAAATGGAAACTTTCATTTTTTTTTCCTGAGGACTCCACAACATGTACTACTTAAATTTATACTTCTAAGTAGCACATATCTCAATATATTTAGTTAAATGATTGGTGCTGGAATTTTCCTGGATAAAATATTTGTTTGACTGCATATGTTATTCTTTTTTTCATTTTTCATTGTGTTCTACCAAATCTTATCCTGTACAGAAAAGCCTGCAAGGAAATAATGTTAAGATTTTTCATGGAATTTCACTTAACTAATCCAACATGATAAGTTATCGAAACGTATCCCTAAAACAATGTGAAATACCCACAGTGTATACTAAGTGAACTAGCTAAATACAGTTTATGCATTTATTCCCCTTGATGAATTTGAATAAAGCAAGAACAACAGTAATTTGTGCAGAATAATATGGTACCATCATTTATTTCGTTGGCTTCTCATCATCTGCTTACAGCCTAAATAAATTATAAGGTTTAAGCTTTATTCAAATACAGTTTAAATAGTGAGCTGACGTCAGTTATAGAAACACTCTTCAGTAGTACGCACACACTAGGGATCTAAACCAGCCCCTTCGACTTACATAGTACTAATAGAATCCCTTCAAATGAACACTTGAAAACTAATCTTATTCCCACTAGTGACCAGCTACAGGATGAAACTGCTTGGAATCCAGTGAAACGTCGTGACTAGTGAAGTTCATCTAGTCGGGTGTGAGGACAGATACTTGCCGATGTCAGAAGCTCTGTGTATCATGAATTGGAAGAATTACGAATTGATGGGCGATTAGGTTCCATCCTAGTGGCTGAATAACCAACGGGTTCGCCATGTAACCTGAAGGTGCTGGGTCCGATCCCTTGTGGGTACGTACTGCCGAAGAAACACTTGTCCAATACTCCATAGTTTCCAGTGGTCTTCCAAGTGATATCAACTGGTTGTCTGACTTAAACCCTATCAACCAATACAGAAAAATTTGAACACTGTGAGGCAAGCAATGTGACTCATGAGTCGGCTACACTTTGCTCACCCGCATTTTGCAACAACACTGACAAAGAAGACCAGTGACTGAACGACTGCAGAAAGTGGAATTAACTGTTGCTGTTTTCTCTTTTCTAGGTTTTCTAACTGGAATCTTACAGAATTATGCGAGAAAGTATGATTATCCGATAGATCACTTAACTTTTAATTTTAATGTCCTACCACACTATCGTTATCAAGAAGAAATATCTCTTGCAACATCTAGACTACGTTTAAGCGAAGTATTGGAATGTGATAAAAGTCTACGTGAACCTGAGGATGGTGTACTTGTGCATGGATTATATATGGATGGTTTCAGGTGAATAAATTATTTTTTTTTATAAGTAAGGTTATATGTTATATGTCATAGATTGCAAATATGAAAAATTCAATCACCTAAAGTAAAGAATTTACAACCTAAGTTAGTTACCATTGGGAGGCCTATTCCAGCTTTACAAAAGTAAATGGTGAACGGGATATTTTAGTTTTTATTTATGTGGTGGTAGGTATTTGCACGTTATAAAGGTTTTGCTTCTAGCTACGGTTGACTGTCAATTAAGAGTTTTGAGAATCAATCTTTTTTCATTTTCAACTCCCTTTCACCACAGATTCATCACACGCGTCTCCAGATTTGACCAATCATATATTTTACACCTTTCCATTGTATGCTTGTTAAATCAGAAAAGAAAAGAAATCGTAGTCAGGATATAATTTATAGAGAAACAAACTTGCTGTGCCATCATGACAGTCTAGTTGAATGGAGAGAATGCATTACGATTTGAATTTCCTCAGGTAGAGTTGGTCTTATGTGATTTTGTATTACATCCTTAGAGGGATGCTGTGATCACATCAGATATTACGTTTGACTGTTTTAAAGGTGTTTTATCAACTTTTTTATAAGTCTGGAATATCTATCATGGTATTTGCTATACTACGCACAAAAATACCACATGATAGCTCTAATCCTCGTCCCAAAATAGACCATAATTGGTAGACGGTTTTCTGTGGTTATTTGAACAAATATGTCACTATGTTTAGAATATGTATTCGATAATAAGTTTACGTGCTGTTTTCTGAATCTTCCTGTACATTATCTTCCAACAACTATAAAGAGACATTTTGATATAAAGATAAAACTTGAGCACTGTGGTAGAGTATACCTGCATTGTGAACATTCTGAATGTAGTTTTCTTCACAAAATGACAAATGAAAACTATCTGTTTCTGTCTCCTTCATCTTGGGAAAATTTACTCTACACCTTTTATTCAAAGACTGAATTTGAGTACCTCATTACAGAGTCCAAAGGCCATTACTTTTAAAGTTTATTATCCTGTTTTAATATCATCGACTTAGAAGCAATTTTGAATAGTTTAAGTAAAACAACTAGCTGTTCAGCCCTATCTAATTCTTATAGTTTTCTTTACTGTTACATTTTATATTCTGTTTAATAAAATATGTTAACAATTTTTTTTGTATGCAGATGGGATGATAAGACTATGCAAGTGACTGACTCCATACTTGGAGAAATGTTAGCAGTTATGCCCGTGTTGCATATGAAGCCAGAAATGGATTATACACCAGATCCAAGTCACTACATAGCACCGTTATATAAAACAGCAGCAAGAGCTGGTGTATTGTCAACAACTGGTAAGTGTCTTACGCACGTTGCAAGCACTTGTGTGTGTATGTGTGTATCCGCTTTATTTCAGTGATTGATGGGTATTTCATATGTACAAGATTAATGTTCATTATAGTTTGTTTATTGGAAGAAATTTCAGACAACAGTTGCATTGACTGACCGGTGGGGTTCAACATAGAAGTTTACTCAGAAGTGCAGGAGTTCATACAGCACGCAAAGATAGAGACAAGAGATTTAAAAAAAAAGCTATAATGAGCAGAGATGTGCTGGAGAAAAAATAATGAGATCGAAAAAAGGGATAATGGATATGGGAGATCACAGAGAGTGAATGCATCTGTGCTACTGAGAATAATCTCGAGACATATCACCAATAATCTCCAGTCATTGGTACTTAGAATCTTGAGGACCCAAACCAGGCATGCAGTCTGAAATATCCTATGCGATGCAAACCAAGTCTCAAAGACTTCATGGAGTTGTACCAGGTTTTGATTTAACCTCCGTAACTCTTTTACAACCTAACTCTGTATCAACTAACATTACTCGTCAAAGGAGGTGGTAGCTTGGTATGCGTAACATGTATCCTAGCCAACTCAGCGGGTGTAGCTTCACACCTTCATCAACTGACTTACTCTCTTTACCAAACACTTTACGCTTAACGTCTATATTGCTCACTATATTATACCACTTAGCACTGGAGACAAAACACAAACATCTGGGATCAAAAACAGCTAGTCTCTTCATATTTTCCACTCTCAATGACCATGTGTCACAGCCACAAAAGAGTACAGAGTGAACTGCTTTGCAGTGAACACAACCTTTGATCGATAGCCAGATACCACGGTTGCCTTCTAAATGTAGATTTCTGAACCTCTGGTTTCTGTTCACATCGTCTGTGTATTAACAGTCACGCTTTATAAAGTTTCATGATAATCTCAGTCTTAGTAATAAACGACTATGTGAATTTAGGTCAGATTATCGCCTTTTCCTTAGTTTAATAACTCTGTGGTGGTGCGATACAGACAATGTTTGCCAACGGAATATTATTCTCACATAGGTTTCGTAGTGCACAGTATTCTTTTATTAATAAAGTATATATTTGTGGGAAAAGTATTCTGAGGTTGCAGATACGCCTTGCTGACGAGTGCCAACTAGCACGAAACCTAGGTCCAAGGCTTCCTACTGATTGCCTCCAACCATCTAATACCATCAAATCAATGTGCACCGTGATGGCGAGCTAGCTAGAATGCTGGTCACATTACAACCTGACTGATAGAATTCAGTCTACACCAATCAAAAGACTAGACGCATCACACTAGTTACTATTGTCAAATCACAATATCCACTACAGTCCTACAGGAGGTCAATCGCGAGCCCGAATAGCTCAGTGGTAACGTCTCTGACTGCAGTTCTCACTGGGTGACGCGGGTTCGAATCTCAGAAGGGACATGAGTTCCCTCAAGGTTGCAGATACGCCTTGCTGACTACTAGTGAGTGTCAACTAGCACGAAACCTAGATCCAAGGCTTCCTGCCGATTGCCTCCAACCATCTAATACGTATGCGACCTCTAAGAATTTGATTGGTCTGAGTACGTCAGTGGGTATGTGAGTACAAACCCAGCCATCGCCTTATATACTCATATTTGAAGATAAAGTGGACAAGCTGCCCAATGAAATAAATCAACAGCACGGAAATAAAAGTCAGCTAGTGTTTATACTAGCCATAATATCCCACTTGACTGAGTGAAAGGCAACCTACTCGTTTAATAACTCACAACTGTGTATTCATTCCCTTAACCGGTGGTGATTTTTCTACTGCTGACGACTTTTAAACTAGAATCAAAGAACAGTATGTGGTTTTGGGTTGTGAAAAAACCAGTGTTGTTAGCAATCAACTTGACATCGATAAACATTTAATATTTCATTCTGACAACAATGTCTTCCGTCTTCTCAAAATTCTAAACACAAAATCCCTTTATTTCGCATGTCACAGAACTATAATCTTACTATAAGATGAAAATCACATATTTACAACAACCTTATAAATGGTTATCTTACCCTAATGGCTCTCACATCTGTAGACAGAGAAGCATTCCTACCTATCCTTTAACTAAAATCCATCTTTGATTGGTAAACTGAGTTTATATAAAAATGCCCAGCAGCAATTGACTGGCAAAAGCATTAAACTACTTTTTCTTTCACACCTCACTTAAATGTAACCGAAATATGAGCGAAAGAATTAAAATTTGTATAATTTGAAAAAGATGTTGTTAAAACATCCGTATCAATGAAGAAATAATGCAACAACAGGCATCTACATCACAATGTTATTTTCAGAATTGTTTTGGTTACTTAGCTCTTCGAACTTTACATTCACTGAATAACTGAGTTTGTTGTTCTATGCTGACCGTTTTTTGTGATAAAGTATGCCATTATTCCCATTTGCTAAGGCACCAACATGAGGCGTATTGGGTTTAGCACTTACAAAAATATATGCGAGATTTGTTTTAAAAAATTTGGAAATTGCCTTTGCCAGTTTCTTATATTAATATTTCGATTTAGGTCATTCAACGAATTTTGTAGTGGAGATTGATTTGCCTCACTCAATGACCTCAGGTTATTGGATTGAAAAAGGCGCTGCCTTATTATGTATGAGTAACGAGTAATGTAGCTAACAACAGTTTACTTTAGTTCATTAGAAAACTCACAGAAAGGTAGTCATGTGTTACATATTGTCAGTTGTGGTTGATAATTATTTTGTTATGTGTTTTTGTTTATTAGTGCCCGTGTTAAAAAGTATTTATGCATTTAAGAATCAGTTTAATGTTGATGTGGGCTTGTGGGAAAACTGAGCAATTTAGCAGACATTTGTATATAAGACTGTCAATCACACCCAGGCATACGAGAGCTTAGAACACTACCACTACTACTAATACTACAGCTGTAAGATGAATGCTCAAGTGGAACAGATTAGCATAGTTCATTTTAGTACCTGAAGGAAAGTGATGATTCTCTTTTGTTCAAGATCAGTATCAGTCGACGATTCAGCCATATTTTACTATCATTGGGCTTTTCCTGAATCATTAGACTTCTTTTAAAGTCAGAAGAAAATGATATTGGTTTCCGTTTTGTAAGCAACCATTTGCTGTCTTTACAACTTAATTATAACAAGCTTAGTGCGTAATGAAGTTAGTATTTTACATATCATCTGCTATCTAGTCGGTTTGATTTGAATTTGGTTTCAAGAATTCATACTTTAGCATAAAAGATGCTGGTAGATTTTTGAACATCTCATAACCAAGTTACACAGCATTTTGTAATCATCTATATATATCCTGACTATAATGTTAGGATCTGTGCTCAATAATCTTATAGAGAAGACTACTAAGTCTTACTATAGGATCCCATATCCCAATGAGATAAAAAATCTTTGATTTATTGCAATATCTCACAGTGAATTGAGTAAAGTGTGCTCATGTGCACCGACAAATAGTTAGTTGTGATTTATTTCAGCTGGCTGGGAGCACTACTTGTTTTCATTTTCATGACTATTGATATTTGCCTCTAACTTTGGTAAATAATGACACCATAAATATTCGAAACGACACTACTCATTGCTAGTTCTAGAGACATTAATACTGAGTTTTTCATTCAGTTTTTCACATCCTATCAGACAGTACTAAACAGACTGATAATTTACTTTGTAGTAAATAATATTACACATACTTCTAGAAGTTGACTGAGCTCAATCAATCGTATTACTGGTTATCCAGCTACCAGTTGGTTAATCTAAAGCTGTTTCAAAGAAGAAAATGTCTGCGATGATCGGGACTTGAGTATATGGTGAGACTCCCAACCGTTTTAAGATTGTAAGCGAATATAAACAAGCAGGAAATCTAAGATACGTAGTGCTTCGCATTGATTACCTACCATCAATGAGCAAACAATAAGCGTTACAGTAGTGGGTGATCACAGTATCAACTTCTTTGACTTAGAACAATTAGTGCTAGGGATATGAAATGAGATCAGATGATCTGCAGCGACCAATCAGTATAAGCAGTCAAGTATCTAGACAAGCTAGTTTCATTTTCTCTGTGATTCAGAGTGCACAGTTATTTATTCACTCCTTTATCTGAATGTGAGTTTTCTGGACCATTAAAAGTCAAATAAATACAAAATACAAGCTGGAAATTAAGTCCAACGAAATTTGACAGCTTAATTAATGAAATTCAGCATGACTTCATTCACTTCGTATTGTTCAGATAGACAAGTGTCATAACTTGGTGTAGTGCTGCTGAATTGCAGTAACCCTGACATTGATTTTAAATAAGCTCAACTTTTTCCAATGATGAGCTCTCTTCCCTCTTCCCAGTGAACCTTTAAATTCTCATTTTGTTCAGATGTAGTATATTTTGTAAAATAAACGTCGAAAAACGCAATGATCGTGGTTTCAAATAGAAATACTGTTAACGAACACCACAGTTGAATAAGTTAGAGTATCTCAGATATTAACAAGTATAAGCCTATACAGAACAGTTAGAAAGATGTCATTCAAATGAAAGTTTTCAGGTCTTTTTATATCGATACTTCTATTTCTCATCATTTTTCATCAATGCATCCTTTAGGCATGTCAACTAACTTTATTGTTGCTGTTCCACTGAAAACAAACAAACCACCAGAGTATTGGATTGAAATGGGATCAAGTTTACTATGTGAATGTGTAAATTCATGAAGAGAGAAAAAGGATAATCTTTTCCTGTATGCAAAAGAATCATTATCTTTAAACAAAATGCATATAAACAAAGCAAAAACAAAATATCATTAAAAACAGTTAATCTATCTATGACTTATTTCTTGTACTGAATCTTATGCGAGATACCTAAACCGAAAAATGTTATTTAGTATGAAAATACATGTATTACTACGCAATTTGAAATCTAAATCTAGTGTGTATGTGTATTCATCAGACGATAGCCAATGCCAGCCTTAATTCTTCAGTAGTAAACGCAATTTTAGCGACCATGTTTATTGCTCACTACCCAACAAACGACTTGTGCAGTATTTCCTTTGTGGCTGTAAGTTATAGCTGTCATTGGTGGAAGATATGGAAAGATTGAGGGGGGGGTTGGCTTTGCTAGACAACGGATGTCTCCAAACAATTAATAGGAAGAAGACCAGTAGTTCAGCGAAGAGTCTCTTTCCGACGATTCCATTTTCCCAGCTGTACAATCGCAAATATATATGCTTATTGTGTGTGTACATTAAATTTGTCAAACGAAAATACAATTAATAAATTTTTGGTGGAGTTACATAATATAAAAAGTGTTCAGAGGAATTGGATGTTGATATAAGAGAGTAGTAACAGAAGTAATGAGTTGCCACAAACGATTGTTATAAAAAAGAGGTACGTAATAATATCAGTAGTTTGATGAAAGAGTTGTGCTCAGGGTAAACATGGAAACAAAATAAAATACGGAATTACGAAAGAGTTCTAAAGGAATACAAGAGTTTCAAGTAGTCAGAGAAACAAGCAAAAGTAAAGTCAGATCAACAGGGTTGTTACCAGGATAGCAGAAGTGGGTGACTAATTTTCTTTTGTATGCATAGTTCTGGTTCTTCTGACTGAATGGCTAGGGCTTCCGCAATGCAAAGAAGACGGAAACGTATTGTCTTTGGCCGGTTGTTCTTCACTTTGTAGATTACTTTGTAGCAGGAGGCGTTTGTTGAGATGGAATGACCAGTAGTGACGAGATTTTCGATTATTGCACTCCTTATACGGCCACTATCTCTTTTCTGCAGCCACGCTGGATAGTGTTCTTTAACCCTTTTTGACAGGATGCACATCGAACGACTGGAGAACACTACTCGGTGTCACCGCGAAGAAAGTTCTTCTTAAAGAAGTGGAAATTCTCTTTTTCAGGATATCACTGAGTGGGGAAACTTTGAAGTCGAGGTTTATGTAAAGTACCTTTCTTGGCACGCATGACGTCTCTTGCTGTCGGATATCCTGTTTGATGTTTTTGTCTATGAATCTTGGTGGATATGCGTTCTGTATGAAGATTTCTTTCAGGAAGTGTAGTTCTTCTTCCACGGTATCAGAGCTGTAGATGCGTCGGATGCGAGTAGCAAGGGATCCAATTGGGTTGCTTTTTCAACTGATTGGTACCCAGGTGTAGAAGCTTATCAGTTGGCCGTTCCATGTGGGTTTCCTATGGATGGACCTTGTTAAAGTTCCGTCAGCTCTTCTTGTAAGTTCAATACCAAGAAAAGGAATTTTAGATCCGTTTTCTATTGCAAGCGTAAACTTTGTAGCTGAATGGCACTTGTTAAATATTTGTAGTAATTGTTTAAGATCGTGACCATCATCACAGAGAGTAAACATATCTTCCACATATCTAGCATACAATCGGAAATTATCAGTAGTTGGTGTGAGTGGGCCATTCTCGAGGTTCGCCATGTAGCAGTCTGCTAGCAATGCACCCAGTGGAGATCCCATCTTGTTGTCTGTAAATAACGTCTTTGCGGGTGAATTGTACATTAAGTGTACATTTCAGTAGCAGTTCCTTTAAACGATCACTTTCCCGTGTTAGGTGGAGTAATATGGAGACTAACAACAGAAATATGTAATTAGATATATTAAATGTTATAACCTGAAGTTGAAAGTAGTGATCCAGTAATATTTACGTAGCTTTTCATAAACTGACTTCATACGAAGAAATAAACAGCAACCATTATTACAACCATTTGCATCCTAACTCTTCCTTATTATTACAGTGGGAGATGAAAACTGAGAGACGCTAACAATGTGTATTCATTATTTATTTTTGTTGAGGATGCCAGTGTCACCTCGTCAATTGATTACAGCATAGAAATATGGTTTCTTAGCCACTTCAAGTGGAAGACCTTAGATACAATTAAATATAAGCAAAAACCACTCTATTAATAAGATTTTCAATAATTAATGCCTTCGACTCAATAATTTTGCGTTTAAATGTAAAAGCAAAACAGTGGAATTTCTTCTGAAACAAAAATAGATGGGAACGATGATTGGCTTGACCAGTAGAAATATGTGGGCATAGATTTTTCATATCTATAATTAATTTGCTAAGTTAATCCATAAACATTGCCCGTACAAACATATATTCTACATCTTTCGTTGTTTACAACTATATATTTATATGAGTAACACCTGGGTACTGTAGCAGAGCCTAATTCCATGTCCAATAGCTTATTTGACATCACATATTCATTATCTTTTTGACAAATTTCTAAGAATGGATACTGAACAAAGAGTACTCTTTTCGATAACTTCATCATCAGGCTCTATATATATATACATATAATATATATATAATTATAGTGAATGAATGAATTAGTGTTATGAACAACATTAATGTCTAAATAACATCGAATCAATAATACCAGTAGATTGCAGCTCAATGGCATCAACATAAAATAAGCTAAATGTCAGAAAAATTAGGAAAGATACTACAAATTCATGAATTTATAGTCTCTACTGAAGGCCAGGGCAGTAGTAGGGGCTGGACTTGTTTCTTTTGCACACAGAGCACAGGTTGTTTGAGGCGAATTGCAATAGCCTCTGCTATTTGAAGTGTGCGGTGCTTCAATGTTATTAGCAATTTATTGGGCACCCGGTAGACGATAGAGAAGGATTCTTCAACGCTGGCTTTGTGGCCGGTTTGCACCAGATGGTCCAATATCGTACTGTTAATGGTTTTCATTACACCTTTACTTAGCCGTAGTGGGGGATGTTCTCGAGCAGGAAAAATCAAGTTCCTAGAGCAACGACCTTGAGCGTCGATGGCACAGCGGTTAGGACGCTCGCCGACCATGCACATGGTCCGAGGTTCGATCCCCGGCCACAGACGCACTCCTTTACCTTGCTAAGCTAGTAATAATACTGGTAAAGAGGAAAGGTTGGCCATGAGGCTAGCAACCCCATCCTGTAAAATTAAACACTGCTATAGAAACTTCAAGCCACTAGCTTGAAGCCTTATGTTCCACTGGGGAACGTGAAGGAAAAATTATTATTAATTATTTATTAGAGCAACGACCGATATAACTCGCCCCACTAGCGCAGTTGAATCGGTAGATACAATTTGAAGTGGCTAGTCTAGGTACTTCATCTTTCAGTCGAGAATCACCATTGGTCGTGTAGAGAGTAAGACATACAGTTTGCCAGCATTAAAAGTTCTTTGAACTGATTTTCTTAATTTCTTCGTAATTATTTCACTTGCTACATCGCTCTTGAATCGCCGTCGTATATAAAGAGGCTTGTTGTTTACGGATAGTGAGTAGTCCTTTTCCGCTTTGTTTATCATGGGTTTCTTGATAAATTCGTCAGGATAGCTATTTTCTATCAAAGTATCATATACAATGCCTAATTCATCCTCGGTTACTTCTTCTGAGCAAATAGCTCTAACTCTGTGGCTGAGGTCTTCACTAAATTTCTTTTGTACTTGGTAGAACGAAGCTATGAAAATGTGTATATTGTCCTGTCCAAGTATTTTTTCTATGGAAATTTCTTTTTATGCTACCATCTGATTTTCTTGCAAGGGAGACATCCAGGAAGGATTCCTCATCGCATATGAATTTCATAGCCGAATGTACTTCATTGAATTCATTAATTATTGTACTCCTATCCGAATCATTATCACAAAGAATGAAGGTGTCATCCATATACTGGGAATAATATGAGAACTTACTGATAAGGTTGTTCGAAGGATCATTTTCTAGCTTACTTAGAAAGAAATCAGTCAAAATGGGACCCAATGGGGAGTCCATCGCCACCCCGTCCACTTGCCTGAAAAGTGTGCCGTCAAATTTTTAAGAAACAAATAATTCCTTGGTGTCCATTCCTTGTTGGTTTGGAAGGCTTCTGGATATTTGGACGATTGATACAGTACTACTAACGACGTGACGTCACAACAGCAATTTACTGCTTATAATCATATTCAAGTGAAAACATAGAATTGTACCTGTTATCAGTTGTTAGGGATTCGTCTGAAAGATGTTTTATGTAAGATTGATTGATATACATGATTAAAAAGAATTTTCCAGACTGGCTAGGTGGTTACTCTTTCAACTTACAGAAGTATGCCAATACTGGTAGTCATAACATTCCATAGAAGGAAATTTTAAAAAACTGACTGAGTTGCAGTTCTGTCATAGAGTAAATTAATTTGATAAAACCACACAGAGATACAGTACTATTTATTGATGATGTTTCAAGCATAGTTTATCACTCATCATCGTATTAAGGATTTTAGGGGATATATTCTCCCATAGTACTCAAGTTCTGTTCTTATTATTAGTGACTGAGTTTCGACATAAAACACTGCACAAAATAGCACGACAGTCAAAAAAGCCACACTTCATAAAGCACACAGGTGTGGGAGAATAAAAGCAAGGGAATTACAACAAAGGAAATGTACAGGAAAAGAAGTAAATAGATGAAGAAAAGCAGAATTTAATATATCCAGGAGTCCATAGAGAGTGAATGTATCTTCACCATTTAGAACGATTTTGAGCGATGTCAACAGCAGTCCCAAGAAACTAGTTCTTATCGCTTCATGTATCCGCCGGTCAGGTAGTCTGTCTGTACTTGCTGATATGACTCAAACCATCAGTCAGAAACTTCTTGGATTAATTCTGTGTTTTGGTTAGATTACTTCCAACTCTTTACCAACCTAATCCTATGTCCAGTAACAT